CCCCCCCCCTACTGTTTTCGAATAGATGCGCCTCGCCATCGCCACGATCACCACGCTTCTCCCCATTGCAATGGGTGAAGCAGCACCACCCAAGCATAAGATGTTCGATAAGCAGATACACCGGCTCTACCTGGGCAACTACGATGGGAACATGTAAGTGGGCACTTCTCTGCACACCTGTAGCGCGAACAACAGAACCCCTACTGACGGCACCCTCGCAGCCAAGCCTTCACCTTCACCCCTCCTTCCACGCTTGTCCCCGATGCAGCGATCCCTGTCAATGCAGCCGGCAGCTCTCCCTCCTGGCTCGCATTCGCGACCGACGGCGGAGAGCGAACCAAGTACGTCTACTCGGTCGACGAGGACGTACCCGGACGCGTCTTTGCACATGTCGTCACCGACGACAAGACCGGCGTCCTGAGAAAGATCGGCACGGACCAGCAGATCAAATACGGCAGCTACCCTGGCGGCGACGGCCCCGTTGCCCTTGCGCTTACCGGCCAGCAGGGCGCAGGCGAAAAGTGCTTGTTTGTAGGTGAGAATCATTTCGAATTCGCACCAGGCAAACCCTGCCTGTCCTCTGCGCCAAACCCTCGACTGACCACCTTTCTGCAATTTCTCTGACACAGCTAACTACAACAACGGCTCGGTCGGCGTCTTCAGGCTGGCACCCGACGGCAGCATTGCCTCCACAGACGCTGCGGCGCCCTCGACGGTGAAGCACTTCCAGTTCCAGCGTCCTGCCTCCTCTCCTGTCGGGCCCGTCAGCTCGCGGCAGGACCATAGCTACGCGCACGAGGTTGTCACCTCGCCTACTGGCCGCTTTGTCTACGTCCCCGACCTTGGCGCGGACCAGATCCACTGCTTGAAGCTCGACCCGTTCTCTTGCGAGCAAACCAATTTGGTTGGTAGCACCGACGTACCCGCCGGCAGCGGGCCGCGGCACATTGCTTTCTACCCGCCGGGGCAGAGTACGGTCGGTGGCCAGTGCCACAGGCACCCTCAGCCGCCCGAGGGAGGGAAGACATACGCGTACCTCGCGTCAGAGCTCGCCTGCTCGCTCACCGCTTTTGCCGTCGATGAGGAGAGCAGCAAGCTGACACAGATAGGCGAACCGGTCCTTGCTGTGCCTCCGGGCACGCCGCTGGGCGGCACGCCGACTGAGGGCCCGCAGCGCACTGTCGCAGAGGTCGCCGTCTCGCCCGACGGGCGCTTTGTCTACGTCAGCGACCGCGGCGATGAAACGGAGGACCACATCACCATCTTTTCGCGCGACGCGCACACGGGCGCCATCGCCTTCCTCAAGTGGGTGCCCTCCGGCGGGCTCAACGTGCGCCACTTCAGCCTCTCGCTCGATCCCGAAGCCCAGTACGCTGCTGTCGGCCACCAGGCCACGGGCAACGCTGTCATCTTCAAGCGTGACCTGCTCACCGGAGACCTCGCCAAGACTGGCGCAGAGTACGCTAACTTCCCCAACCTTGCCTTCACGGGGTTCGCTCCATGAGGCGGTGAGCGGGGGCAGGCATGTGTGGCGGTAGTTCTCGCTTGTTCGCTTTGTTGCTTTTTCTCAACAAGCAGCAGACGCAAGATGTTCGGTCAAAATGGCATGGCAAATGTATACGTAGTGCTATTGTTTTCGAAAACGCTGGCTTTTGCACAGTCTACTGCGAGTACTGTCTATGGTGCTCTTGTTGAATGCAACGTCTATCGAGGGTGCTGTCTATGATGCTCTCTGTATCTGCAACGTGTCGAATGCTGCCTGCGATGCGCTCTATGTTTGCAAGGTCTATTCTGTGAGTTCAACCCCACTCAGTGCACGGGCCCTAACTTTGCACTCGCAATGTCACCCTTTGATGGCGTACTTTGACATGCCTCGGAGCACGACGCCATACTTGTAGGCGATCGGCGGAATGGCGGTCATGGCGACGCAGACACAGGCGAGGATGATCGTCGCATTCTGCGGGCCGACATTGCGGTAGAACTGCGTCGAGAAGAGCGGGAAGGCGCTTGTGGCGACGCAACGGACGAGGCCAACGGCGGCGACGGCAGAGCCGGAGCGTATGCCGAAAGTATCGACGAGGTACAGGAAGGTGGAGTTGATGAGGTTCAGGAACCCGAAAGCGAAGATGCCACTGGCGATTACGGGTCCTGACCAATGGATCTTGTTGCTGGACGTTGTGCCCGCAAAGGTGAAGAGGCCGCAAAAGCATATGCACGAGTATATGATTGCTGGTGGGATTCGCAGCTCTGGTGGAAGCGAGCCTTGGCGCTTCACGGTCTGCTTGACGTACCACATCAGTTCCAGCGTCAGGCAGGTGCAGCTCGCAAGCAGCATACCCACGCCCATGCCCAAGAAAGTGAGGCCGATCTGCCACGGTGCAAAGTTGTGACCGCCGGGACCGTACACAACGACGGCCGAGTCGAAGAAGGAGTACACGACGCTACGAACGATTGGGATTGGAACAAGTAAGAATCAAACCTGAACAGCGTTGGTCAAAGGATTTTGAACACCATCGCGACTCACCCCGTAATGACAACCTGCCAAAGGGCGATGAAGAGGATGACAGGTTCGCTGACAAGCATCGTGGCAGCGGTGGTGATGACGGCCGCCAGCTTCCTCACGAGCGTGATCGACCCTTGCCTCTCAATCTCGGTAGCGTAAGGTTTGTCCGAATGTTGCTGGCGCAGCTGCCGTGCACGCTGACGAAGGATGGTGGCATGGTGCGATTCGGGGTAAATCGTGAAGTAGATGACGGTGAAGATGGTTCCGGCGACGATGGCAATGTAAAAGACAATGCGCCAGCCTGCATCGTCGCTGATGATCGGCTTGGCGAAGCTCGCGATAATTCCGCCTACACATGGGCCGAGCACGGGTCCGAGAAAAACGTTCAGCTGTATCATTAGACGAAGCAAAGCGAATCCATCAGTTACAATGCTCAAGAGTCAATTTTATAGCCGCCAAAATGCTCACCATGAACAGCGTACTGCCCCGAGCAACATTGATACCCGTGAACATCTCAACGCTGACAGAAGCGCCGAGAACCATGCTTGCGCTGCCAGTCAGACCAGCGAGTGCGCGACAGACCAGGAGCGTCTGCATATTTGCTGCGCGCGCTGCGCTGACGTGAAAGAGCGTCCACAACAGCGAGCTGCCGGAAAGGACGTACTTGCGACCATACTGGTCGGAAAGAGGCGAGAGCAGGAGACCGGAGGCTCCCCACATCATGACGTACAAGACAAAGCCGAGGGTTGCTGCAAACGAACAAGCGCGGCGTCGAGGCGGCGTGAGTTTCCTTCTGCGTTGCAGCACGTAGACAATGCTGCTACTCACCAACATTTGTGGTACTGTCGAATTGTACCTTGGCAGTCTCGCTGACAAAGAGGTACGCACTAGCCATGAGCGAGATGATGAAGGCATTGGTCGATATGCACCCGATAGTCAAGACCTTCTTCCACGTTGGCCAGTTCCGCGGATTTGCTAGGTCGCCCGCCGCAAAGCGGACCAGATATGGATCCTCCTCGCTGCCGCCGTCTTCTTTCTCCTTGACGAATGAGGCAGACGACGATGTTGCGCCTGCAGGGAGAGGGGTTGGAGTTGCAGGAGCAGGAGCAGCCCTTTGCATTTCCCCGAGCGCTTCGGCACAGGAAGGAGGCTGCTTTTCCAAGTCTAGGGTGTCGTCGATGTCGTGGCGTTCGATTTGCGAGAAGTCATCCTTGAGAGGACTCTCGGCAAGTGTCGACGCTCTACAAGAATTTAGCACGCTCGGCGCAGGTGTGGCGACGGGCGTCTGGTGGTTGTCCCACTCGGCAGTGGAGGCTGCGCCGGCGGCATGGCCATCTGCGGACACCATATTCCAAGCTGTGCGAGGGTGTGGAGGTGGGGGAATAGATTGGAGTTTCGGTCATCTGAAGAGCACAAAACAAGCTCATTAGATTTCATCAACAAGCGACTGCTTTTATATTAGAAATGTGTTGGTGTATCAGGATTCTGACCGACAAGATCCGTGGCCCGCGATCAGCAAGGCACTGCCTTCTCAGCCCGGTTTCTTCAGATGAAGATACGAATAATGAGCACCGCGGAGCGCTCATCTAGAAAAAATGGTTCTCAACACGAAATCACATCGACGCTCGAGACTTTGTTCTCGATCTTTGGGAGGTCTGAGGGTCATATGTCTTGGGAGGGTGCGGTAGTGCTCCGGTTGCCGGCAGAAGCGAAGACCCGGAGCGGAGAGCTTGGAGCTGCAGCCTGCCAGGTTTTCGGCGGCGGGAGCCTGCGGGAACGGCTAATCTGCAAAAAAAAACAAAGTGACTGGCGCCTCCGGATGTAAAACCCAACCCGAGCTTTTGTCTCAGGCTATTGACTTTTTCATTATCGCCGGGTGTAGTGATGTGGATGGAAGCAGGAAAGGCGGACACACTAAGATGAAAATTCAGCACAGTCGAGGAGCGTCGATGCAAAGCTCTTGCCAGTCTGATGATGGGCTATGTATGTACATAGTGGCAGACGTTTCCACGGCGTTTAGCAAATGTCACAGACGGATGTACACCTGTGTAACGATCTACACCTCGCACGCTGTAGGCTTCTGTTCCACGAAGCAGGTCCTCCCACTGAGAGCAAACGCATACACGACACATACTAGCACCCGTCAGCAGAGCAATCAAACTTGTATCCAAAGACCGCCACGCTGCAGAGATTTTCACCCTACACACTCCTGCATGTACACACATACACTCTCTGCAGTCTGAAGGCAGCGAGCGGGAGAAACATGAAATATGGTGGTTCGGGCGTCGGCAGTTGACAAGAAGCCGGTGCCGGAAGTAGAATAGGCGACTGAGTGACACTGTCCTGACTAGCAACTGCGGAGCTGGTGAAGGGGAAGAAGTAAGGCCATGTACGCCACCTCTCAGCACGCCAACACGGCATGGCGCTTTGTATTTCCCGCCCGACTGCCGGCTGGTTCTGCTGCTCATCATCGCCTCATCTTTTCATTCTGCTTGTTTTGGCCTTGTGTCGCCGTCCTGGACGAACCTCAACCAAGTGGTCAGTTCAAGATCAGCAGGGCATCGCGTTCTTGGGGATGGGCACGTTGTCGCGGCAAGATAGATATGGTGTTGCCTAGTTCTGTCCGCCGCTGTGCCTCGCGCTTTGTGAAAGCCACCACGGAGTGACAGGCTTTGGGAGAGCAGATGCGAAGGGCAACAAGATGCGGCACGCGCTGTTCGGGCCCGCGCCTCTTCTCGCACAGGGTTACCCTGAAGGACTTCGTGATGCTCAGAGGGTCACACGTGCGGTGTGCAATGTGAAGAAACAAAACTCTCATCAAGCAATGCATTGTGCGCGAATCTTTGATGCAGTAAGCAGAAAAACCATCGCAGCGATTGCATCGTGAGATGAGCCCACATGCTCCGTCCTTAAGCGCATAACGGGGCCTAGCGCGGACCACCCGATCGTGCTATACGATATCGGAGGGAAGACCGACGTGGTGACGCAGATGCATGCCAGGATGCTGGGGGCACTCTGCCGCCCGACATTGGCATCGAACCGGGTTAAGAGTGGGAACGACCCAATGGCCGTCGAGCGCATCAGGCCAATCGCAGTGACCGCGCTGCCGGAGCGCAGACTGTACGCGTCGATCACGTAGAAGGATGTGCTGATCATGAAGTTGAGGAATCCAAACCCAAAAGCCCAAAACGCAATCACTGCGGCGATTCAATGGATGCTCAGGCGTTGGACACCGGAGACCAAAGAGCGAGGTGATGCAGATGAACGAGTAGAGGAGACACGCAGGGATGCGCAACTCGGGCGTTCGGGCGCCGTTGTGCTTTGGGACCTGCTTGACAGACCACTTGAGCTAGGTGAACATGCTGCTGAAGGTGCTCAGCAACATGCCGACGCCCAGCCGAGGAAAGTGAGGCCAGTCTGCCAAACGTTGAAATCTTGACCACCAGGGCCAAAGACGATGATCGCACCGTCGAACAGACTGTAGATGACGCGGGTGATGAGAAGCTGCCAGATCGAATGGCAATCACCACCGGCTCCTCGTGCAGCATGCACACGGAGGTCGTCGTGGTGATCTTGAGCTTCGTTGCCACGCTGACGGCCCCTTGCCTCTCGAGGGGCGAGGTGTAGGCTCGCCGAGGTTCTGTTATCGCAACTTTTTCGCCTTCTGCATCAAGGGGGTGTAAGTGTGTGTTTCCGGATAAAAGAAAAAAGGTTGATGGTAACAAAAAAGAAACCGACGATGGAGACGTAAAAGACGACGTGCCAACCTGCTTCATCTTACACGAGCGGGCGCGCAAATCCGCTGACGAAGCCTCCAACAATGGGGTCGAGGACCTGCCCGAGGGTGCCAGCAGCTGCGATGCAGCCCGAGCCCGCATGAGCTCTCACGCTGAAAACGTGACAGGTGCTCACACAGACCCATGAAGATGAACGTGCCCTTGGCAATATCGAGCTCCACGTAAAGCTCGAAACCGGCGAGCGAGACTAAGGCAAGCGACGTGCTTTCGAAGAGCCCAGTGAGCCGGCGGCAGACAAGCAGTGTGTGGAAGTTGATCATGCGCGGAGTGCCGATGTGGAACAGTGCCCAGAGGAGCGAGCTACCGCCGGGGACGCACTTGCGGCCATACGAGTCGGACAGAGGCCAAAGGTTTAGACCGGACAGTCCCCGCACGAGGACATTGAGCACAAAGCCGAGGGCGGCTGCAAGGCAGAGGAGCGCATCGGTCCAGCGAGTGCAAAAGGGAGATTGAACACTAAGCCAAGGAGGCGTTCGAAGACTCACTGACTGCTGAGGAGCAGCCGAACTGCTCCCGCACAGCAAGGCTAACGAAGTGATACGCACTGGCCAAGAGTGACACCATGAAGCCGTTTGCAGCAACGGCGCTGTTGACAAAGGCTTGTCACGCAACGGAGCAGTTAATACGCTTGTCCTTGTCGTCCACGGCAAACTGCACGAAGTACGGGTCCTCACCGCTTGTCCCACGCGCTTGGGTCGTGGGGTTGGATGCCTCCTTCGGGGCACGCGGCGCTCCTTGAGACGCCTCGAGCGCATCGGCTGCTGCTGGTTGCTGTTTCTTCAGGTTGACAACATCTCCTGCCTTTTCATGGCGATGCGGAAGACGCGTTGGTGCTCAGTGAGTTCTGATGTGAGCCAACAGCAGTTCAAAGGGTGTGAGTGGAAGCGTAGTGCTGTCCGCTGTATGGCTGTTGCACCTGAAGCGGCATACATCGAGCTTGCGACGAGGGGAACAGTAGTGACTCCGCTTTGTCAGGTGCTGTTAAGCTTGGAAGCCTTAATGGGGCAAGGCGGAACCCAGGCTTGCCCCAGCTCGATTGGCACAAGCAAAAATATTGACTGGACATCGGCGGTCTATGGAAACATGGGGCATCACCAACGTCATTTTGACGAGGCAATCCACCCGAATTCGCCTCAAAGGGCACGGTGAATCGAGCTGGGCTTCGGTACCCCTTGCAACGGTAGCGCTGCCTATCGCGCTCGGCGCCTGACTTGTGATGTGCCGTCGATGCGGGGCTGAGCAAGAACTCCACTTTCTCCGGCTGGTTTTCCACTGCTCAGCTGTCAGATTGTAGCGGATTTCCGGCGGGTGGGCAACTGATAGTGACCAGAAATGATGCTTGGTGCAACGGCAGGCAGCATTCAAAACGTCTTTGGTTCCGAGCCGGCGAGCCACCACGAGGAGAGGCTTGCAAAAAGCACGCAGGAGTGCAGCTCCAGCGACCAGCAGGTTACATCTTTCTGGGGCACGCTTGACCTGAATTCAACTTCCATTACGAGTTGCTGCACTTCCGTGGCAACGGGCATGGATGCGTCGACCGATGGCGTTTTGTTGGTGTAAATAGGCGCTGAATGCGCGGCTCCAGCATCTGATAATTGTCCACTAGATCTGGAACGGGTGGATGGAGGGTAGAGGGTGCCTTGGGACGCATCGATGGTCTTGCCTCGTCAAGCCATCAAGCCGGCGCCTTGCGCAAACCAGATCCCGAGCCGTGCGGAGCATCATGCAAGAAAGGGGGAGGCCAGGGGAGCGTCACGGCGCAGTCTTCCCAGCTGCCGATTGGCGCCTACCAGAGCGTTTGCCTCATACGTTGATACATAGCAGCATTTCGCTGAGCAAAGAGTAATGAGTGATCAGGATCGCCCGCGCTGAAGAGCTCAACTCATCCATATACATAGCCGCGGTCAACTGCGAGTCCATACCATGGGCGAGCCTGCTTCATTCTGACGCGTCAGCTTAACTTGCAGCGGGCTACAGCTATCGAGCCCACGTCTCGTTTCGCAATCTGCATGGGCGCCCGTCATTCATCTCGCTCTTCTTGATGAAGACATTCCAACCCTTGGCTGAAAAGGAGTCTAATGCTGATGCGCGCGTGTGTACCCGTCGATTGGTGCGACAGCTGCCTAGCGAGAAACACGATGCTTAAACACGTTGCTTAATTGGAGTGACATGTCCATCAGCAGCGCATAGAGCACATGACTTTAGGTCGCCCAGACCAGGGATAACATGATCCTCTCAGAACTGTACCGTCTACTGCATCCCCAGGAGCGGACGCTGGAGAGCACTTCAGGCACGATGGATGTCACTCGTAGTACCTGGGAGCAGGAGGAAGCACCTCACATCGCTGACGTTGGTCGGATGGCGCGCCCGAGCACAGAGTACCGAATCGAGAAGCGATGAGTTTCCTTTTTACGGCCACGTTGGCGGCGCCAAATGGTTCGTCGCGGGCACCAAGCGATTGTGACCACCGGCGGCGGACGCGGGGCTTCTTGGCAGCGGTTCTGTGCCGACGGAGAGCTATGTAGGTTCATCTGGTGTGGACGGTGTGCGATGAGCGGATGAGAGCTGAGCCCAGGGAGGGGGAATGAGGATTGGGGCATGTGTGCATACATGTCGTTCAACCAGTTCGAGCGCAGCAGCAGCACCAACACCAGCAGCGAGAGGGCATCACAACCAGAAGGAGTTGTGTCTGGTCGATGGATGCTCTTCCGCTGCAGCCATAGCGCATGCTCTCGCATGCTTTTCGCAGACACCATACATGTGTCTCGTAAGGCGCAGCTCGTTTAGACGCCGAGGCAGATGTGCGGATCGGTCATCGGAGGCGGCAAGACCAATGGAACGATCAATATGGCTGATGAATACGAGAGGGCTGGCTGCGGGTAATAGTCTGGAAGAGTAGGGCGAGAGCCATCAGTGCTGTACTCAATAATCAAGCGATCCCCAATACGTATGTATCTGCTATGAGATTGTGGCTATTATGCCATGCCACTCTGGCATGCTGCGCCAGCCACGCGAATAAACCTGTGGATGACGAGGCGAGGATGCCATCCATCAGGGTGAGAATGAGATGACAGTGATGAGATGTGAGCCGAGACCCTTTCCTCGAGGCATCAACTCAACTACCGACGAGCCAGAGAGAGCTTAAGTGCAGGGCGACAATAGAGCGGGTTCTTTCTTTTCTTTCCAAATCCATCTCGAAACTCTTCGTGGGTGTAGGACACGAGCCTTGGGCTAAGTTTCAGAATATGGCCGCTGCGGATGACGACAGAAATAAAAACGCATTTCCACCACGTAATATTGAGCACCGCAGAGGCAGGACGCTTGCATGCCCGCACATTTGCAGTCTTGCAGGGAGTGTGCGAGCAACCAGGCACTGGAGCGTGCTTGGCCGCGAGGTGATTGATCGACGATTGACATGACAAATGTGATCACTGCGTGCTGATGCCTCATGCGCGCCAGGAGACTGTCTGCAGCCGCTCGTGGCTGGGTCGTTGTGCTTGTGACAGCTCATCACCTGAGCAGGCGTCATCGCTGTGAGGAGAGTGCTCGGATGCCCGCTCTGCCCTTTGACCGCAGCCCACCAGCGCCAGCACGCAGCATAACGGGGCCATATTTAGGACTTGTGTGCGGCACTGCGCTTGACAAGGGTGGACGAGGGGGCAGTGCCTTGGATGCAGTCTCGCTACGACAATGGACAGGGACACGGGTGCAGTGCCCAGGCGTGCGGTGAGCCCACAGAGCGCAAACTACACGGCACGGCATCTCATTTCATCGCATCTCAGAGCATCGTCATCGCCCACCTACACATACACCTCTCATCTCTCTTGCCATTGCTTTAACCCCCCTTCTCCAACAAGCGAAAGCAAAGGCGGCCTTCAGAGGTACCTCGTGCGCGCGCAAGGGGCCCCCATTGGCTTATCGGCACCGACGCCGTGGGCAAGTTTCGCAATGTGAGTCAGTCCACATGCTGGCGAGGGGTGGCAGTCGGCATCGTGTCGCTGCAGGTTGGGATCGCTGCAAAGGCAAAAAGCGCGAAAAGGGGAACGGATGCTGGGTTGCTCGCCCGCTCTGCAGCCACCAACTTCGTGGCTTGGAACGGAACCCGCGCAGCATCAGCCAACCACAGATGGTGCGAGGGAGTGAGGGAGGTCGATGCGTAGGCCAAGGAGAGCGTCGCTGGGAGGCTTGCTGGTGTTGAATCGCGTACGAGTCGTCTCCTGTCCGGGGGTCGCTCGCAGCGGCTCATTGTTTGAGTTTTCGGTTTCTGTCAACGTGCTTGGCAGGGCTAACTGCCTCACGAGCACGAGCCAGGACGTGGACTTGGTTGTCTTGCGTGGCTAGCTGTCAGGCAGCCGCTTCTAGGCGGAAGGCTGACATCCTCCACCCCTACCTCTTTTTTTACTCTTTTGTTTGCAGCTTCGATGTGCCAAGACTACAGCTGGACCTGCGTGACTCTTCGCCACCGCCATGTCTTGTTCTCGCCCACCATCAGCCTGATTGTGGGCACGACCCCGCCATCCACCACCGGCCTTAACCATCGCCTCTGACATGGAACCATAGGACAGGGAACGCTTCCGTATTGCAGCGATGGCGACAGAGTGGTGTGCGGCTCATCACCAGACGCCGGCCGCTGCCCCGGCCAGCCGCGGTAGTAGTGCAGGCAGCGCGGCAGCAAGCAATATGAGCGGCTCATGCTCCACTTCGCACCCGCTCTACGATGTCTATGCTCACCACTCGCACCTAGCAGCAGCAGCGGCGGCAGCAGCAGCAGCAGCGGCGACGATGTCGTCGTCATCATCATCATCAACGTCATCATCTTCCGTATCATCCACCTCTTTCAGCGTACCCGGACCAAGTAGCAGCAGCACGGCAAAGGCGTACGCAAACATCAGCAGCAAGCCGTTTCCGCCTCACCCCTTTTCCACCTCTGCGGTGTACCCACCCCTTTCCGCTCGTACGAGCGCCGCTGCCGGGCACGATTCGCTCATGGCCCCGCCACGAGCAGCCGAAGCCGGGCAGCAACAACAGCAGCAGTGCCTCGCGCAGGCGCATGATCTCAATGGATCCAGTGCAAGTGGCGCGAAGAGTTCATCCGACGCGCACTCTCACTCGCAGCAGCATGTTCAGCAGCAGCCACTGCTGCACCGCTCAGAGCCGCACAAGGCCTCCGTCGAGCGCGTGCCCAGTAGCGACAGCGCGAAGCGGACACGGAGTCCCAAGCTGTCAACCATCGATGCATCTACTCCTCTATTGTCAGCTTCACCATCAGCGCTATCTTCAGCATCACCACCATCGTCATTGTCTTCATCAACAGCAGTGGCAGACATGTCGGCAAAAGCCTCATCCTCGCCAAAGGACAGCCTGCAGATAACAGCGAGTGGCAGCGGAATGCTGCCCGAAGAGTACAGAGCATACGCTCACGCTCCGCTGTATGCCAACCTCGTGCAGCCTATCGCCACGGCGCCGCCGTCATCGGCATCCTCATCATCTACCTCCAAGCAGCCGGCTGAGATACCAGCGACGCTTGGCATGCTTCCGGATCCACACGAAAATGCATGCGCACTTGCGCACTCGCAGCTCCCAGCGCAACATGCGCACGCACCGTCCGGCCTATCCGAGCAATGGACCAGCGCCCCGCCGTATGCGCACGACACGGCGCACAACGCTTCCAAGGGTGCAAAGCTGCCGTTGCATGCCGCTGACAGCAGCGGCGGCAGCAACAGGACTGCCGATCTGAAAGGATTCGCACTGGCCCCTGCGCCCAACGAGCTCCACGCTCACCCGTACGCCGCGCCGGACGCCAGCATGGACGACGCGCAGAGCAGCGGCGCCAGTGCCGCAAGCGGCAGCGGTCTTCTGTCCGGTGCCAGCGCCGGCGCTGGCGGAGGGCGGGCCAGCACGGAGATCACCACGCCCGACTCGTACGCGTGTCACGAGTGGCCCGTGGCCATGGCGGCGGCGACCGTCGCGAGGACTTCAGCCGGCCTTGAGCAGCTCAAGTACGCGCTTCATGCGCCGTCGTGCCACAACCAAGGCCATATCGCCGTCGGCGGCGGCAGCGATGAAGGAGAAGAAGAAGTACGAGGAGACGGGGACGGAAAAGGTGCGAGCAGCCGGAGCAGAAGCGACGGCAATCAGCTCCCACCCATCGCCGCGTTGAGCATCGAAACACCCGGCGACAGGGTCACGCGGGCGAACCTGAACGAGCTGCAGCAGCGCATGCGCTCCGGTCATAGCTTTGTCCCACCCGCCGTCGAGGGGCTGCAGCGCTCCGGCGGGTACGACGGCCTCGCGGCGGTGCTTGCTGGCGCATGTGCATCGCCTCTCTCGTCCCTGCCAGGCCGTGCAGGAGGGGTGGAGGAGAGCCTGGAGCTGCATCAGCAGGAAGCTGGTGGCTGTGGAGACGGCGACAGCGACAGCGAATGCGATAACGGAGGCGATAGGCATGGGCGCGTTTCTAGGGAACGCACTGTCGCTGCTTCTGCTGGTGGTGGTGGCCTCTCTGCACAGCCTACCATTCGCGCGCCGAGCAAACTTGCCAGGGGTAAGTCGCACAGCAGTAGCGCTAGCGCCGCTCGTGCGGCCAGCCCGAGCTCCAGCGCAGGTGCGGGCACAACAAGCAAATCTCGAGCGGTGGCGCCGTCTAGGCCCTCGACGCTCAGCAGGCTCCCATCCAGCGTGACGGAGCGGCCGTCATCGACGAGTCCGACGAACCCGTACGGTAACATACACGCCGCTTCGCCGCCACCACCGCCTCCATCTTCGCTGCTATCTTCCGCCACCGCGCACGCTGGCTCATCCACCGCCTCCTCGTCCCAGGCCGTCACGCCCGCCGCGGTGCAGCGCGCAGATCCAATGTCCCGCATCGCGCTGCAGCAGGCGCTACCGCCGAAGGCAGCAGCCGACTCTCCGCACCTATCTATGCGCTCTCCATCGCTCATGAGCGAGGTCTCCGCGTCCGGCGCGAGCAGCGGACACGGGCACGGGCCGCTGGACAAGGTCGACAGCAGCAGCGAGCACCTCCCGTTGCGTGATAGCTGGAAGTCTTTCTTACCCGAAGACGACCCGCTCGTGCGCGACGGGAGCAGCAGCAGCGTTGGCGGCGGCGGCAGCGTTGTTGCCGCGTCGCACCACAGTAGCGCGTCGGGCTTTCATGGCGGTGCCGCGATGGATGCGCGCTACAGCTTTAGCGCCGCCAGCGCCACGAGCGCTAACGCCGCAGATCGCGAGCGCGAGCGCAAGCACAGCAACGCCAGTCAGATCAGCAGTCTGAGCTCTTACTCGCTTCCCGGGCCCAGCCGCGCTGCCTCCGGCTCTTTCGCAGCTGGTGCGGGAGCGGGAGCCAGGTGCGCGACGGACCGCGACAGCTGGAGGAGTTTCTTGGTGGATACGAACTTTGATGGCCGCAGCAGCGGCCCAGGTGCGAGCGCAGCATCCAGTGGCCCTGCGCAGAGCGTCAGCATGGGCTCGTTGGGCGTCATGATGTCCGCATTCATGGATGCGTCCCTCTCATCGCCGTTAACCAGGGCGGACATGGATGCGTATGCATCGCATGCGCATGCCCACACCCACGCATCTCGGCCTGCTTTGCTGCCGCGTGTGGAGACAGAGATCACCAAGCGGCACGCGTCATTCAGCTCGTACAATTCGGCGCCGACGACGGCGGTCGCGTGGGCTTCGCCGCCGTTGCCGTCGCATGCGCTGCCGACGCAGCCCGCTGCGCCGTGGTACACGAGCCAGCGCTCCCGCATGATGTCCGAGACGATGGCTTCGCGGCCGATGCTCGCGGCGCGCATGGACTCAAGCAGCTCCAGCGGCGCCGTCAGTTCGTGCAATAGCGTTATGGGAGACGAGAGCGAGCGCGAAAGTTGGCCGTCGAGCAAGGCGCCTCCGTACTCTGCGCAGCGCTTTGTGTCCGCCTTCCCCGCCACGGAAGATGACGTCCTTGTCGATGACGCCCACGACGCTGAGCCGCATGAGCTCCGCCTCGGCGGGCCGGCAGGCTGCAGCGGCCGAGACGGACTCGGTGAGCCGTTGACGTTACCCGGACTCTTCGCCCCGACTATCGATGAGTTCACATTCACAACGACGATGCAGCACGTCCAGCGCCCCTTGCCACACCTACCCAGTTCTGACGGCCAGATCGGCGGCTTCTTCACCACGACGACAAGGACCACACGCAAGACGTCCTTCCGCCATACCGCCGCCAAGCCAGGGCACCTTCATCAGCCGCCTGCGCAGTTGCAGTCGCAGTCACAGTCACAGTCGCAGGAGGATCATGAATTGACTTCGCACCGCGTCACACGAGCGATCCCCGGAGCCGGTGACGGGAACACAGGCTTGCAGCGCTCTGCGTCATGCCTCGTCTCTCCTCTGTCCCCTCCGTCGTTGCCTTTTCTTGAGGCGCGCCCCGCACCGCCAGAGACGAACCTGGAAGTCGAGACGCGTGCCCACGCGTACGTGCTCAAGACCAAGTTACCCGGCTTCTCGCTGGACTGCATCACGCTCGCAGCCAAGCACCACCGCACCCTGCATATTGTTGCGGACAAGTGGGATGCCGAATCCGGTGGCCACTTCGAGCGACGCGTTACATTCGGCCTCGATGCAGATATGCGCAAGGTCAAGGCACAATTCGATGGAGAGATCCTGTTGATTCAAATTCCCCGCCGCGTTGTCCGCACGATCTGAGTGAATGCATGTGGATTGCCTCGCAGCGTGCCCGCTCGCTCGCTCACTCTTCTACATGACTCTGCCGGCATCGTTTCCACGACTTGCTGCGCTGCAACCTGCACGCACCCTGAAGCACCTAGTCAATCTACCCCGTCGGCATTCGGGCGCCTTTAGCCCGTATGCATGAAGGACATTCGTAGTCATACCTAACAGGCTCACTACGCCCTATCCAGCATCCTACCCACAGCATTCCGGCCCTCGTGGCATTGTATACTACCAGTCACCTGTTCCGTACACGCAGCATCACGTCCACTAGCGCGCTCTTCCCAATGCGATGATAATTGCTCATTCCCTGTGCAAGCAAGCAGCCAGCGTCCATTGAGAGTGCATTTTTATTACAATTAGCAGGGGTGATCTTGTCTATCAGATTGCTTTCCTTCGTACATTCATACAGCCATCTTCATCTCAATCTTGCCGTGGCACTTGTAGTTCTCTATGACAAAGTCGTCTGGCTTGAAGGCGTCTATGTCGCTCACTTGCCGCGCGAACTTGAATGTTGGGAAGGGGTACGGCTCGCGCTTGATTTGCTCTGTTGGCGCATAAGGGAAGGAGGAGGTAACGCATCATGCCGCGCGATCAGGGATAAAGATGAGGAGGAGGCGAAGAATTCCAGGGCACGCACCTTTCAGTGGCTCGACGTGATCATTGTACACGTGCGCATCGCCCATGACGAGCGTCAGCTCGCGCGGCTCAGTGTCCGTGACATGAGCGATCATGTACGTCAGCAGCGCGTACGACGCAATATTGAACGGGATCCCGAGGCCGAGGTCGCAGGAGCGCTGGTACATTTGGCAGGAAAGGCCGCGCTTCGTGCTGGGTACCGCATCCGGCGCAGGCGTGTGAACGAAGAACTGGCAGAACATATGGCATGGTGGTAAGGCCATCAGCGAGAGATCTGCAGGAGAGAGGGTAAGGGTGTCAGCGTTGCGTGAGAAGACTGGAAAGAGAACATGCTCCACTCACCCTTGGGATTCCAAGCGCTCAGGATGATGCGCCGATCGGTAGGGTTCTCTTTGATCAGCCGAATAACCTCGCGAAGCTGGTCGACGCCCTTAGCGACGTATTCGGTGTCGGCATCGAAGTACTCGGCGCCAAAGTGGCGCCACTGGAAGCCGTACACGGGTCCGAGGTCGCCCTCGCGCCGATGCCCAAGACCTCGAGACTGCAGGAAGGAGAGCGAACCATTGCCGTCCCAGATGTGCACTCCGCGATCAGAGAGGAGCTACTCCAAAGGCAACCCGGATGAATGCCGGTTCTTTGAATCAGATAAATAGTCCACCATACAAAGTGTCCGGGAAGAATTAACTCACCTTGGCATCCGTCTTGCCGCTGATGAACCAGAGAAGCTCCTCAATGACGCCGCGTGTAAAGACGCGCTTGGTGGTGAGCAATGGCAACTTTCCCTGCGTCAAGTCGAATTTGAACGGCGGCGGCGCAAAGACGGCGAGCGTACCCGTGCCCGTACGGTCCGCCCTTTGTTCCCCGCCACCTTCCGAGGCGGGTGACGAAATAATGCGCGAGATGAGGGAGAGGTACTGGGTCTCTTCGTGTTGCACTGGAGGAGGGAGGACGGGCGCAGGTTTAGGCCCGACTTTGGCGCTGAAAATGCCTCCGATGGCGGGCTCGTCGAAAGAGTGGTGCGTGTATGTGAGGATGGCGATGCCGCCAGCGTCGACTTCGAACAGCCTGCCGTTCTCAATGGGCAGTCCGAGCCAGCGGGCAATGAAGACACGGTTGTAGTGACCGTGGGCGATGAGGAGGATGTCGCCTCCACGGCGGACGATCTCGGGGTCATGCGTGGTCTCTGCGTGGCCCTCGATGACGGCCTTTTGGAGGTAGCGTATGTGGGCGATGACGGCGTCAACACGCTGGGTCATCTGTTGCGCCGATTCTCCCGGGAGCTCGGCGGGGCGGGTCGGGTGGTCCGGCGTGCCGTCGCGCCAGATGTCCCAGTTCTGCATGCCGGGTCGCGCGCGGATCTGGGCCGAGGTGAGCCCTTCGCAGGCACCGTAGTCCCACTCACGGCACTCTTGACGGATCTCGGGTTTGACGACCTGCGCGCGCTCGGCGGGGGTGAGGTGCTCGAGGAGGAGCTGGAGCGTGCGCTGACTGCGGCGCCGCGGCGAGATAAAGATGTGTGAGATGCGGTGCGGGTCGACGAGCAGCCGCTTGCTGTCCTCTGCTGCTGCTCCGGGGGCGCCGGGAGCGGGAACGCCGACGATGCTCGGGGCGAGAACGCGCATTACGTGCTCGCCGTGCTCGGTGAGCGGTATGTCTGTGCGCCCAGTGTGCTGACCGGAGAGGGACCAGAGCGTCTCGCCGTGGCGGGCGAGGATGACGCGCGGCATGGCCACATGCGCTGGCGCCGTGGTAAGCGCACGTAGGTCCGGTCGTGTGCTGTGCAGGTGTGCCAGCGACGGCGCGGGCGTCTCGGTGCAGTCGAGCATTGGCGCGTCTGCCTCGGCGGCGGGGGTGGTAAACGCCATGACGGAGCCGTCCAGACGAGCAGGAAACGAGGGTGCGATGCAATGGAACGCCCCTAGCTGCGCTGTGGCTGGGTTGGGTCAGGGGCGACGGAAGATACGCCGGTCGAGACAGATGGAAGCTGTGAGCAACACGTCCTCTCTCCGAAACCCTCAGCAGCAGTAGCAGCACCAGAAGTGGGCTCGGCAGGATGCTGGTAACGCATGTAGGTTGCCACTCATCTCTCTCTCTCTCTTGGGGGCAAGCCAGGAAGCCAGCCCCGAGGCATATCTCGGCCGAGAGCAGGGCAGTGGAGCACCAGGGTAATTGTGTAAATCCACGCGGCAGCAGCAGCAGCAACGCTTGCGTGTCTGCCGCGCTCGCGCCCTGGCTGGCTGGAAGCTTCGCAGTGGGGTTAGGTGCTTGCTTAGTGGAAGTGCAGCAGTTGTAGCAGTAGCGGTAGGTGCAATTGCAGCACGCCCCTCCACGTCCTTTGGCCACAGCTCGAATACAGCATATACACGAACAACACCCCCCCTCCCGCCCCCGCCTGAGACCCGGGTGACCAGAGAGGAGAAAGGGTGCTACAGAGTGTGGTGCTTTCGGCGCACGGCAACCAACACATCCACCCATCCATCATCGCTCGCTCGCAGCTCGAACAACTATCTATACATACCGCGCTCCATCCTTGGAGGTAGATACGCAATTGCCAACCCCCCCCCTCCCTTCTTCTATCCCGGAACAGTACGCCCGGCATGGCGTCGCAGCAGCAAGGCCCGCCGCCACCACCCGCTCAAGTGCAGGCACAGGCACAAGCAAGGACGGCTCCCATGCAGGGCCAGATCAGGCCGCCTCCAAGGCCCGGCTTTCCAGGTGAGTAGCGTTGCGGAACACTGCCCAGCGCAGGGTTACGCGCTACGCAGATTGGGAACCCCACCCTTGTTCGTGGGTATGGAGCTGAGAAGGAACATGTTATCGTCCATCGGCGGCGATGGATGTACGCCCTCAACGTAGGTCAACCGCTGCCATCCGGTACTCCTTCCATGGCGCGAGCACCATCCGCCGGCCCACCTGGGCAGCCAGGCATGCAGGCTCAAGGGCGACCGCTGTCTGCGCGCCCGCCGTTCCAGCAGCAGCAGCAGCCTGCTGCGCAGGGACCAGAGCATCCCGTCCGCAATGGCAACCTAAACCCACAGCCTGGGATGGTGGCCCAAGCACAGCACCTGATGCAAACGCAGCCCGGCTTCCCTGCTCAACTAGGCGGCGCAAGGCCGCCGCCACCGGCAGGATTCCAGCCGCCTGGTGCGCGTCCGAGCCCCCAGGCCGGTTTCCAGCCTGGAGTGACGAGGCCCGGTCAGGCGCCCACGCCGCAGCCACAGCATCAACAGCAGCAGCAACAACAGCAACAGCAGAGCTTGCAGCCAGGTGGAGGTATGCCAAGGGGCCATGCGCCTATGCAGAGCATCGACCTGGGGATGGCAGGGATGGACCTCAACGCCGCCCCGGGCGGTCCTGGCGGGATGGATGGAGGCATGCAAGGTGGCGCGGCTGGACCGCCAAAGACGAAACGCAGCGCGCGTGCATACCACACCGACGCGGCGCCCGACCCATACGCCGGCGTGCAGGGAGGCCCTGGTTATCCACAGCAGCCGCAAGGACTTCAGCAGCAGCAACCGCAGCCCAACTGGCAAAAAGAAGCGGCCGCGCGCGCTGCGGCGTCGGGTGCAGAGGCGTACCTCGGCGGAGAGGGCGATGCGGCGCTCGACCAGATTCCCGGGCAGCGGAACACTATCTCGCCACAGCAGGCGTCGTTTAACCAAGCGCGGATGTATGCGCAGCAGCATGCAGGTCAGCAGCAGCAGCCGTACGGAATGGGCCAGCAGCCACTGCAACAGCAGCGACCAGGCATTAGTGGTCCAGGCGCAGGTGCAGGCGGGAACAGACCGAAGATAGAGCCGGACCAGATCCCCGCGCCGGTTGAGGCGCAGGACCAAGACCAGGAGTTCTTCGACCGCGAGTGGTTTGCCACGTGCGGCCGCGGGGGGCTGCCACTCTCGACGACCGACTACGCGGCGGTGGACCAGGGAAACTCGAACCCAAAGTATATGCGTCTCTCGACGTACAGCCTACCCGCGACAGATGAGCTGGCCGCCGCGTCACAGCTGCCGATTGCGCTCGTCGTGCAGCCGCTAGCGCAGCTGCGCGCAGACGAGGGAGCCGTCCCGCTCGTCGCGTGCCCTGAGTCGGGCCCGCCGCGCTGCAAAAAGTGCCGCGCGTACATTAACCCGTGGTTTGTGTTCATTGAGGGCGGACAAAAGTACCTGTGCAACCTCTGCGGCGCCGCAACCGAGTGCCCGCCAGACTACTTTTGCAACCTCGACATGAGCGGCCGCCGCGTCGACTTTGACATGCGCGACGAACTCAAGTTCGGCACCGTCGAGTTCGAAGTGCCCAAAGAGTACTGGGCCATTCAGGCCAAGCCGCCTCACTCGGCACTGCTCCCCGTTGCACCGGCATCGAGCATTACGGAGACAGCGCGCCTGACGCCCAAGCCGCCGCACGAGCTGGGTGCTTCCGGGGGCGCAGCGCAGTCAGCAGCAGCAGCAGCAGCAGCGCCCAACACACCGCTCTCGGCCAGTTTCACCGGCAGCACGCTTGGCATGTCCGGCAACCCGGGCGCCGCGGCGAAGCTTGCAACGAAAGCGGCGTCCGACGCGCTGAGCAACATCAACTCCTTCGCGCTCAGCGGGCCCGGCGGCGCCGGCGGCAGAACCATCGTGCGCGCCCCACGGCCCATGACGTACCTGTTCGCCATCGACGTCAGCTTCAGCGCTGTGCGCAGCGGCATGCTCAAAGCGGTCATCGACAGCATCCATGAGTGCCTCTACGGCAGCGCTGCGCAGCAGAACGGCGATGCAGAGCATGCCGATGGCGACGGCGCTGGCTCAGGCTTCGGACTGCCGCACGGCAGCAGAGTCGCCTTCGTCACCTTTGACCGCTCGCTGCACTTTTGGAACCTGCAAGCGAGCCTTGACCAGGCGCAGATGCTCGTCGTCGGCGACATTGATGAGCCTTTCGTCCCGCTGAGCGAGGGCTTGCTGGCCGACCCGTGGGAGAGCAAGAGCCTCGTTGAGGGCTTGCTCGACACACTCCCGGACATCTTTGCCGACAACATGGTAGCCGAGGCCGCCGTCGGATCCGCTGTGCGCGGCGCCCAGGCGGCGCTTAGCACGCTCGGCGGACACGTATCCATCTTCCTCTCCACCATCCCCACCATCGGCCCCGGCGCGCTCAAGCATCGCGAGGACCCCAAGCTGTATGCGACTGACAAGGAGAAGACGCTGTTTGTTGCGCAAGATTCGTTCTACAGGACCGCAGGGGAGGAGTGCACAGAGGCAGGCATCGGCGTCGACGTCTTCTTCTTCCCGAGCCAGTACATTGACGTAGCCACCATCGGTGAGACGCTGGCAGCTGGCGAATGTCGCTTCGTGGCGAGATCCTAAGCTGACGCGGTTCTTTCCCTTCCCTTCGCTCCTCTCCGGTCGGTAGGCGCGCTTCCTGGCTTGACCGGTGGCGACGTCTTCTTCCACCCGCGCTTTGACCCGTTGCGCGACAGCGTCCGCCTGCGCTCGCAGATCAAGCGCACGCTCCTGCGCGAGACCGGCTTTAATGCGACGCTGCGCATACGTGCGTCAAACGGCCTGCGCGTGCACGAGCACGTCGGCAACTTCTTGCAGCGCAACGTTACCGACCTCGAGATGGGATCGATCGACTCGGACAAGGCGTTCGCGTGCCTGATCAAGCATGACGGAAAGCTAGATGAGAAGCAGGAGGCCCACTTCCAGTGTGCCATCCTGTATACCACCGCCGATGGCGCGCGCAGGGTCAGGTGCCACAATCTGGCTGTCCCCGTCACGCAGCTCCTCGGAAACGTCTTCCGCTACGCCGACATGGACGCCACCGTCGCGTACTACACCAAGGAGGCTGTATCTCTCGCGCTGACCAAGCCTCTTAAGGAGGTGCGGCATTTCCTGACGAGCAAGTGCGTCAAGATCCTCCTCGCGTACCGGAGGAACTGCGCCTCCTCCACCAGCCCCGGTCAGCTTATCCTACCCGAGTCGTTCAAGCTGTTCCCGCTGTACACGCTCGCCATGAACAAGACCAAGGCGATCAAGGGCGGCAATGTGACCTCGGATGTACGCACAGTGTACATGCGAAACTTGCGCAGCTGGAGCGTCGGCAACATCATGGCGAGCTTGTACCCGCGCATGATCGCACTGCACCGCATGGCCGAGACGGATGGGTTCCCAGTCAAGGTCCAGGACGTCGACGGGGCCGAGCATGACGGGCAGCGCATCCGCTCGCCGCCGCTGATGCGTCCGAGCTACATGCGGATGGAAACGCACGGCGCGTACCTCGTCGATAACAGCGAGATGTGCATCATCTGGATCGGCGGAGAGGTCAATCCGAAACTGCTCGAGGACTTGTACGGCGTCGACAGTCTGGACGCGATCGACCCAAGGATGGTGCGTATGGAGCGTTGCCTTTTCTGCCGATTATTACAGGTGCTGACCCGAGCTCGATTTTCCTTACACCTTTTGCTCTCTTTGTATGCTTGCAGACGACCCTGCCAAAATTGCAGACCAGGCTGTCACAGCAGGTCCGCAACCTTGTTGCCGGCTTTGCACGGCAACGCGGCAAGCCGGACATGCCTGTTCTCATCGCACGACAGGGACGCGACGGAAGTGAGCATGGCTTTCTTTTGGGGGGACCAGGTCAGCCATGTGCGCGCTGCTGACGCTTTGATTTTGCACATGATCCTTGCAGCCGAGATTGAATTGGCTAACAATCTAGTCGAAGATCAAAACAACGATGCGATGTCTTACGTGGATTACCTGTGCCATGTGTCAGTATGCCTTTTTGCCGTCTCTGCGTATTCATGTGCGAGCGATTGGTGCTGACATTTCTCGCGACAATTGGTTGGTTTCGTCGTTGCAGGCACCGAATCATCACGGCAGAAATGTCGGGCACCGGCTCGAAGGACGAGGAGGGTAGCTCGATCTGGAAAGGGTGGTAAGCTCTACGCGGGAGAGCCGTCGCAAGCCCTTTCACGTCTGCCCGACGAAAAGAGTGCTGGGGATGCATTTCACAAGCGATCATTCCTTCACCCCCACAACAGCACAGGTGTATATAAAATGACAATGCCAATACCAAGCATGCAATGGAGCAGCCATGGGGCCTGTGCGTCTCATATTGAGATACTAGTGGCTTGTGGGTGAGGCTACATTACAAATGGTGTACGTTCGGATCGAGGACAGCTTTGACACGATAGCAATGGGAAGGAAACACTAGGCGGGAAGCTCACGCCGCCGAGCAGGCGCACTTCTCGCCGCATGTGCAACGCTTGCTGTATATAACGGGAAAATAGGCGCTACGTGTCAGCCAGTCCTTTCGAAGCTTGGGCACTCGTCGAGGCGACTTGCTCAGCCGAGGGCAAGTGCGGTACTTACGAGCAGGAGCAGCTTGACTGGCACGCTGCCTGGGCAGCGCACGTGCAGGGACCGCAGTTGCCGCCGCAGGCGGGGCGCGCTTCGAGGTTCGAGCAAGGGCACTGCGTGGATGTTTCAATCGTGGTTGGAGATGGACAAGGAAAGCAAGTCAGCGGCCCGCTATCGAACGCAGTGGGGAGCGAGAGGATGGCGGTGATGCTCACAGCCATGTTGGCGCAGATGAAGCGCTAGGTATACGTTGCCAGGGTACTTCGTTTGAGGGTCAGTCACAACGCTTCAACGTCGCTGGAGGATAAGGATGGTGAAGAAATCATGGAGTCTACTGGAGATAAGATGGAGTATATATATATATGCTTGCATTCCGTACGTGCTTCAACTATACATTGGAAGTATGACGTAGGTCAAAAGTCGGGCATTAGTAGCGCTTTTTCCCTGCGCCCTCGGCGCACACCGCACGCCAAGATGGCCAGGGCAAGCCCAATTCGCACCCACATGATGCGCTGATTTTGCCTCTGCCGCTGGTTGCGCGGGTTTTGCCCCTGCTCCACCACCATCGCTCGTCTCGTTTACCAGCAGCAGCACGTCGGTGAGCCATGACAAGCACAAAACAGTGATCAATGAGCCTCCGACCAGCCCTATACACATACATACCTACATACCTGGCGGGGATCTCCATGAGGAGGGTCATGTTATGTGCAGATCTCGGAACCGAGATTCATCAACGCACCAGCCACTACTTGATACGGCAACCCATGCCAAACAGGTATTAGCGCGTCTCTGTTTGAATGGGAATTTTGACAAGTAATTGTCTTGTATGTACGACTTTTGCGAAGAACCAGAAGTTCGATGTGGCCCGCGAGTCGTAACGCAACACAATTGGGATTCACCCTGGATCATCCGCAGGGGTATCGCAAACAGGCACCAGGCTCCAAGCAAGCTGGAGAGTGAATAATAAGCAGCTTGGTTGTTGCTGGTGGCTCTGGGCTCGTCCACCGTCCGCTCGATTCGGGACAAGACTATCCATGCGCCGGGGGACTGCCAACGAAGCATTGATGTGTTGCCCTCTGCTCCAAGCTCTCTGTCAGTCCAACGAGGGCCTCAGCCCGTCCGATTGCTCTAGCGTAGATATGCATGCGGCTTTGTGCGACCGTTGATTATGTAATGTGGTTCGAAGTCGGCGGAATCATAGTAGATGAGAAAAGCGTGCGGTGCGGAGCGCTGCCTTGGATTCTTGCCCCTAACCCTCATTCACACAACAGTTGCTAGCCATCCATCCAGCCCCTTAACCCGTCCCAACTCGCCCCGCACCAGTGTACAACGTATTAGGCGGCGACTGCGACAACGGCGATCATGGGCCAGCCGTCAGCGTGTTTCAATGTATGCCGTACATCGATGCATACCCTCGACCCAAAATTCACAGATCACCCCTGGCCCTCAACCCATCGCTCACAATATCCGTCAAATAGATAGAAGGCGGTGTGTGGATGCGCACCCCGTCATCATCCTTGGGAACTGCGCTCGCCCGCTCGCTCGCTGGTGCGTTTGCTCTCGCCTTCTTTCTCTGCTCATCATTCACAGTGTATTTGCGGCCAGAGAAACCCGCTGCCCTGATTTTATCTCGTGCGTGCAGCGCTCCCGTCTGCTCACTGTAGCCAGGCCAACCCAGCCCAGCCCAGCTAGGGCTGGTCCAGTCTGTCTCAACGCCGCATGTCGGTCGCTCCGCGCAACAAAGCCTACGAAGGACACCTGCACCCACGTGTGACGTATATCGCATTGCCCCTGCTGTACCTGATGGGAGTTTTTTCCCTTCTCTGTTCAAGCCGTATTTTGCAGGCCTCCGTGCAAGTGCTCGCTGGCGCACCGACGGCCCTGTGCACCTGTGGTTCTTCTCGCTGCGGATGATAAACATGCGCCGACGTCAATGTAATATAAAGGCTCCGTCATCGTCGCGAATACTCGTCCCCGTTTCGTATCTCGCTCTTCCTGCTGTGCATTGTGTCTTGCGGTCTGTCCGCGCAGCTAGCTGACCGTTCTCGTTTTGCCGCTGTCAGCTTCGCATGCCCCGTCCTTACTAGGTTTGATTCGAAGCAAAGACAAAAGCCTAAAGCAAGATGACTGCCCAGCACAGCCAGAACCCCTCGCTCACCGACGACGACGATGATGACAAGAGGGCCTTCGCCCCAGACTCGCCCGCCGACGTGACGAGCTCCAAGGAGGACATCGAGAAGGTCGTCGCCCCAGGACCTGTCGCCGTCGCCTTTGCCGAATCAGCAGCTCGCGCCAACGCCAGCAGCAGCGGCGCCGGCTTCCCTCGCACCGACACGCGAACCAGCCGCGTCAGTGTTGGCTTCCCACGCTCCGACACGCGCCAGTCCATGCGCTCCACCGCCGGTGGCGGCCTACAGCGCAGCACGACGCGCGCGAGCCAGCACGCAGCGATCCCGATCGGCTTCCGCACACTCTCGATCCAGGTTGAGGAGACGCAGGACGCGCAGCGCCGCAAGTTCGCTGCAGTCTCGGCCAAGCAGGGCAAGCGTAAGGACGCTGAGCCAGGCGCCGCGGACGCTGAGTACTTCTCGACGCTCGACTACCACACGCTGCCCGCCAAGCAGGTCTATGACGGCCTCAACGTTCACCCGGACCACGGCCTCGACGGCGCAGCGGTCAGCAGGCGCTTGCAGCGCGATGGTCCCAACACGCTCGTCGCCAAGCGCCCCAACTACCTCATCAAGTTGGCCAAGTATGGTACGTTCTGCTTGCTCCGGGTGCATGCTCGCCGTGCAGGCTTGAAATGCTGACGCGATGGCGCGCGTCCCTGTTCATCCAACAGTCTTTGGCGGGTTCTGCTCGATTCTGTGGGTCGGTGTCGTGGTGCGTACCATACAGTCAACGATGCTACACCCTGCAGAGTGCATCCTGACCATGTCTTGCCTTGCTGTGACCCCGCCCACAGATCTTCTTCATCAGCTGGCGTCCGCTCGGGGATCCCAATCCCCAAGCGTACAATCTAGCACTGGGTGAGCAACGATCGGTCTACTCACATGATGTTCTATAGCGCATGCTGATTTGAGTCAACACGGCGCCACATTCCAGCCATCCTCGTCATTCTCGTCATCATCCTCCAGGCCATCTTCAATGCAGGTCAGGACTGGTCAACAGCCCGTGTGATGAATAGCATCAAGTCGCTGCTTCCCGCCGACGCCGTCGTCATCCGCGATGGGCAAAAGCAGACGATCAAGGCGTCCGAGCTCGTCGCTGGCGACCTCGTCGTGCTCACGCAGGGCGTGCGCGTCCCCGCGGACATTCGCCTGCTTGCTGTCTCGGATGACCTCTCCTTCGACCGCGCCATCCTCACCGGCGAGTCTGAGGAAGTCGCCGGAACTGTCGAGACAGACGAGAAGAGTTTCCTCGAGGCGAAGAACATCGCCTTCCTCGGCTCGCACGTCGCCAGCGGCTCCGGAACCGGTGTCGTTGTTCTCACCGGCCCGCGCAGCGTCATGGGCCGCATCAACAAGCTTACCAACACTGGCGTTACGAAGAAGACGAGCCTGCAGCGCGAGATCGACCGCTTCGTGCTCATCATCATCGGCCTCACTGTCACGCTCGTCATCATCATGCTCGTCTTCTGGCTCGCATACCTGCGCAGAGAACATGCAGGCTTCCTCAACGTCGTCGGCATCCTCACCAACCTCATGTCTCTCGTCGTCGCCTTCATCCCCGAGGGCATGCCCATCGGGGTCGCACTGACGCTCAGCTTGATCGCCCGCAGGATGAGGGACCAGCGAGTTTGTAAGTCGGCAACCAAGCGTGGATGTGCCCTGCACCTCACTGACGACTTTGCTCTCCGGCAGTGCCAAAGTCGCTGTCCACCGTCGAGACTCTCGGATGCATCACCATGCTGCTGAGCGACAAAACCGGCACGCTCACAGAGAACAAGATGACCGTCACCACGATCTACTGCGGAGGCGAGATGTTCGACGCCAGCCTACCTGCTGACGACGCGCACAAGTCTTCCGCCGCCTACGCCTCCTTTGAACGCGCCATGGTGCTCTGCAACGACGCTTTCTTCGAGACCAAGGCTGGCGATGAGGGCGACGAGGAGGAGAAGGCCGAGGCAGCGATCGTCGTCGCCAAGGGCAACGCCACGGACTGTGCGGTGTTGTACTACGCGTCCCAATCGGCGGATTACGACCGCATCGCCGAGCGCTATGAGCGCCGCTTCCAGATCCCGTTCAACTCGAAGAACAAGTTCATGATGACAGCGCATGTCGACGCTAGCGTTGCAGATGTGAGCAAGCGCGGCCAGACGGTCGTCCTGTTCAAGGGTGCCCCCGACATTCTGCTTGCCAAGTGCGCAGTGCCAGACGACGTCCGCCAGGCGATTGAAGCAGCGCAAGAAAGCATGTCGGCGCAAGGCCAGCGTGTCATCCTCCTCGCCGAGAAGCCAGCCACGGACGACTCGTGGCCGTCGGAGCAGGACACAGCCGCGTTGCGCGACCTTGTCTTCCTCGGCCTGATCGGCATCGTCGACCCGCCTCGCTCCGACATTCCGCATACCGTCTCCGAGGTCCGTCGCGCCGGCTGCCGCTTCGCGATGGTCACAGGCGACTTTGTCACCACTGCCACAGCCATCGCACGCCAGTGCGGTATCGTCACGACTACCTCTGTCTCGCGCCTCGCGTCCATCCCCGCCGACGTCGATGTCGATGCGCCCGGCGGGTTCGAGCTGCCGCATGCGCTCACGATTGAGGGCAAGGAAATCCCCGCGATCACCCAGGCGCAGTGGGACGTCATCACGCGTGTTGAGGAACTCGTTTTTGCGCGCACCACGCCCGAGCAGAAGCTCGCCATCCTCCGCGAGTTTAAGGATCGTGAATATATCGTCGCCATGACCGGCGACGGCACCAACGACTCGCCTGCGCTGAAAGCGGCCGACGTCGGCATTGCCATTCTCGGAGGGAGCGATGTTGCCATCGAGGCTGTGAGTGTGCGCGTGTCCAGATTCTCGGTAGCAATCCCTAAATCCCTTTTTCTCCCTTTCATCATTTGTCCTACAGGCTGACTTGGTCCTCATGGGAGACTTTTCGTCCATCATCCCGGCGATGCGCCAAGGTCGTGTCTGCTTCCAGAACTTGCAAAAAGTGAGAGAGCGACGAGATGATGTTCACTTTTTTTTTCAAAAGCTCACTTCCAGCGTTGTTGGGGTGTGCCCTAACAGGTCATTGTATACCTCCTTCCTGCCGGTAGTTGGTCAGAGGACTGGCCAGTCGTCTTCAATGTCTTCTTTGGTGAGTGTATCATGTGTCCTGAGATGGAGAGTGTATCCCACATGCTGACAAGTTTGCTTTTGCTCCTTCAGGCGTTCCACTTGCGCTGAGCTCATTCCTCATGATGTGAGTCAGATGAGCGGCGATAAGACCTGAAGTCCCTGCCAGAGCAACAGCTGACATGGTATCTCTGATTCTGTTCAGTATTATTTGCTGCTTCACCGACCTGGCAAGCTGCCTAACGTTGATCATGGAGCAGGAGGAGTTCGATCTGCTGTCGCTACCGCCGCGATCTCGCAAGGACCATCTAGTCAACTTGGCTATCTACGGCCAGGCGTACTTCTTCATCGGTACCATGTTCACGCTCTGTGCTCATTCAAGTGAGTACTTTATCCACATAAGCTGGCGAGCACGAGCGGTTCATATGGAAGCTGACTGCATCTCCCATTCGCCAATCGCACTGCAGTGTTCTTCCTCTACATGTGGCAAGAAGCACGTATCCCGCCACATGCGCTCTTCTTCGCTTACGAGAAGTACGGAGACGGTTTCTACGGATACACGGCGGATCAGCTCACAGCATTCAATGCCACGGGTCAATGCTGTTACTTTGTCTGCCTTGTCATCATGCAGATGTTCCACTTGCTCTCGTGAGTGCATTTCACACCGCATAGCTTGGCTCTTTTTTGGTACAGACGCTGACGGACTCTCGAGCTTTTGCCAAATTCAGCGTTCGCAACAAGAAGTTGTCCATACTCCAAGCGGACCCGATCCGTCCAGCGCGCCGCAACCTCTGGATCTTCCTCGGAATCTTTATCTCGCTTGGTATCGCCATCTTTGTCGTCGAGGTACCCGGAATCCAGACTTTGTTCGGGACTGCCTCCATTCCGATCCGCTTCTGGCTCATGTACGTGGCTGGCGCGCGTGCGCATGCGCCCATCGCTATTGTACAAGGCACTGACACTTCATCTTACTCTCGCATTGTAACAGGCCCATCCCTCTTGGACTCGGCGTGCTAATCGTCGATGAAGTACGCAAGCTGCTGGTGCGCACTTTTCCGAAGGGGCCCATCGCAAGGATCGCCTGGTAGCTATGGGGTCCTTTTGGCCGAGTACATCTTGGCCCTGGGCCTCGCTAACGAAGTAATGGTTGGATACGACGGGGAGCACCCGTCCGCCCCTGTTTCCTGATGGAATAACGGCACCTGCATCATGATGTATGTAGCATTAGTACTCTTATAGAGCTCAAAGGCAGTAACGCTTAAAGTCGACAAACTTGATGCTGCTATTTGTTTCACGTTGAAGCAATGCTGAGACAAAGCCAGCCTTAACTAGGGGAGGCTCGAAAAACACCCAGTGAGCTATATAAAGATGTAGATGAGGAAATGTCGCGACTGCCTTTGAATCATGTCGACCAGGGCGGCCAACATGGCTTCCATGGGCTTGTGAGGCGGTACATTCGATGTCGTGGCCAGCCTGCTGGAGAGTTCCACGGGCTAAGCTTTACATAGCTCATATGTGACACATCTGGCGCATCGATGGCACATACCTTGACACGTCGGCACTTTGACCTCACCGGGCCAGGTATCGATGATCTAGTCGTCTCAATGGAATGAGAAGCTCTTTCATAACCTCGACTCAAGCTCAACTGTCATTAGAAGCAAGCCTCAGATTGGAGGATCAAGCATCCGAGGATCTAAGCTGCTGCAATGGAAGGAGTGTTTCTGAGTGCAAAATTGGTGCCTATCCCAATGACAGTTGAACTTGGATCAAGGCGATGAAAGCCTCGGCGTCGAATGCGCGTGTCCGTTGCCTTCCTCGACCATCGCCCTCTGCCAGCTGCTGCAAGACCATGAGCTACTTGGCTGGGGCATACTCGTATGTTTGGAGAGTAGGAGTATTTATTTTCATGTACCCAGGACTCGCGTGTTTCGTGCGAGTAGATAGAACGATGAACCCCGAAAGTCGCCGAAGGCACTGAAAGGTGATGCGGAAGAGGTGAGGGAACTCCAACGATTCACAACCGCGCGTTATCCGACGATGACACGGCATCGCTGATGGATGATCATCTCCATTATCTGCGTTAAGTACACCACCGAACTGGCTGCTTGCTCTTTTCGGCCACACCCCGCTATCGCATTTTCATCTTTGACAGACGCTCCTCTTCGAGTAATTCGCCGCAGCAGAGTGAATCTTGCTGAGGAGGCAACTTGCGGGCTCCTCGATTCCCTCGCCGGGTCGACCACCCTTCATTCTGACGCATTGCGCACTCGCGGAATGTCAAAGGCAAAGTCCAAATCTCTGCCTGCGGGGCTTAAATCTCTTATCACAGGACCGACATTTACGCTGCTGGCGAGAGCATCGGTATCTGCGGCGACAGGAACTCGGTTCGGCCGTGCGGCTGGCCCCGCTCCTGCGCCCAAGGCAGATATCCTCCACAGTCTTTTCGAGAAGCTCGACAAGGATGCTGCCGCAAAAGGAGTGGGCTGGGGGGAATGGATGAGCTTGGCAGTGAGTTTGGAGAAATTGCTTGATGTGCACAAACCAGTTCTTACCTTTCGTGGCCAACCTGGTGCTCGAACAGACAGCGACATTGTTCACTCTCAACTCTTCCGGATCGCTCCAATCACTCCATCGCTACACCACCTCAAAGTTGCCATCGATTTCTCTGGCAGATCGAGTCAGCCGGGCGTGCCTGATGCGTGAAGTCGGACTCAAGTGCATTGGCTTCATTGGTATTCCCAAAGTCATCAACAATCTGGCAGCCGTAAGAGCTGCAGTGGAAGAAGACCAAGAGCTCGCAGCTCAGCTGCCTACAGAGCCACGGAGGTGAGTGCAAGACTACAGTACACCTGCGTTTTCACTGAAGTACCGCATGTGCTCCCTCAGACGCATCACGAGTGACATTCACTCCCGAGTCAACGATGCGGCCTACGAGCTTTGGGATGATATCTACCAACCACATTCCAAGAAGCTGCTCGGAATCCTCGGCAAGAGCCACCCGGATTTGCCAGTGAGTCTTGCCCGTCTTTGCGCGATCTGATATGAGCGCAAGCTCAAAGTGGTTCTTTTTCAATCTCCCTACTGGTGTCTCGGTGGGTTTCTTGGCATGCAGGTATTCATTGTCGAGTCAGAATACGGCCCGTTGTTCCAAACACCGTCATCCTTCCACCCTCAATCTGCCTCTTCCGATCCAGATTGGGAAGTGAATCGCCTGCGCACCTCGCTCGTCGCCATCGCATCCCTGCGCGCGCAGGGCGGCGTTGGACCGCAAGTCACATCGCACGTCTGGGGTCTGATGAAGGCCGCGCCAAGCATCGCGCAAGATGACCCGCACAAGGACGGCCTCCAATGGCTCGCCACGGAACAGGGCGCGGAATGGGTCCTTCGCAGCGTCACTTCGATCTGCGAGACGATCGAGGGCGCTAGCGAGGCTGACTTGCATCAACCAGGGCAAGAGACGAGGGAGAGCAAGCTGTAATGAAGTGTTACCGGTTGCAAGTTGCATCGTAGAGTTGTGTAGATGTTCTAAAGTACAACAGAATCCGAGAGTTTAGATGATACATTGATGAGTATGTGCAATGCGAGCCAAGCAATCACCCGTGAGGGTTAAGAAGCGTCCTATCCAAACAAATCCCGCACGAGTTCCCGCAGAGCGCCGGCAAGCTCCTGCCTTGTGTGCTCCACATCAGCTGCACCTCCTCGGCGGCCCAGGCCAGCACGGCTTCGAGTCTGAGTAGCTTCTCGTCGCCGGCGAGCCCGTCGCGCTTCATCTTCTCGGCGCCGACGCGCTCGATCCGTAGCGGTCTTCCGCGATCGCGTGCGCCAGGACGCCACATCATCGCCACCATACCCGTCGTCACCGTCGTCATCGTCTACATCTCCTTTAACTGGGATGAAATAGTCATCATCGTCATCCGGAAGGCCGAGGTCGAATCCTGCGAAATTGCTCCAGAGGCCCTCACCAGCGGCATTTTCTCTGCTTGCTGCCCCAGTGCGCAGCCGTTGACCAGCGTCTCGTCTTTGCTCTGCTCCCGTCGCCCCCGCCCGTGCCCGTCTGCGGGGGTCCGATGCACGAGCTTGGCCGCCCTCGTGCTCGGCGGCAAGCCCACCGAGGCCGATGCTGTTGAGCAGCGGCTGCAGAAAGCCACCGATCTCCCGCACCTCCTCATCGCTGACGTCCAAGCCCATCTGGCGCGCGACACTCGGTATGCTACTGCCTAGATTTGTGACATCCACTGCAGCTGCCGCGCCATCTCGCTTCACTCTTCGATTCAACTGCGCCTGTCGGGCTGGGGCTCGGTACGGCTTCTGCTGCTGTTGCAAGGTAGCGAGGAAGGGCAGCCAGGCTGCTAGGCCACTCAATGTGACTGGTGTCATGGGTAGATCTGTTTAATCGCGTAGACGAGTGGATCGCGGATGGAGCGGATAGTCGAAGTTGTCAGCCTCTGACTGCCAGGACTGTGTGTGCGACATTCAGAGCAGTGAAAGGGAAAGAATAAGGACAAGAATGGACAATGTTCATCGGCTTCCGACCGATACGCCTTAAGTGGGGAAGATCAAGCCTCCTAAGCTGCTCAGCACTCACCTCTCGCGGCTCCGTTTGCAACGCTGCCGACTCCGCTCCAGAAGCCAGATGAAGGCTGGCCTGTGCTGTTGATAGTACCAGCCTCACTTGTCCACCATGCGTAGCCACCGAAGACTGCGCCGAGTATGACGCCCCATTTTACGGACCACCACACCAGCCGTGCGGTAGACTGAACCGTTCGATATACTGTAAGAAGCGCTAAGTAGCCGGCGAGCAGGGCGATCAACGGCGGCAGCAGCGTCGATTTCCACGACGTTGGACTGAGGAGACGAATGCGATCAGTCGCGAGCCTACATCAAACGACCGCGTCGATTCTGAAATTTCTCACTCATTGTACAGGCCGAAAAACAGGCGATAGATCAAGTTGGAGAAGCGTGCTAAGATGTAAAAGACGGGCCGTGGAATGAAAGCGTCCAATAGCTGATGGACTAGGTCGTCCATTGCGAAAAAGGCTGATTTTAGGCCTTTCGAATCGAACGCTGCTCTTGAGGTTGATTGTCACTCTGTGGCCGAAGAGTGCGCCTTGCGTGCCATGCAACGTATGCGTGTGCACGTCAATCGAAGACACTCGGAGTTCTCGATCCACGCACTTAAGGCAGCACGAGCTGAGAGATCAAACGGTGGATAGGAACGTAACCTTGTACTTCTTGTGACAAGTAGCCCAGCGTTGAAACTCGGACCACGGCAGTAGGGCATGACGTGGAACAAGTGGTCGTAGAAAGTGAGAATGACTAGCTTGCTCGAAGCCCCGAGCTCAGGTGCGGAACAAGTGCATAACGCACATGTAAGTCCCGAAACATCCGAATGGATCCCGGAAAGTCACAGAGGCACAGATTTCCGGTACATTTAAAATAAACCCGTGGGTGAAAGGAACGTGGATCTCGCGAAAATTGAAAAAGGGAGTTAAATACAAGCCGTTCCCTAGATAATTGCCCCCATTAAACGCAAACCCTGACGGAGCACGAACAGTTTGCACTTGATGCCATTCCTAATGTCCTAATGGCAAGTGTCACTGTAACTTTCGGTCCTTTCGCCCCACAACCATGGGCGCCAGATTCAGAGACACTAAGCTTGTCACTGGGGATACGAAGATGGCTGGTTTCACTATCTTGAGCTGCTGGCGATAAAGCAGCTCAAAGCCTCCTCTCGTTCCGACAAGCTGCGGCTAGCTTATGTGGAGCCGACGCTGCCTGCTTCACCCCCGCCCCTCCCCCCACGCCGACTACCCATCACTGGTGCAAGTGATCTTCGAGCGTCCCTGAATACCGACGTTCTCTTGCAGGAACACCGAAGAGCGACCGCCATGTTCTCAAGATTGCGCTTTCGTAACCCGCTACAAAATGTTTCTCCAAAGGCGCGAAACACATTGCTCGTACTAAGTGCAATCTATGGCGGGACCACTTTAGCCGCGATCTTGATTGGTCCGGGGCGAATATTCCAATGTGGGTTCGCTACACACAATCGCTTTCTCCAGCCGATGTCATATTGACTGTCTGTCAACCTCACTTTGTCGAATTGCATCACCGCAGCCGTCGTCCTAATCTCACAATGGCTTTCAGCGCAGCCGCACGGCCGGCTATTAGTTCTGGGCCTGATCATCCTCTGCTCCTTCCCACCTATGGTCGGCTACTCAAATTCCATCACGCTCTGCGGCCTTGCTTTCGGCTCTAAAGCCTCCAAATCTGCATCTTCGCCTGAAGGTCATTCGATATGGGAAGGCTTCGCGCTTGCCGTCACCGGTGCAATGCTCGGATCTTCGCTCGCATTTATGGGGCTGAGGCTGGGTATGAGGGCCTTTAGGCGCTCAAGATGGATCAGATACGTCAAAGAGAGCAGGCAATGGGTCGCGATGGGAAAGGCGGTGGAAGAAAGAGGCTTCACCATGATTCTGCTCATAAGGTGCAGCCCGTTTCCTTTCGTCTGTGAGTTGAGAGCGTAAGCATCGTGCGGCCCGGCGTTTGTGTCGCGCTATGAGCTGATTTTCAATATGTTTCGCCGGGAAATGTCCAGACTCGAATCTGTTCTTCGCCACGCTCGATGCAGTTACTTTCCCGCGATTCTTCCTGGCAACGCTTCTGTCAACTCCAAGGCTACTCTTGCATGTTTACATCGGCAGTGTGATGTACGAGCTATTTGACGAGGCGGAGCGCGCAGCAATGCCGACGCACGTCAAAGAACTCGACGCGTTGTCCATCACTCTGGGCATTGCAGTAGGTGCTGGAACGGGCTGGTGGCTTTGGAGGGTCATGAACCGTATTCTGGCGGAGGAGGAGGTAGAGTGTATGACTGCTGACCCCGCAGGTCCGGCCCGTCTCAGTCGAGAAGAAGCGAGCGAGGAATATGAGAGAGACAACTGGGCACGGAGGCGTTTGCACAGGGAGGACGAGCTCGCATAAGCACTTCAACTGCGAGAAGCGGATTGACACGCATATGCAGGAATAGATCGTGGACAGTGGGTGAACGTGTCCTGGGAATAGGAGCATGAACTGGTATCAGTGCTGCACATATCTCTATACATGCAGTATACCGCGCTGGTACGGGTCACAGTGGAGCTCAGAATTTGGGGCTCCCATCGGGATTGAGCACCTGCCAATTGCCAAATCAGCTTAGGGTTCAAAGACGCATGCGACGTGATGATGTGACATACCGAACTGAAAGCGGACAGCCACGCCTGCTTAGCCGTCATCTTGCCCAGCTTTGGGTCGTCCTCAATCACGTCGCCGTGGCACATCTGCGGGAGCACGCGAAGATCATACTAAGTGAGCGAAATAGCGAGAGCAGCGTAGCGGAAGAATCCTCTCCGGCTCACCACAATCCGCTCAAAGTCCCATGCTGCGACGGCAGCAGCATCGGCGGCGAATGCCTTTTTGCGCTCGAGCGTGCTGCCTCCCTGTTTGCTCAGACCAGATACTGGAGCGAGGGCGTCCGGGATGGGTGCACCTGCCGATGCAATCTTGATGAAAAACGAATGGAGGGAGGAGAATGGGTTGAAACTACATGAAAACCTGGCCAAGAAAGGGATCGGGGAGTACGGCTGCCCTTTTGGATGGCCGGAAAACTGTTCCCTGAAGGAAGCAAGGGGAACGAAGTGTTGATGAATTATGTGCTCGATTCGTAATGAGCCAGGACACAGCGGAGGCAGTCGACTCTGGGCTTACCTCGCAGGTAAATTGAACAGAAGATCTGCCGTGATCATCGTTTTGGAGTCTTTGTGGAAGAAGGCGACATCACGATTTGGAAATGTGCCGAAGAACCGTGCAGCGATCTCATCTTCAAAGCCGTACTTCGTGCATTCCTTGTCTCTGCCGTACAATCCAGCAAACTTCACGTCTGCGTTCTTTTTTTCGAGGCCCAGAACACCGATGACCTGAAATCAATCGAACAGCAAAGGAAGGGCAGGAGGAGATCGAAGATCAGCAAGCGTTTCCTATAGATAATGGGTCGGCGCTTTGCTTTGCGTATCAGAGCCATGCGCACCTTTGCCTCCGGATACGCTTCAGAGTACTGTTTCAGGAAGAGGCTATGCACGTTATCTGGTGCGACGATCCAACCAACTTTGCCCATCGCGTCGATTTTCTCCCTCGTCAGTGCATTGAGCGGAGAGGAGGCGAGGAGCCAGACAGTGCCAGAGCCGGCGCCATTCGTGCTAGTACTGCCGTTTGCACCACGCAGCTTGATCGCGGTCGATCGACCGCCGACGGGGATAATGCCAAAGCGAGAAAATGGGACGGAGAAGGTGCTCAGTCCCGGGACCACCTCACGGTAGACTGTTTGCCCGACGCCCATTTTGCTGCGCTGCACTATGGGGCTCTCTAGGCAGACGGCGCGTCGCAAGCCGGGATGTTCACTAGGCCGAGTGTAACGCTTGCTAACGATGACTACAAGCAGCCTGCGTGCGTAGATGTCGTCCAGTACGGTTCGTATAGCGTATAGGAGGGCGATATTAGCCTAATGGGGTGTGTGTTATGCCGTACGACATTGTATCAGGCAAAAAGGCAACCCTTGATACATAAGGACCTCACAAAGTGCTGCTGATGTGCTGATGCGTGATGGCATCATTGCAATCGCGCGAGGAGTCTGATTCGGTGCAAGCCTCCTCCCATTGTCCTCGGCGGGATGATACATCCATCAGCCGGCTGCTGCAAGGCCCGGCTACTGCAAGGCCCGGCTGCTGGCGCTCAGGTTTGTTGGCGAGGTTCACAAGCTAAGCACAAGGACAAAATGACTTTCCATACCGTATTCACTAGACACGCTGTTCATCATCATCCGCCCATTTTCATAGTGATTCCGACTTTGACTCAGTATATCTATCTTATGTTTACTTCTTAGATCGTCTCTAGAATCGAAGCCTGTGATCTACCGCAACCATGGCGCCCCGAGTCATCCTTTACGGGTGAGTGAAGCTGCGCCCTCCCCACTGCCGACAATGCGTCATGCTCACCTCTCTGGCCATCTGTTCGTGTCCACTCCCTCGTTCAGCTACACCTTTTCACCCTACACGGTCAAGATCAGCACCCTCTTGCTGCTCAAGAATATTCCTTTCTCGCTCGTGACCGTGAAGCATGCGCCACCGCAACCGCACCTCCCGCGCCCCGAGCTGGACCTGCTCGGAGTGACGTACCGACGCATCCCCGTGCTCAGCATTGATGGCGATCTCTTCTTCGACTCTAACTTAATAGCCGAAGAGATCGAGCGCCGCTTTCCGCCGGGAATAGGAGAAGGCTACGTGTCTATCATTCCCGGGCCTTCGACCGGGGCTAGCTCCTTGTTCATGGCATCCATGAACGCTCTGTCCTCTCGTCTACTTGCCATCTGCGTCTCTCTGCTGCCCGAGTCTGCGCTATCCAACGAGCACTTTGTCAAAGACCGCGAGGCGATGACAGGGCGGTCCTTCAAGCCTGCTGAATTTGCCAGGGTTCACCCGATGCAGCTTGCGGCGCTTCGTGCCAACTTGGCTGAGATCGAGCGACAGGCAAAGCCCAATCGAAGCAGGTACATCCTCGGCACGTCCACGCCTTCCTACGCAGATATCGCACTGTGGTTCTCATTAGAATGGATATGGGCGCTGCACACAGGTGTGGTGAAGCAGAAGACCAACAGCGCCATCTCCAAGCAAGTCATCGCGACGTTGTCCGACACGCAGCGGTTCCCCTCGGCACTAGCTTGGTTAGGCAAGATGCGGACCACTGTTGCGTACGCCAAGGAAAATGCAGGTTGGGAAGCGAGCGCGCTCGCAGGCGAGTGCATTAAGGCCGAGGAAGCGGCGGAATTCATCAAGTCGGCACCCAAGCTGGCCTCGACCGAACCCGCATTCGTTTCATTCAACGATGAAGATCCACTTGTCGTGGCTGGATGGGTCAAGAAGGGAGCGCAAGTTAAGTGCACGCCGACCGATACGGGCAAGATTCCGCAACTTGGAAAACTTGTTGGTCTCACTTCGAGCCGGGCTACGCTCGAGCTGAGCTCTGGCGTTCATGCGCATTTCCCAAGAATTGACTACTCCCTCATAGCTAATTCGCCGTCAAAACTGTAGTAGAGACCTGCATGTGACACACATAAAGGGTTTGAAATGAGAGAAATGACCAGAAAAATCTTGTTATTCAGTATTCTGGACGCCAGAATCACATTCCATACGCTAGCGAGCAAGCCACTGTTGCGTCAGGTCATGGCGTAAAGGCCAGATGATATATCCTCGATGGGCGAAAAGTGACTGACGGAAAGCAGGGATACACAGTCGACTTACTGACAGATGACATAGATACGGAGGTATCGCTACGGCGTTTCGTTGGTCTATCATGTATGACGACGGTCGAGCAGATCCGACAAATGCCATTCTTCAACAGTGCCTTCGCATTACTTCGAAGTATAGCATAGCAATAGCCTTACCCGTCGCGCAATGTCCTTATAACATTACCTAATACTCAGCAATTCCATCATTCTATTCGCCAATAAATGATATCATCCTGACTCTCGACTAAAGTTATAGCGAAGCAACACCCTTGGCTCCCCAACGATGCAAGGGGAGACATATTTCTGCACACATGAGCTCACATACACCAATTTGTAACTAGGCAGCCGGCAGCGAAACAACCGCAAGAGAGACATACAAAGTGAGAAAATAGCAAGTGCAATCGACCATGCGGAGGATCGTTGCAGGAAGAGAAGGCGGTCGAAAGCCGGGAAAGTCGGGGGTTGGGGAAGACTTCACGGGCACTTCTTGCATTGTTCAGCCAATTCGCGCCCAACGAAGTAGTGGATGCCGTTTTGTAGCACGCAGCAAAAGTTGAAGCTTTTCTCCGGGAACATCGAAGTGAATGGCTGAACAATGATTCTCATTCGAAATGATAGGCCATCATGACAGTCATCTCAGCCCACAGACTGTAACTGTTAAGACTGGGACTTTTCACGAAGGGCATTTGAGTAGATGAAGCTCTTGAACGCTTCCTCTGCGGTGCGGAGCGAGAGGTTTGCAAGGACCGCATCGCCATCATAACTCAAATGACTGCATTGGCACCTCCACGGCTCCACTAGCCACCTGTTCTGCGCGCACGAAGAGCCAACCCTCGCACATGACATGCTCGAAGGCAACGGAACTACGGAATGAACATACATAGCCTTGTTGAAGACACGTGCTGTTACGAGTCTGATGACAGCCCGCTGAGCGCGTCTGAGACCTGCGTAGGGTCAGGCGCCCAAGGCGAGGGCTGCCTGTAATGCTATTTTGCCGGTCTGCGGAATAGGCTCTCCCCACAGCTCGCATCCGTGGGCGGTGCTCAACAAGGGCCGCAAAAGGGAGGGGGAAGCCCACGACTCCGCTCCTATGTAGTCCAGGCCACGACAGGCAAAACGAGTCACGTGATCATCACGCGCAGGGCTTCGTTTCCAACAGCGGACCTCAACAGGCACAGACCCTAACACAACGGTTTGGAACGGCCGTGGCGCGACCGCGCGCCAGGGCTTGGTGGGCAGGTATGCCTCACAAACACAGTGTTGACTGGTATAGTGAAAGATGGTGTCCAGTGAGTCCATTTTCGCCACCAAAGTCTCCTACGATTGCAATGCATTTTCTCATTGCCCATGTAGCCTGGGACTGCCGATGAGTGGGATCTCATCGGCGTCCAAAGTCGCAAATGTCAGATGCCAGAGCTGCCGTCTCGATTCGGGCCGTCCCGCGACCTGATGAATGCGCTCTGTTCGCGCGACCTGGACTGGAGATCAGACACGTCTGACAGCAGGCCCACAGCCTACCACTGTGGTGCGGACATCGGGGCAGCTTGGCTTAGCACTCGTTGATCAACTAAATGTACATGTGGACAGCAACTCGCAAGGCGGATCCGTTTCAGTGATTGTGCGGGCATGCGGTCGTGGTAGCCTTCTACATTGATTATGCTGAATGTTCACTCAGGCCTCAGCGCCTCATGCCTCAGGCTTCCTCCTGGTTCCCCAGGGCAGATGCTACTTCCAGCGATCATTGGCCGGCATCAATTGATCTTTTGTTGATTGTTCGGCCTGTTGAATTCAGCATGAAGAGTGCTCCCGCAGGCCAGATAGAGCCGCCAAGCATCTTCGCAACGCTTTTACATCGCATACTGATATGCGTCGCGCATCAACCCATCAACTCATTAACGCATCAACTCGGGCATCGCGTTGCAAGTATCGTCATCCACCAGCAAAAGGTGACAAAGGCACTCGGTGCTTGGTCATTTATTGTTGTTTGATGATGAAACGTCTCAAAGGAAACCGCTACTCACTTTCTCCTACCCACCCTTCTTTACCCCGACCATCACTCTTGGACCTCCATGGCATCGATGCTTCAATACGAGCTGAGAGGACGTCCTTGAGCCTTGGTTGCGCTCCTTCAGATTCTCACGATCTTCAAGCTGCATACGCTTCTTACCGATCTTTAACGCAAGTCAGGTGGTCCATCTTCTTTCCACATGCCTCATGGACGACACCTTGACAGCTCATCGGCTTGAGCACTGCCGCAAGCTCAACACAAAGCGCGTCCAACGAAGTCCAAAGCCCCTTTCTCCGGGAAATTCGCCTCGAATGCGTCTGCCGTTCTTCCTTTCGGTGCTCTTGTTGCTCGTCCTCGCCTCGCCAGGCCGAACGAAGACGTCGCCCTGGGTGCTAGCCAAATCGTCGCACGCGAACATCCCGCCTGCCCATGCTGCTGCACATCACCTGTTGGCACGCGAAGTCGAGCACCGCCTCGCTCTCAACAGAACCTCTACGAACGGCGCCCTTGTGAATGTCGTGCGCGCAGAGACGGAAGCACAATCAGAAAGCGATGATACCAAGCCAGATGAAGGTGTGCAAAGTGGCGGGCTGAGTGGGGGACGCATGGTTCCACGTCGACAGTCGGCATTCACAGCTGCAGCCGCAGCTGCAGCTGCAGCTCAGAACCAAGAGGGGGGTGGCGATGGAGGTGACGCAAACTCGAAGCCCGCTACAGGAAAGCCAGGCGCTTCGGTGAGCGATACAACACCACGGAAAGCTGTGCATCATCCCCAAGCCAAGGGAAGACCCCCAAGACATTTGAGCGACAGATCTAGAGTGATCGTAGCTAGAGCTAGGTCCAAGACCAGAGGCAAAACTGGCGCAAAATCCAAAACCCAGTCCAAGTCCAAGACAAAAGAGACTGAACATGCTCACGCCAAGTCACCTTCGCGACAGATGGCGAAAATCCCGCAACTAGCGCCTGTGCTGGGCGACCTATCGAGGTCCTCGAACATGCGCAAGTCGGGCTCTTCTGTCGCCAGCGACGGTGTGAGCAACGGCCTGCAGTACGAGCCAGACGCTGAAAGCGAGCAAATCGGCTCCATCATCTCGGACGTGATCGACGCCGTTGAGAGCGAGTCAGATGACATTGACGACACTGACGTCCCGACCGTGGGCACGCTGCGCTCAGGCGTCCGTTTCCTCTACCAGAACGACCTCGACTGGACACGCGCAATCAATCCCGCCAATCGTCAACCGGGCTACCTGCTTCTCACTGGCTCGATGAGCTTCGAAGATGCGGATAATGCCTGCCAAGCTCTTGGAGAGAATCTTGCGCTAGCGCCGATCGCTTCTCTTGACGAGGGCCTGCGCAGACAGCTCACCTATCTTAGCTCTGAGGGGTTCTATACAGAAGGGCAGACCTTCTGGGCAGAGGGCGGCGCCATCGTCTTTTCCAAGCAACAAACGCTGTCTTTCATTCCTCTCGACGGTCCTGGCAGCGTGACGGGCGACAATGGAGACGAACCAGATTTGCCGGCCATCTGCACGCAGACAGCCCCTTTGAGCACTGCCGAGCTGACTGACAACAGCGATCAATGGCAATTGGGTGCGCGCAGTGGCCAGCTCTCGGTCTTAGGGTGAGCCGTGTGGTGCTAGACTCACATCGATTGCACTAGCACTGACCTCACTTCACCTGCTGAACCTGCCCCCAGCTTCCGCGACGCCCTTTCGTTCCGCTTCGGTTCTGTCCCTTACGCGGACACCCCGCGGCGCTTTGAACGGTCATCGCCACTCAGCAAGCGCAGTGGTACGATCCAGGCCATTTCCAACGATGCTGCTCTTGCATGTCCGCAGTACAATGGCGGAAATTGGGACGAGGACGGCTGCCTTGTCGCCAACATTGCGACTACCTGGTTGCCGAGTCCGCGGGAGCAAGCACTTGGCAAGGGCTTGCGACCGGTCTTCATTTTCATCCATGGAGGCGGTTTCCGAACGGGATCGGGTTTGGACCCAACTTTTGCTGGCGGCAACATGGCCTCGCGTTCCGACATTGTCGTCATCACCCCCAACTATCGTCTCGGCACGCTCGGCTGGTTGGCGCTCGCAGATTCCGATAAAGTTCCAGGTAACTTTGGACTTGGCGACATCATCTCATTGCTGAAATGGGTACAGCAACACGCACACTCTTTCGGAGGTGATCCCCATCGCGTCACAGTTGCAGGGCAGAGCTCTGGCGCTCAGCTCGTGCAGTTACTTTTACGGAGCCCTGCGGCCAAGGGTCTTTTCCACCGCGCAATTGTCCAGTCAGGACGTCCATATGACCGCGCGAACCAGCGGCAAGAAATTTCAACGGCTGGCAAGACGCAAGGTAGCCCGGTCGTTCGTGAACTTGGCTGCAATCCAGACGCCGACGACGTGCTCGACTGTTTGCGTGCCCTGCCGCCTGCAAGATTTCTCAGGGGACGGACAATGTCATCCCCCGTCGTTGACAATGACTTGATTGACGACGCTCAGCTCGATCTCAGCCCGCCCGGATCCGCCAGCGGCTTCGTCAACCGCGTGCCGGTCATGCAAGGATATATGCGCGACGAATTGGCGTCTCTCGGCTCCGTCCCTCCGGTGACTGCGCTTGATCTCGCTACGGCCCTCAAGGACGCTGGTATTAGCAAAGGGAATCGGTCCATCGTTCTAGATCATCCTCAGGATTTTAAGCTTGACCTCTTGGAAAAGGGGGCTCAAGGCCTCGCCGTCGAGGTTGCGACGGACATTCTGTCCATCAGTCGATGCGGGCAAGAGGCTTCGCTCCATACTATGGCGACCAACAATGTTTTCCCTGCTCTTTACGGCTACGTCTTTGACTCCAAGTCGTATCAAATCGACTGGGATCCGCATTTGGTGTGCTCAGGCAGTAGCGATCTGGCCCAGCTGGGCTACCATTGTCATAGCGGCGACCTTTTCCCTGTCTTTGCGACACTTTATTACTGGCAGAAGCCCTACCGGGTTGGGGACCTCAACTGGATCCGCGGTATCACAGATCAATGGGCAAGCTTTATCCGCTCTGCGAACCCGAGCCCCTCAAAGTCGTACCTGGCTGCCCGAGGCTACGATCCGCCAGCCGGCATTCCTTGGGCGCCCATGCGGCCGTCTTCGCAAAACATCATCAGCCTCGGACAGGTCCAGCAGCTCAAAGCATTGGACCAGTTTGCGAGCCAATGCAATGTACTCAATCGGCCTCTGACCTACATATCCTCCCAGTCGCGCTAGAAATGTATTGATGTCATGTTGCTTTCTTGCAACCGAACCCGCATGTATCTATTGCAATGATGTACAATGTAAGACTTTGATGTTCGTTAGTGTGATTGTCCCCTTGTCATGCTGTCCATAGTGTCATTGCCCCTCGAATGGAGCGTAACCAATGTGAATTATCACCACTTGGATCTTCATAGATGTACGTGCGTAGTGGCTATGCCAAAGAGAACGACATGAGCCTTCTAATAAATGATTAGATAACGAGACCAGCGCAGCTCTTCGACTTACCGTGTGGATTGCAAATGCACGCTGGCCCTTTGCCTCAACCAATGTCACCGTATTCTGGGTTGCGCTATGCTTGCGTTGCGAATCTGCTTGAGGGACCGTAATACCGGGACCTTCTGCGTTGGATGTGGGCGGACAAAGGATGATCTCACTCTTCACCTTGAGAGCAGCAGCACTTTCTTTTACGCATAAAAGTCGCGGAAAGCTCGTGAGGACAAGCTGACGCCGTTTGCTGAAAATTTGCCCAGCTCCAGCTTTTCTTTGAATGACTGGAGCAGAAAGCAGAAGGCTTTCGCGGGGCAGCAGCAACGCGCTCCAATTGCTGCACTGTCGCGGCATTGGTGGGATGCCTTGACTAAGCCGATGAAGTAGCCGGCCAGGCATGTTTACTTGCTCGTCCGAAGGACCTTCGGGAGGCATGTCTGCACTTGAAGAGCTTGACTGCATGGATAGGGTAGATCGCTTGTGAGGGAGGTCCGGTTGTTTCGTCCCTGCCCCTCTTGGAAGCATCTCGGCAGACCGAGAGGCTTTCTCGGACGAATGCGAAGGGGATCCACTCGGTGGGTCTCCAGAGTCGTCAGAAGCATCAGCATCCTCTGCAGTGCTATGCAGCGAGTTCTCCTTGGGTGAAGTGAGAGAAGCTTGCTGAAAGTCTGGCGCCAATCCATCGCTTTCATCCTCCGAGAAGTCGAAAGTCGCCGGTTCCGGCGCTGGTGGGCGAACATACAAGCCGACTTTGAGCTCAGGGGCTTGCTTCGTCCAAATCTGGGTGAAGTCTTCTTGTTCGAAGAATGCGTGGTCTCGCATCGTCTGCAAGTCACCAGGTGACGCACCCAGCCGCTGCACAGGATCCAGCACCAACAGCTTTTCAATCAACTCCTTGGCTAGGGTGGGAAAGGTGTCCGGAAATTCGAAGTCGCGTTTGAGGATCTTTTGGAACGTCTGGTACTCATTGACGCCTTTGAATGGTGGCCTTCCAGCAAGCATCTGGTAGAGCACGCACCCAAAGGCCCACCAATCCGAGCTCCGTGTAGCAGCCTTGTCCGTTAGGAGCTCGGGACTGACATACTCGGCGGTCCCTACAAAGCTGCTCGCGCGCTCGTCTTCTAATGGCTCGCCATCAGCACCTTTCGAGAGAATCTTTGCCGAGCCAAAATCGGTGATGCGAATACGCATTTTCGAATCGAGCAAGATGTTTTCCGGCTTGATGTCTCTGTGCAAAATACCTGCTTTGTGTATGCCGTCAATGGTATCAAGTAGCTGGGCGCCGTAATAACGCGCACAGGTCTCATCGAGAGAGCCAAGCTTTTTGATGAAAGAGAGGAGCTCGCCATTCTCCGCCAGCTCAAGGACAAAGTCTGTTGATGGGCAAGTCGTGTCAGCTGCATGCCTGCTTTCGTGCGTTTTTGAAGACCTCACAAAGACTATCCCGATCCTGGAAAGTCCAAAAAAGAGTGACTACTCCGGGAAGCTTAATGAGCAGGCTCAATGCCTCCTTTTCAACGCCGACATATTTCTGCTTTTTCTGCTTCAGGATGTGAACTTTATCGAGCACCTTTATCGCATAAACTTTCTTGCCTTCTCTTGAGCTCGATCGTTCAGAACGTTGTACCCCAGCAATGGCCTGTGCCGCCGAGGACGATGTTAGGCGCTCATGGTCGTTTTCTTGGCCCTTGCGACGGTTGGAAAGAAGATCCCAGGCTTGGATTACGGTTGAGTACGATCCTTCGCCTAGCACTTCGCCGAAGTCAAAGTCTTGTGGGCCGCGGGTGGACCGGCCGGACGACGAAGCAGGGTGAGTCGGCGCTGGAGCTGTCGTAGAATTCTCACCGGATGTAGCATTGGAAAGCGCCTTGTCACTGACAGCACTAATCCCACTAACAACGCTTATCGGTCGAACAAATGGACTGTAATTTGATAAGGTCGTCCCAGCTGGTGAGGTCGTAATCGCCGCTCCAACGGAGCCGACGGGTGGCATCAATTGATGGCTCGGCGATTGAGAAAATGCTGTACTCAATCCACCTGTGGAAGCCTCGCGCGACATGGCCAGGGGAATCACACCGATCGAACCCGCATCTGATAACCTTGGACTTCGGCCTCCTATATCTTCTTGTTTAGCCAATCGAGGCAACGTGTCCCTTTCCAAGGCCGCAGAGTTACGGCTCCCTGCACTGCGAATGCTCCGAACACTCTCAACAGTAGCCGCGCGTAAGAATGGCGGCCGCTTTGATGAGCTGGCCGAGCTCGAAGCGCGGTCGCGTTGCGCAGGGGCCATGGTCAGGTGCTGAACAGGAGACGACGACATTTGACGCAAGTGGGAATGGCCAAATGGAGCACCGACGGCCATCTGATCGGACTCAGCAGTAACAGCGGCCATATGGTCGGCCACTATCGTCGTCAGAGATGATGAGCTAATTGACTGCTGAGCATTGGTGCTGGAAGGGGGGAAAGCAGCTCCGTTCGCGGTGAACATTGTAACAGAATCCTCTGGAGCTGATGCGACGGCAACACGTTCAGGCTGCATTGCTGAAATCTCTTCGACTGGGTCTTCGAGCTTTGCGATACCCGTCTGAGCCTCGAACTTCACCTGCTCTGCCGGAGTCCGCTTGCGCAGAAGAGGACCACTTGCGAAGTCCCCTGTTGCAGTTACGGCCGCTGTACTGATGATGGTACCTAGACTTGAGGAGGCTGGTGTCTCCCGAGGGGGCAACACGAACGAATGTGTGAAGCGTGTCGGTGTCCGCAGTAAATTGTCTACCTCTAGATCGGCAGCATCATCATCTACCACTGGTATGCCGGCGTCCTTCATGATTTCCACAGCAGTAGTCACGCGCCAAGTCGCCTCTTGCAAAGTCATGATGTGGTCAACGCTAGCTGAGTTGATAAGCACTGGCCTCCGCGGGATGAATGCATGAGAGTCTTCCACAGCATTCGCGGATTCATCTGAGCGACCGCTGGTTTGACCTGGGCCAGACAAGGAATCCACTGACAATGACACCGCATGGATGGATTGAAGATCCAACAGCGGCAATTTTGGAACAAGCAGCGGCGCGTTTGTCACAGAGCTGGTTATGAGAGGGGGTGAAATCGGGCTTTCGCTGACTGGCATTGTTGGAAGACCATTGCCTTGCGGAAAATCCTGCGAGGAGGCAGCGGCATCGAGCAAACCTGCGTACGCTGCAGCTGGTCCAGCATCTCGTAGCGGTAAAGTCGTGAGCGGTTTGATGCCTAGCCTCTCAGCTCCTCGCACCAGCTTGGACCGGAGGCTGCTCGTTGAAGCAATGCGGCCAGGTTTCCCGGGTACTGCTAAGCCTGGGGCATTCCTGTAAAGCCAGTCATGCTGAGTAGCCTTGGGAAGCAGTCGCGGTCGAGCATTCGATGCTGTCAGAGAACCACCAACGGCAGCGGCACTAGGCGGCAAAATCTTCGAAATGGGTCCGCAAGCATCTGTCCCTGGCATTTGCACCATTTCGGATGCGCTCGAAAAGTTGTTGTACACTTCCCCATCTGATCCCGCCAGTGGTGCTGACATGGGTGCCAAGGGCAACCCTGCTGAGCCCAAGCCATCCCATCCAGCGCCTGCATGACCTCTGCTATATCCTGCTCTGACATTGCCTAGCGGTGCCTGTCTGAAGGGCACTGCCTCTAGGCTGCTCGTGGAGGTCACGCTGCTGACGCTGCTGACTGATTTGGCGCGACCAAGGCTTGATGAACCTTCGCTAAGGTTACCACTATCGTTATGATGAATTGAGATGTTCCCACTTGGTTGGCTGTATGGGGCAGATAGTGAGCCCGTCAGAGATGGCGCATACTGCAGTGATTCCGCTGATGGTGGTTCAGAATCCTCGCTGAAGGGAGATCGCAAGGTGCTACTTTGAAGTGAGCCTGGTTGTTGCTGGTGTTGATACTGTTGCTGAACGAAACGATCTGCCAAGCTCAACGTACCAAAGCCCATCGCTGTAGGACTTGACACTCCTGGCGGAGAGGTTTGAACAGTTACGGAAGTTCTGAACCCCGCGTTACTCCCGTGTCGCGAAGAAGGCAATGACCAGCCTGAGCTATTGCCACCGCCATCGCTCTCGGAGGCCGATGCCGAAGCATAGATGGAGGACGTTGCTGACTGCGAATGTGGTGGCGTTCTACCAGACGCCCTTCGCCGACCATCTGCTTCGGATGCAGCTCGAGAGAGCAACCCTGATCGAATACGAGAGGATGTCTGTCGTTCGAGATCACGCGGAGTGCCATCACCTGACCCGGACTGAGGCGAGGCTCGCTGTGTCGTAGAGCATACAGAAAGATTTTGAATCTGCTCTTGTCGCAGAAACACCTCGTCCTGAGCTGTGAGACTGCCGGTGTCGCCATCGTTGGCAGAGAAGGGCCCACCACTTACGAGAGGCACAGCTGGATGGTCCATCGCAAACGAAGATCCTTGGATGCAGTCCGAGCTGGAGCATGCGTTGCAGCTCGATGGCCTCCAGATTCGATATGTCACTCCCCTGTTCGAAGGATCTTGCACCTTTGTTATAGCAGTACTTCGCTTCAGCTCTCAAAGTGGTGCTGCTTTACAGACACGTCAAACGTTGCCGCTGATGCTGGCAGCAGCGACGAACGCTCCCAGCCGGCGAGCATTGTTTGCCTGAGATCGGGTGCGCTTTTCATGCCCAGCGACAAGCGCACTTGATGCACCGAGCAAGGGCTGCGAAGATTTCCCGAATGGAGTGTTGCATTACACCATGTTGGAAAGGGGATGAGCTCCAATGATCAGTCAACGAATTGTTGAGATGCCGAAACAACACGTCACCGCCAGAAGCCGCGCGACCGCGCAAATCCACAGTGCAGATCCATTAATGCACACATACCTTGACACGCTCGTCCTCACACGAAGCTACTGGACACTGTTATCGTGTACAACCAAGACAAAACTGCATTGAAAGGCACCCCCTTGGGCTGCTTCCGCCTGCTGGTGTGCGGCAGAACTTGGCAAGATGGGAGACTCAAAGGGACCCGCTTTCTCATCGGCGCTCATGGTGAGTGCTCATCACGCCAAGTTCGTTCTGCTGTCCTCATGCAATGGAGTACTCACTGTCATGCTTGCATGCAGGCAGGTGCATGCTCTGGCCTGTCTGTCGATCTGCTTTTCTAGTAAGAATTAATCAAGCTTGTGCCGTCAATCCATGCTCATTCTCACGTCTTCGACCTTTCTGCTTGGCGCTCCTTTCGTTTACAACCCGACTTCCAGCCCGATCGACACCATCAAGACGCGTCTGCAAGCGTCGCAAGGCTTCCTCGCAGCTGGTGGCTTTTCCGGTATCTACAAAGGACTTGGTAGCGTAGCAGTCGGCAGCGCACCCGGCGCAGCGACCTTCTTCGTGACATATGAGACACTCAAGCCTGTTCTTCGTGACATGTTCCCATCCGTCTTTCGGGTGCCTTCAGCAATATCTGGCAACGATGGGAGCATCATGGGCCGATGGGCAGCACCTATTTTGCATATGGCTTCGGCAAGCATGGCTGAGACAGCAGCTTGCCTGATAAGGGTACCGACGGAAGTGATCAAATCGCGTCAGCAGACACTTTCGTACGGGTCGACCGTATCTACTTGGGAGGCTTTCCGAACCGTCGGGCGCGAATCAGGACTGAGAGGATATTATCGCGGCTTTGCAAGCACAGTTGGCCGCGAGGTAAGCAGAACCAAGGAAGCAACGGAATGCGAGCCTCTCGTTGATCACTGTACAATGGATGCTCTCAGATCCCTTTCACCTGCATTCAATTTCCACTCTACGAGAGCTTCAAACTACACTTTACCAACCGTCGGCGAGGACGGCGGCGATACGAACAGAATCCTATGCAAAATCAAGATTCACGTGGAGACCTGACAGGCTTCGAGGTTGCCCTTTCTGGAAGCGCGGCTGGAGCAATTGCGGCAGCACTGACAACGCCGCTTGACGTCGCCAAGACAAGGATCATGTTGCACAAGGTATGTCCTGTGCAAACATTGATCATCAACAAAAGAATGAGTATTCTGATCCTTTTGTGCAAATAGCAGGATACTACTTCAGCAACGTCCCATCCGCTTGCAGATGTGAACAAAAAGATCGTTCCTACACTAAAGCACATCATGAAAATTGAAGGTCCAGGCGCATTGTTCAGAGGTATCGTCCCACGGACGCTCTGGATCGGCCTGGGTGGCGCTGTGTTCTTGGGCACGTTCGAGCTTGGCCTTTCCGTATTAGAGCCTCCGTCTGATCGGCCCGACCATCTATGAGGCATGGCAGGGCAGGGCAATCCTCGCGACGCTTTCGATTGAGTAATAGACATGCATGTATAGTAGATCAAACTTGCTAGTTTCCATCCATAAAAAGCTCACGAAATAAAGCCGATGCTGGGAGGGTGTGTGTACATTGAAGGATACCAGGTACTGATTGGTAACCAAAATACGATCAAAGATGCTCAGCGCCCATGGGAACCTTGAATTGCGCGTCTGCAAAGAGAAGTCGAGAACAATCGGGAGATCACGTAGCTGCTGACTTTGCATTGTTGTTGCTGTTTGCGAATGAAGCTGATGCAGAGCGGAAATGCGAAATGCCATTTGGTGATGGTGTCCAGGATGTCGTCGGAAGACTAAAGTTTGGACGAGATGGGGTATGAATGTTGAGGTCCGTGTTCACATGCCGCGGTGAAGGAGGCGGATGTGGGCGGATGCGCGTGTCAATTTCGGTGATCGAACGCCGAAGGCCACCAGGGGATGGAGTCGATCGGGAAAGCGGTGGCTGGCAGGCGAACGAACTGACGGAGATGATGCTGTCACGTTTGATGTTTTCCTTGGACGCGATCCATTCGTGAAGCGACAAAGGTGGGCACCAGGCCCGGTCTCTATACTTCTGAATCCAGAAGCTCTGATCGCTGCGGCTGCAGACGGCGGTCTCTGGCCGCGAGTGCTCCCAGTAGGCATTGGCTTTCAGGTTGCCCCAACGGCTCGCGGCTTCGATCTGTTCTTCGGTCCAGTCGTCAAGATCGACGCTCTTGACTTTGGAGACTTGCACACCCAGACTGCGATGTACACCGGAGCAGGCGATGCAGATAAAAATGCAGCAGGGCTGTCCGCCGAGGGCCCACGACGCCCAACGTGGCTCTACAAGCACAAAGACATTGTGGCCCAACGTTTAGCATCCCCCCTATCTCCTGTACCAGTCTGGAATCACACTCACCTTTTGTTCGGCAATCAGCGCAGATGGAATTCTCTGCGCGGCGCGCAATTTCACTGATCTCTGCAGCCCGGGCCTCCTTGCTGCGTCCAGTAGCAGCAGCGATTCGGGGACTAGGCGCGACAGCCCCGACGCTCACGACGCTTACACCGACACCGTGGCCAGACGACCGTCGCTTCGCGGCATCAAAGCCATAGCTGCTGTGCACCATTTCTTCGATGCGCCGGTCAAATTCGGCATCCATGTCAGAGCCGGCGGAAAGCCCGCTTTCGCTGATTTCCCTGGATACCCGTTTGGTGCTGATGTTTGGCACGTAGCCCGAGACGGGTGTCTTGTTCGAAATCCCAGCTAAGTAGAGCTTGTCTACACCGTCAGCATTGGTGGGCGCATTTGACTCGCTGACCATCGACAACACGCGGCTGTCACGCTTGCTGCGGAGTCCAGCCGCAGCATCAGAGCCCCATTGAAGGAGACGCGCGGCACCGCCGCCAGGGTTGGTGAGATCAGTCAAGCTCTGACTGAAAGCTTTAGAAGATGCAATCGACTCGGCCGGTCGGTCGCGGCCGAATTCGTCGCCTATCATTGGTTGGATTGCTTCGCCATTTGCGCTCCAGCGCTGACTTGACCGAACGACCTTGTCCACCTGACGAACACTACTTGTGCCGTTGATCAAACTTTCAATCGCCCGGCTGATTGCGGTCATCCACTCTTTCAACGCTGCCTCATCTGCTGTTTGAAAGAATCTGCGCGAATCACGAGTCACAACTTCGAACGTGAACCTTCGATCCAATCCACGAGCTTCGCGCACGGTGGCAAAACGCAGGTCGATGATTGGTGCCGAGGGCTCGAGTACTTTAGCGTCTTTCCAATCTGCATATTCGCCGAGGTGTCCAGAGCCAGAAAGGACCACCCAGGCCTCGTGCCAATGATAAGCGCGTGCAACACTGCGAGGCATATCACCTCCACCGACGCTGGTAGGCTTTGAGACCCATAGCACACCTTGCTTTTTACGATCTTTGCCAGTCTGAATGGACGGTAAACGGCTTGGGGCTCGCGCAGATTGATTCGACGTGCCGCCACTGCGAGCAGACGAAGCCTCGGAAGTTGTGGCGCCAGTGGAGATGCCAAGACCGAGGGAAGGAGAGTGCCTGGTGGTACTGCCATCATCCGTTGATGTGCATCGTCCAACAAACAGACGCCGACGAGCTTCCAGATCGTACAGAGACGGTCGCTGGGCATGCATGCTGATGGAACGTCGTGTGAGCGTGGGCGATGAATCCATCGTCGCCCCTGCAAAGCGTTCCGTCGCGTCCTCATGTGCTGCAGCTGCAGCCCCAAAGGTCTCACCATCATGGCTGTGTCGCTGTGATGTTGACTGCCTCAGGGGAGTCTGCATAATGACTGGACTGCTAGGGCTGAACGGAAGGACGCTACCTCCAGGTGACATGGCATCCTCTCGATTTCGCCAGCGACCGAGCGCCTGCGCCATGGGCGAAACCATTGATGGTAGCGACGCCGTGACAGGTGCCTGCTGTTGCGAAAGGCTCGTCGCGGAAACGTGGGCTGCGTTATTGCTGCTGATGCTGAGTTTTGTCGAGACTTTGCGACGGACTTTCGCTAGAGGTCGAACCCCCGACGACGGCGAAGCGGTAAGTTCTTTTGAAAACGACGCGTCTACTGCGTGCTGCTGTTTACCGGTATTACCGCCCCCGCTAGTCGAGATGCCGAGTGTCGTGAGCAGACTCTTGATGCGCTGCCCCGTGGAACGAACAGGTTCGATACCCGTTCGCTCGCCCACCTCCGCAATCCCTGCCTTAGTCAGAGTCTCCAAGCTGGAGACCTGCCCATCCAGCTCGGCGAGGCGGAGGAAGACCTGCTCCTCCATCAAGTCGGCCTGGGTCGTGGTGAACTTGCTGCCTGCATGCAAGGATGTTAGTGTTGTCCTCGCCGATTCAGTTGGCCAGGTTGCACCCCACGTAGTGCCGGGACTCTCAGCGCACCAAGCCGCAAGGCTCATGACGTCCTTGAACAGCTCCAGCTCCGCCTTACCACCGTGCAACCTAGACATGACTGCAAACAATTCGACGCGCGCCCTGGCGAAGCTGAGATGGCGCAATAGCTGCTTTTCAGAGGACACGTCGACCTTGCTGCTGTGGCTACTGTTGCTGCCGCTGGTACTGCGAACAATGCTTTGCGCGTCGGCAAGAACACTCTGGCTGGTAGTGGGGGGTGGCAGGCCGCTGAGTGCGGCAACATGGGAGCTGCTGGTGCTGCGTGAGGACATCCACTTCTGCATGGAGGCGTAGTATGCCTTGCTCTCCGCATCGAACACCTTGACCTGCTCCTGTGCGCTGCGGCATAGGTCCAGCAGGCGCTGCACGGGGATTTCGACGTATCGGTCGAGCATATCCATGCGCTCCTTCTCTCTCGCCGTGTCCTTTTGGCGAGTAGGATCGAGCAAGATGAGCTTGAGTTGCCCAAGCGTGTTGGGTGCGAGCGAAGCGAGCTCGTCGAACGCCGCGGCCATCTGCAGATCGGCATGCTGCGCCGCAAGCAATTGCGTACGTGTGTCCTGCCACACGCGCAGCAGCGCCTTACAAGCCTTCTTGACACTCGCCGTGCGCTTCTCCAGACCTGCAACCGCCGCGCGAAAGACGGGCGAATCCTCTTCAGCATCTTCTAGCGCAATGTCCATGCGGTTGATGTCTAGATGCGCGGAACGAACGCCACTGATTGCCTCTCGCATCGCTGCCACAGAGGAGCCAGTGCCGGCTGTGATGTCTGTGGCTGCATCCACATGCAACTCTGCCACATCGCTGGTCGAAGAACGAGAAGGAAAGGGCCGGAGCTCAAGCGTACCGTTCGACCTGGGCGACACTCTGGCCCATTGGCTCCGCCTTTGACCGCGTGCCAGCAATGGCGACTGCTGTATGTCCCCTGCACTTGAGGACAGATGCTGCTGTTTGGCCAGGCCCGGTGAGCCGTCAAACAGCCCGTCGGGATTCTGGAGCGCTGCGACGATCGAGGGCGCATCAGGGCCGAGTGAAGCGTGCAGAGTCCGCGGAGAGGCCGAACTGCGCGTCCGCCTTCCTGCCGGCGTTGACACAGCTACTGATGGCGCTGATACTGCTGCTGTTGTTGATGACGATAGAATCCCAGGCCCGATCAAGCCAGATGGCGGTGCGGGAATTGACACTGATGTCATCGCAGTGGGCGGCAATAAGCGAACTTGAGCAGGGCTCGGGATAACAGCCCAAAAATGGAAGTAAGAGAGAACCGAGATTTTGCCACTTGGGGAGACTTCAATGAACTGAGCACAAACCAAAATGTATAGGTCAGCGAATCCACTCTATCCCCCTTTTCGTGTCCTAACTTTGACCCACAGCACAAGCCAATTTCGTTCCTGAAGCTGGTGAGAAGAGTGGTGAGCCATCTTGTTCTCGATCCGCATCGCCGCCCGCGCGATCAGAAGTGGAAGCGTGCGGAGACCAGCACCACTCGAAGTCATGGTCTTTCGCAACGCCGACGCCGGCGCTGACACCAACGCTGCCAACGTGATACTGCACGACGACATCTTTGCGCCACACGCCTGCGGCACACGCATGCTCATCCGAGTTGAACACATTCGAATAAAATGCCGTCGTCGATGTCGAAGAAGGCGCTGCTGCTGCGGATACGAGGATATCATAGAGCCGCTGCGCCGACTCGGCGCACAGGAAGACGACCCGCCCTTGACCCTGTGCCTGGCCTTGCGCATACCCTTGTGCACTCAAGCGCAATCGAAAACTCAACCGAAGCAGATGCTGAATATATGCGCCTCCATGCTCTGCGCTGCCACTCACAGCCGGGGTGCCAGTGCTACCGCACCCGTGCCCTGCGCGCCGCCAGAGCTCGAGCGCTGCGTGCGTCGGCGGGCTGATCTTGAGCAGCAGACGTGAAGGGTCGAAGGGTCTCTTTGAGGATGTGCTGTTCGGGTCTCCCTTGGCAAGGCCATTGCTCTGATTTCCCCTGTGCTTGCCAGCGCTGTTGACACTGCGCAGCGTGACGGGTGCCTCGGAATCGACGAGGAATTCGATCGGCGGCTCATTCGACGCTTGCTCCTCTGCGACTCCATCCAGAACCCCGCCCGGCACATACGCACCAGCAGCACCACCAACAGTGACACCACGGCGACACGCAAAGTCGAGCGGCACCTCGGGGTCCATCAGACGTCCTTCGCGGCAGCCGTATGTCATGCTCTGCGGGCGCACCGTAACCTGTGCGATGGCGCTGACGCGTCGTGCGAGTGTCCCGTCGATGCTGCGCCCGGCCAAGAGCATCTGACCCGCGCTAGCTGCCGTCGTCGGAAGTTGTGGCGATGATGGAATTGAGAGTGATGAGGAGGAGGAAGGTTGCTGATGTTTGCTTCCCCTCGTCCCACTACTTCCAGCACTGCCTGGATGGAAGCCATTCACATGTCCATTGACTGCGCCAGCAACCTCATTAGGACTACTGCTAGTGCTAGCCCCATGCAACTGCGCCTGCACCTGCATCTGTAGTGCGTTAGCCTTATCGTTCATCGTACCCGCAGCGCCGCGCGCCGCGCGGCCCATCTCGGCCCAGACATCCTTCGGTTTCGCACCAATGTCGATGCTTATAGTGCGTTTGCATAAGCGGCTCTGTTGCTGTGGCGTCTGTTGGTGACTCTGCGTTTGTTGTTCTTGCTGCTGTTCATGCTGTTGCTGCCCCAGCAGTGTGCGCCTCGTGACCTTCTCGTGTGCTGCTGTTGCTGCTGCGGAGGATGAAGACCTAGTTGCAGAAAGGGCCTGTTCTCCAGCGCCAGGAGCCGTAGACGCGAAGGAGGAAGAGGACAATGTCGACGACGGGCCTGTCGCATGCGTCGAGTTGCGCCAGCTTGCTCTCGAAACAGCGCTTGGACTATTGAGGAATGATGTTGTCCCCGCCGTTGTCGACGAAGGTGGGGGTAACGGTGGTACTGATGTTGTTCCCGAAACCGCATTAATATGCTCGGAATCTGCATACGACGCATCAGCCGAAAACACAGTCGAGTAGCTGATGGCGAGGGAGAGCACATTAAGGCGGCGTGGATCAAGCAGGTAGATTGAGTGGCCGGGCACATTGAAGGGCGCCGAGGATATTGTTGGCGTCGACATGGATTGTGCATTTGCTTGCGCTTGTGTGCTCAGGGTCGACAACGATGAAGCTGCCGTTAATGGTCCTCCTGGCCCCATCTCTGCGCGGTCTGGCAGAATATGAGTGGAGGACGCGGTCGATGCTAGCATGATGCCAAGCAAAAGCGGAGGAAACGAGGATGCTGCTCAACGCAGATCAGAAGATCCATCTACACGTTGATCTGGGACCCGGGTCAAGGATTCAAGTCGCAAGGAAAGGCAAGCAGGAGAAAGTGGGGTGAAGAGCTGCTTGCGATGATCATCGTCATGGACACCCTCGACACACGCCGTCGTCGCAGCCACGAGCTGAGAAGCAGTGTCACAGAGGGGCCAAGCACGAGAACGATGTTCGTTGCCGTCTTCGTCCTCGTTCTCCTTCTACGCAGTTCGAGAGAATGGGCGCTGGGAGCGATAGAGATGCTGTATCAGGGGGCCGTGCGGGGGGGTGGCATAAGTGCGCTGGTTGTTGTATCTCGCGTGCTGAAGACTGACGAGCGATGTCGACTCTTCGCCACAGATCAAGGCAATGCGTGGAAACTGCCACAGTGCCGCCAACACTCCCGACTGATCGGAGACTTGACTGCCACACACAGGGGTCCCGCCTCCCGGGGGAAGACGGGGCGGAGGTGCACAACTATGTAAGCATTTACATAATCACTGCTGCAGGCTCTGCCCATTGCTGAGTGCGGACGCTGTCTGTGCTCCACCACATACTCTCGAGTACCACAGCAACAGCAGGCAGTCTTCGTCGTTCAACCTCATATGGCCCTCGATTCTCCGCATCTCAGCTATGTACAGAGCAGGACGTACGTCTTCTTGCAAGCATCGCCAGGCGCCAGCACCGTCTCCACGGTCCAAGGTTGCCACTGCTCATTACAGCGCTTCATGGCCTTACCAATTATGCACATACGGTATAACTTATGGGCCTGTGACCACAATCAGTGAACGAGAAGCGCAAGAAACAGCTCTTTAATGACGCTAGCTGTATTTTGTGGGCCCACATAACATCACATCTATACGTTGAAGCATAACCGAAAAAGCTAATGTACGACACCCCCTCAATCCGGCAAGGAGAACCAGGGACGTCCCAACCTTGGCTCTTTTTCTCAGAATGAGGTGGACAGGACGTAGACGTCCGCAATGCAGATGACCCCAAAGACTGCCCATGCCAGCGTTCGGATGACCCAGCCATTGTGAAAGTATGCGTATCGCTTGGGCGGAGAGATTGGCGCCACCGACGTTGATGATAAGGGTGCGGCCCCCACTGCTGCTGCTGTCAGCGGAGATGCGACGGTGCACAGGCCGGTTCTCTCCACGTGCCCATGTGCATTGTGTTGGTTCTGAAGCTCTTGAGCTTGGAATCCCTGCTGCCGCTGCTGTCTAAGCTGATCATCACCGTTCGATGCGAACGCGGATGGTGCCCCGCCGTCCAGTATAGTGTCCTTGTTGCCTTCTTCTGCGTACCTGTGCAGAGACAACGAAGGAATTTGATAGGATTGCGACTGTGATTGAAAGTCAGCTCGACCTTGGCTCTCAAAAGCAGAGGTAGACGCAGACGGAGTCGGCACGTGGGAAGCAGCCACCTCGTTGACCTTCATGACGCGCTTTAAGCCCGTAAGCACGAGCAACGGCAGCGTGACGAATGGCAGCGCCATCGAAAGGGCGACTTGCGATGCGACCAACTGTTTGTCGTGCGTCGTTGAATCATAACAGGATTCGAGTCCATGACAAAAGGCAGAACAACGAAACCAATGAAAAACTTCGCGTCAGAGGTCAAGCGCATATTTGGAATGCAAGTCCAGCTGGACTCACCATCTGATCGAGCCCGCCTCTGCCAACAGCAGAAGCGACCGCCAAGCTGGGGATCATGGCGAGCAAGCGCGTGATCAGGCGACGCATAAACGGGCTGATGCGCCACTGGATGAAGCCCTCGCTGATGATCTGCCCGCTGAGCGTGACGGTGATGCTGGCGCTCTGCGCGCTGGCAAGCAGCGCAATCGCAAATAGCACCGCCGAGCCGCGCCCAACGTACGCCTGCAGCAGGTTAAATGCGTCGAACAAGTCCCCAATGTCGCTGTCCGCCCCGGTTCCTGCTGCGCCAGAGCCGGCCCTCTGCCCGTGGTAGAAGGCCGCGCCGGCCACGATGAGGATCAGACTGTTGATGACGAGCGCAAAGCAGAACAGAGAGAGGATGATGTCCACCGTTGCGTGCGGCAGATGGATGCGGATCAGATCGAGCGAGAGACGGTGCACAACAGGACTGCTTTGCTTGCGGGGTGTGTAGCCGCCCGATGGGCTGCAAGGCGCAGAAGCGGACGCAAGCGCAGAAGTAGGGTGTGCCTTGCAATCGTCCTCTCCATTCGCGCCGACATTCGCTGTCTCAATTTCGCCATCGGTGGCGGCGCTGGTAGGCGTACGAAAGAGGCGCAGACTGATGGACGGGAATAGCTTTGTCATCCGGCGCTCTCCGAGACCGCGGAAGCCCGGCCTTTGTGTGTCCACTTCGCCATCCGTATTCGCAGCGAGCACGCCGTCTCTGTCATCGACACGCTCCCAGGCGCTCGTATCCGGCAGCATGGCATGATCAGGACTCCCTTTGGAATGGAAGTACGCCATCCTGTTGAGCGTGCTGAAATGGCTGCCAAGGAACAAGGCGTGCGGCATGACCGTCGCTCCGAGGATGGCAACGGCGAGATACAAATTGGCAGGCTGCACAAGGGTGGCGGAGGGGACGTACCCGTCGAACACGTCGGTCCAAACGGGCTTAACGCGTATTACAAGGATGATGAAGGAGATTAAGACGATGCCGACCTTTCCAAATCAGGGACAGAGTGCAAGCAGATGGCAAAATGTCAATTCGAGCCTTCAAATCAGAGAGAAGAGTACTGAATGCAAACTCACGAGCGTAGCTATCAAAGCTTCGAATATACGCGTGCCCTTCTCTGGCTGGTAGATGAGGAGGATGAGAAATACGTCGACGGATGTGACGAGCACGCCGCCCCAGAGCGGCAAGCCCGGGAAGAGCCTGACAGGCAGGAAGAAGATGCGAGAAGCGATAATGCAAAGTCAGTCATTGGTGCCATAGCATCCAATCACAAAGACGGCTGCAACCCACAAATTCAGTGCGATGGCACTGCCGACGAGTTCTGCCAGTTCCGTCGCGACGATGGCTAGTTCGCTGATCGCATACAGGGTCCATAGCACTATGCGACGCGTGCACCAAATGGCCTTCTGTCGGCGCGTCTGTAGGCCATTCCATCCCGCTGGGTTCGAAATTGCTGTGGCATGAGTATCCGTGCCAGTTCCCACACTTGCTCCTACCTCTGCTCCCGTTACTGCTGCTTGCGAGAACCTGTCGGCATCGCGATCCCCTCGTTGCCTGTTGCCAAACGGCTCACCGAGGATGAGCTTCCTCGACGCCTGTGCGAGGTCCATGCCTGTGACGATTCCCAGGCGGACGCACAGCACCTGCAGGATGATAGCGAATATGCTGGAAAGTAAGATGGCGAAGAGCAGCTTGTAGCCTGACGATGCGCCTGCTGAGAGGTTAGACTGCCAGTTTCCTGGGTCGCAGTAGCTGTAGAACCATGCACGCAAAGAGAAAAGCGCAGAGGAAGGCCTCGATAAGTTTAGCGCGCTACGGAGAATAGAAGAGCAAAAGTGAGACAACTCACGCAACAACGGATATCATACCAGGACCCACGAAAACCCAGTGTCGCTTGAGTAAGCGGCCGGTCTTTTGCATGCCCCGCCTGACCTTTTTGCCGAATGCCTTGCCGAGCAAGAAAGTCCAAGAATCATTGCGAGCACCTGGTGACGACAGCGATGCTGCGAGCTGCGTACCCTCTTCTCCTTCCTCTAGACGGTCTGAAGAGCGACGCTGCGGATTACTGGAGTCTGGATCTCGCTGCGGCCCTTTCCCCTTCCGTTTCCACCTGGCGCGCTGTTCCGTCGCATGCTGGCTCGCCAGTTCCGAGTCTCGAGCGCGCAACAGCTGCGGCCACCGCCGCTGCCCGTTCTGCCCTGGGTTGCCGTCGCGGCCTGTCTCGACGTCATCGTCCGGAAGAGCCAGGGAGAGATCAAGATGGGACGAGCCAGTGCGTGAGGGGCAGGCGGCAAAGTTCATGGTGAGACAGCTGTGAAGTTTGAGAGCACGCAAGCCCGTGACTCTATTGTGGATGACCAATCAGCTGTCAGGCAGTCAGTGATGCAAACAAGCGGGCTATTCCAAGGCATGTCCTGGATGAAGGAGATAAGAGGACTCACGAGCGAGCCTATCCGCTGCTGTACGTTATACGGAGCTGCTCACGTGGCTGCCTGTTGACGTGTTTTCAAAAAGGATGGCCCATGTATGAACCTCGACCCAGCATTGAAATGACGACCTCTCTACAATCTGCACGTCGCCCGTTTTTATAGCAAGCCAAGAACATGCAAAGCGAACAAGCTGACAGGCATTGGATCAGTGTCAAAAAATCAATGCTGCTTCGCCCTGCGTGGCACTATTGCGAGGCAACGGGAGCAGATAGTCCAGTACACTCGGAGTGAACGTATGAGACGATATCGGGACAGGCCGGGGAGAGCCAGGATCGCCTTACGGGCTTTTCTCAACCCAATTCACATACAATTTATTTACTCACTGACTTGACCGGACGATATAGGGCTGTAGGCTCTGTACACTGACATGGCCGGGTGGACCCGGATAATCCATATGCGTTTTGTAGGAAGGCCCCGGAACTGACGAGCCTTTCCCCCGCTTTTCATGGCTGGGCCCCTGAACGCTCAACTCAGTCAACTCTTTTGGCTAGAGGATTGATGAACTGAAATCATTCACAATCGAAAGGGTTATGATAGCCCACGATGTCTGACATCGTCCCAAATGGAGCCAACCCAGCCTTGCCTACTCTCAGCTTCATTACTCCCCCACTCCTCGTGGTCTTTAGCATCTTTCTTTCCCAGTACTGCAAAGATTGCAGCTAATTCGCCATGGATGACCTCACGTTCCTTGATGGCGTACCCACGGGAGCGTCCCCAAATGCAGAGTTCAAGATCCTCCGTGACTCACCCCCGCCCACACTGCCATGCGTTCAATGTCGCAGATATCCTGGCTTCCCCTCCGTCTGCGTGTAACAAACAAAGACTGAAATCCCTCTATAGGTAAAGCAAGCATCAAGTCGCTTGCAACGTCCATGCAGCGCGCCTCTTTGCACCGTCTGAGAAGGAAGTGGGACCTGAGCCGAGAGGCGATACAAGGGAGACCAGTGTAGGCAGCGACGACCAGCTTCTTCCAGAGCCGGATTCATGGCTGGAGCAACAAGCCACACATTTCCAGGCGCGATTTGAGCATTTGACAAGAAATACTGACTTTATAATGGTGGAAGAGGAAGGTGGCATGGTGGATATCGAGGAGCTGCTGGACGAAATAAGGGTTAGAGTTGGACTTGTCCGACGCAGTGAACCGCCCTTATACCTCCGAAGATGCTAAAAGGAGAGGTCACAAGCTTGGGAAAGGTCTCTGCAACTGATACTTATTTCCATATCGTGCAGTTTCCATTGGCGCCCGAGGGTGAATGGAGTCCACATCCACAGCGCTATACCCGGCACAATCGAGAGCTTGTGCGAATGCCTGGATCTTATCGCAATGGGCTGGATGTCTACCGCCGAGTCTGTCCTGTCTAACACCGACTTGGAGGTGAAAATGCTCAACATGTGCGCGGGTTATACAATCGGGCTGAGTCGAACGGGGCAACATTTCGAACCATTGAACGTGCGCATGCGGTACCTTCTTGAGGCATCGTCCATGACGCGGGCGAGTTGCACATGATCAACCCGGCGATGATCCATTTAGGATTACAAGATCAACAGCACTACGGAGCCTTGCCAGGCCGAGCAAGTATAGCACAGCTAGTATCCAAGTGAACTCTGCTTCCACGGCAGTGTAAGGAAATGGCCGCCCGGGAAGTGTTGGCTATCTTCGCGAAAAAAAGCAGCGCAAAAGGCAAGAAAGAAAAGCATTACCGATCAGCAACGGCAGAAAAAAGCTCAGAAAGCGGCGCAACGCGCCGAGGAAGCAAGAGGGGAAGCCGAAGCAGCTGCACTACGCGAAAAGGATCGAGCGGAGTGCGCGGAGAGATGAGCAAGTGAAAAGGAGCAAGCGAGCGCAGCTAAAGCGGCGCATAAAGCTGAGATAGCAAGAATGTGGGCCAAAATCGTCGGACAAATTCAAGCGGCCAAACAAGCACGTTTGCTTGTAAAAGGGCATGCGGCAACACAGAAGCAGAAATGGCTACAGCTTGAAGAAGGCGCAACTGCTACAGAAACAAACGCAAAAGGCTAGCAAAGGCACAGCTGCTCCAGAAGGCAGCCGACGGCAAGAGGAAGAACACAAGTATAGAAGCCACGGCCAAGACCGCAGCGAACACGTGAGCGCAAATGCGAGCACAAGCTGTCACTGCGAATGTCCAGACAACAGTCGTCGCCGCGGCCGCTGAGAAGAACAAGGCAAGGTGCATAACAACACAAACTCACCTTGTCAAAGGCCCATCGATTGAATATGGTGCAGCTTCGCTCTCATCTCAGCCCTGCAATGCTCCCAGTCCGACCAGGAAATGCAAGAGCCCTTGATTACGTTAGACCGCCGGTCGCGCCAGTAGCCATTCTCGGGCTGTACGCATGCAGCATGACGCCGGTCCCATACCTGAGCGGAATGCTCTCGTGAATGTTGCCGTCTTGTTCCTAAAACTTGTACCGATACACGTATGTGTACTGCTAAGGAGAGGGAAACCATCCAAAGATGGCGTTAAGGGTGGTCTCAGATTGGATCATCGGGGACGACGCGGCGTTTCAGCCGGCAAGCCTGCTGCTCAAAGAGGAAAATACATCGGATCAGCAGAGTCATCTGGGATGCGTTGCAAGGAGAAGCATTTGAGATCACTTGGCATGTATTCTAGGTGCTTTGAGATCGTGAAATGCTAGGCCTCGAAGGCGCATCTGAGATCTTCTGAAATTTTGGCCACCTGGGATACTTTAAAAATGGACTGTTTTTCATCTCAGAAGATTCGCATTTAGCTGATGGGTCCAATGTATTTGGATCGTTCCATCCGCCCGGCCTTGGAAGATAGGACTCGAAGGCTCGAGCCGATCCCCATCCCCATGATTGGGTCTTTGCCGTGCAGGACAGCATCGAAACGAGCGGTGAGCGGTATGTGCGATCTCGATCTCGTCTTCGTACGCTGTACGTTGTCGGCGACGATCGCACACACTCTTCACCTGCCAGAGTGTCCATCTGCAGTCTCGCAGTTTAAAAAAGTCGTAACTCTGCCTAGCTCAGCCTCCGGTCCGACAACGGTGGTGAGTCCGCGAGCTTGGTCTAAGGTGCTTGAATATCACACTGGAGACAGTCAATGGCATTCGAACTCTTCGGTCACGTACTCTCCTCCGGAGTCCGCTCAGAGTCTCAGCGATCGGAAGGGCTATCTTTGAATCATGCCAGCAAGAAACCCCAGTGTGAGCTTGACTGTTGTCGGGTGAATTCATGTGCACGTGACCACTGTACCAAACGGCAGAAGGAGGCCTCATATGGTGCATTTGGTTCCGAATTGTCCGCGTCCACACAGCTCCAAACATGATATGACTAAAAGCCCTTCCATTCAAGACGGGCAACATAATGTGCGAGTAGATGTTGCAAATAAAGTACAGAAGTCCACAGCGACCCAGTGCTCTCTTGTCATGAATGATGCGCTTCCTCCGTACTGTCATCCGCCAACATCTCCCTCAGACCACCAGGCACCTCAACGGCGCTGTAGCCCTCGGGTCGGCGTTCGTCGTAATGCCCGCCCTTGCCGCCTCTCTCCGCGACAAAGCCACCAATTGGCGAGTTCGACCGGGCAGTGAAGCTCGAATCGGCCGTTGCAGCCGTTGCGCTTGACACTTTGCGCATGCCTCCTCCGCCCGAGCCCATCCTGCTGTGAATGCTCGCAGGCTTGGGAATGCCGCTCGCCCCAATGAGAGATGCGCGCTGCCCGCCCGAAACAGATCGTATGCTGCCTTGACTTGAAGACGGCAGCGAGCCCGGCACGCGTCGCGTCTCTCCAGTCGTCACAGAACTAGAGGATACCGTGCGAGTCACCACACTTGCTGTGGGAATAGGCGCAGCCAGCTGCGGCAGCTGAGAGCGATGCTTGCTTGGTGCGGACGGCGACGCAGTGGCTGACGGTGCAACCGCGGGCGCTGGCATCGCTGTAGGAAGAACTGCACCGCTGCTAATCGCACTGGCACTTGATGGAGCATCAGCCTCAACAGAAAGGATGGGCTTGCTCGTTTCCTTGGCGCCCATGCTGCTGTTTTCTGAGCGCGTCGGCCTGCGACCAAGCATGATGCTATCATCCGGCGCGGTCGTTTCGTCAGGCGGTGCTTCATCGACGAGATTGCCCCAGCTCATCTCCTGCGAATTGATGTGCAAGCCAAGCTCAGACGGGTAGGACCGCAACGTGTCCCTTGCTTCGACCTTTCCCTTGCCTTCGGAGCGACTGCCAGCTCTCGGCTGCAAAGATCGATCTGGGCCGTCATCGCCATCGTAATCAGAGGTATCCGACGAAATGAGAATGTCATCGTCTGAGATCCGAGTTGTCAAGATGGGCGAATGCGAAATATGTCGTGAGACGCGTACTCGAGTCGTAGGTGCGCTTACCGGTTCAAACTGGTGAGTGACAGGCCCAGTATCGTCGATACCGCATATAACTTCGGTTGCTTCGATCGCGGGCTCGCGAGATGCTGCCAACTTCAAGGCATCGCGCTGAAAAGTGTCGCCTGCCGAGGACGGCGCGGTCGACGGACCAGGAGCGCCAGAAGTAACACCCGACGCCGAGTGGCCAGTGGATGGCAGCATCCGCGCAAAGTCGTCGCCGACAGCGCCATCGTTGTTCCCAGGCCAAAGGGCGCTGATCCTCTCAAGCTTGTCCAGCAGGTCAATGCGCGCCTCGTGCTCCGCTCGTAATTGATCCTCTAGCTTCTCTACCTTGCTCTGCATCTCATCTTCCCGTGAACAGCTCATCTCATATGCTCTTTCCAGCTCCAACATCCGAGCGACTTCTTGGTGCAGGTCCGTGCGCAATTGCTCGTTCTGCTGCCGGTACTGGTCCGCTTCCCCTTTGGCTCGCTCGAGCGCATCGAGAAGACTATTCTTTTCGAGGTTATGCCGGCGCTGCAAGATGGTGAGGTTGTGTGACGACAGGGGTGATCCTAGAATGGAGGTGCCGACCGTTTGCACGTCCGCGAGATCATCTAAAGCGACGATCGGATGAAAACCGCGCACGGATAGCTCTGTGTTGCTCAAGCGGTTCGAAAGCTGTGCCCCCCTTTCCGCAGAAAACCTCGAGTGCCCTCCAGCGCTATCAAACGACTGTCGGAGCACAGAAGTCAAGGTTAGCGGAGCCGGTGAAGCACGCTGGAAGCTGGCGCGGCTCGAGGATATGTTTTGACTCAAGATTGCGTTTCCAGTAGACTCTTGTGCGCGAGTCTGAGTCAAAGGGATGCTCTCCTCTGGAATGCGCGCCTCGTGGATCATAGCCTGCAAACGATCGAAGGAAGCTCTGCGCGCCTCGGGACTAGAACGCGGCTGCGAATGACTTGACCGTTGGTCTGTGGGATGGCAGGCTTGGTGCATTTCAGCAGCCGCTCGATCTTGAGACGACTGAGGCGTGCCTTGCATCTTGATTGCCAGAGAGGGCGACGTGCTCGAGGTCCCTCTATTAGAAGCACTCCCACCAGAGCTGCGCTTCAGCGCAGCATGACTGCCTTGCGAGTGGACAGCCTCTGTGTGCACAGCGATATCTTCCTGGGAGCGATCAAATCTATCCGGATCTATCGCACTCTCGTCAAAGGAAGGTGCAGTGTTCCGCCTCCTTGCGGCGACTGGAGAAGCGGGTTGGCTAGCTGTGTTCTGTTGAGTGGCATTGGAAGGAGGACTTGCGATGAGGTCATGACCTTCACCAGGCGCCAACGGACCTCGTGATAGCACCGAGATCGCTCGTGTATTGCATCCCCATTGATTTACCTCGCCTTGTATGGGGATGGGAGATCCTTGAATGCCTGCACTTGCCGTTACAAGGTTCACCATCCGGCCGTATGTCTCCTCGACCTCGCGCATTGATTCTTGTCGGTACCGCGCTGCCCGAGCAGGTGTTGTCTCCCTCAAGTCTCTGCGTCGGACAGGAGCCTTGGCCGACTCTGGTGGTTCGGTATCGGTCACTGCACCTACATCGGATTCTGCGCTCTCGTCAATACGTCCAGAAAGCTGCGAGCTGATTGCCCTCCGTACCTCGCGAATTGCGTGTGCGATGGCATAGTGAGACTGAGGTCGAAGTGTGATTCTCTCTGGCGAGAGGGTATGAGAGCTGGTGTTCAGAGTCGCAACCCTCGACTGACCGGAGCTGACCTTGAACGACTGCTCCGGAGAGCCGAGTCGACGCCTAAGGACGGTTGGATCGAAGCTTCCCTCAAAACTGTTGTCATTGAGAGCAGCTTCAATGATGGCCAAATTACTCTCGATCTCCGACACGGACAGCTCGTCATTGTGAGTCGAGCGCAGATTGGAGGAATAGCTGGACGATGGAGGCGGCTCGTAGGCGCGAGGTAAATATTCATTTCCTCCACCAAAAGTATTTCGTTTGCGAGCCTGCGACGTCGAGCTGATCGATCCGTAGGGTGTGGCACCCATATCATGCCCACTAGCATGCGGGCCTGTGGCGAAGGAAGAGAACATCATGGGCTCCATAGAAGGTCCTGCAGCTATCGCGGGCGAACGTGTGATGCGCTCGATACCAGCCCGCATCGATGCGGAGCTGTCGGCATCACTTGATACGGTCGAAGGGAAGTGTCGCTCGAGGTTCGAAAAAACATCCAGTAGTGGCGGTTCTTCCACCTTGGACCTTGGCGGCAGTTCCAGAGACCGACTAGATCTCTCTCCGGCGCTAAAAGTGGAAGCAAGTGGAGCAACCGCAGCAGCCGCGCAAGCCGTGTCCGGCGAGCTGACAATGGACGAGACTGCAGTGCGCCACGACGCGGTGGGCTCGGTATCTGCCACGGAACCCTGGACGCCTCCGCACAGGTTGGTAGACGGAAGGATGGGAGTCATGTCATCGTCTCTGGCTTCATGGGATGACCTTATGTCGGCTGTGTCCACGGGCTGCCACATTTTTGGGATGCTGGCCTGTGCTCCATCTGACTGTGCAGGCCGAACATTTGACGAGATGAAGCGGGCCGCTTCGAACCCGGGTAAGCGAGATGGCTGCCGACCGGATGAGTAGTTGCCCAGTACTTCCGTCGAGCCGTTCGGACCTGCGCCTATCGCAAGGCCCATGCCAAGGAAAGATGAAGCGGAGGACGAACTTGGCTGGCGCTTCAAGGTCGCTCGATGGTCATGAGTCAGGAGACTTTCCTCGTCGGCCGAATCAAGAGCATTCAAAGGCCGTAAGCCCAAGCTGCCGGCTCTTTTTGGCGATGCTTGCAAGGCTTGCAGAGTAAGTGAGCGATCCTGTGCGGGTAAACCAAAAGCCGCTGAGTGTGGCGATCGCGTTTGCTCATCATTATTGGTCGGCCGGAGCAACCCGGTCGAGGAAGAAAACGGCAGGCCGTCGAACGTGGAAGAACCTTGTTGCACACGCTCCATCGCAGCGTCCAGCGTTTGATATGAGTGCTCGAGCGCTGCCGCCTTGTCTCCACCTATCTCCCCTGAACCTTCGGACTCATTTTGCAGTGCCTTCGATTCGGGTCCGGCAGCACGTACGATCCATGATGATGACGGTATCTTGGGTGGATCTCGCGCCTTGAAGCTGCTGGCTATCATGCCCGCTTTACCCTCTGATTTAGTCCGTTTGCGCGAGCCGATCGAGGAGCTAGGGGCCGAGCCGGCATCGCTAAAGTTGGTGTCCTCTTCGAGCACGCCGAACTCTGAAGGTTTGGACACTTGCCTTACGCCTGCAGCTGCCGGGTGTGTCGGGTTTGATTTGGCCCTCGAAGAACCGCGCATCAGCCTTCGGAAGCTAGCAAAAGGCCCGCTCTTGGTGGGCGTGGTCGAAGCAGGTACTGGGTCTTGCGAGCTGCGGGCGAACAAAAGGCAAGACAGCGCACAACGTCATTCAGAATCAGATACCTTGGGTTACTCCCCTTTCACAAGTTCGTGGTACTCACGGGAAGACTGCCTGAGCAGACTGCAGCGACGCATTGCTCTGAGCGCGTTGGAGCGCCGAGGCGACGCTTCGCCACGCGCCATCGTTCACCTGACGGCAGTTGTTGCCCTCCTCCATCAGGGGCGTGGCAATCGGCACAGGCAGCTTGCCGGCCTGCACGATCTGCGAGCCCGCCGAGCGGCCGATTGTGTTGCTGCTGCTGCTGTTGCTCAGGCTTCCGTTCGGCGCCACCTCACCCGCTGCCGCGGCAGCGCCGTTGGACGCACTCAAGGTGGGCAATGCGGACGTCCGGCGTGGGCGAGCGGAGAACTTCGACGAGATCCTCCCACTCACGCTCGCACTCGCAGCTACGGTCGGGATGCTGCTGCCCGACTTGGCAGCGTGCGAGACACTAGACAGCGAAAGGCTGCGCCCGGGCGCACCTGTGAGATTCGAACCGCGCGTCGGCGACGAGGCCGGTGTCTGCAGGGCCGCCGCAGCGGAGCCGGACGATGGCGCGACAGCGGCTGCCATGCTGCTGCTGCTACTTCCAGCCGCTGCGCCGTTGATTATGCTGATGCTGTCGCTGATAGATGCACGGACTAAGACGGAGCGCTGCGTTCCTCCGCTTGCCCTTGACAAACGCGGCAGAAGCGAGGAAGCGGTGGTGGTCGTGTTCCCTGTAGTGCTGGGGCGGTTCGAAGTGGTTGAGCGGAGCCGAGAGCGTTCGCTGCTGGTGTTGTTATTCGTATGCACACTGTCGTACTGCAGTCGCGATGCCGAAGCTGCCTGCTGCTGCTGCTTGGCGGACGAAGACGCGCCTGCAGCTGCAGCAGAGGGTCGTGTGGTCACCAAGGCAGGAGCAGAGACCGACGATGGGAGAGCGGCGTCGAGCGCGTTGCGGTTATAAGCGCCAACGTCGACGTAGCATTCGCTGATATCCCCTCCTTTGGTGGCGGAAGACGAAAAAAATGCCTTGGAGCGGCCAGACCGCTTGAGACTGTTCCTCGCACGGCTGAACGGAAACACACCACCGCTTTGGAATAGGCTCGAGCTGAATCGCTCTTGCCGTCTTTGTTGATCGCCACCGCCACCGCTACTAGCGTCAGGAGAGGAGCGCACACCCCTTATCCTTAGCTCCTCTCTCGGGCCCCACGCCTCCTCGTCTGCCCCAGCTCTCCGCTGTACCTCCTTCGTCGTTATGAGTGATAGCACTGCTGATTGCGCGTGAGATTGCTGCGAATGCTCTGACAAATGCAATCGCGCGAGCTGCTGCTGCGGTGGGGGTGGTCTAGCTCGAACGATGGACGACAGCCTGTGTCTGTGCGTGTCCTTGATGAGCGTTGACGCTCCAAGCGCTCGACCGTCAATTTTACAGAGGCGTTGCTTTGTCTTCGCCAACCCAAGTGGATGAGCCCGCTCGAGCGCGCGGCAGACTTGGGTAGATGTGCTGGACAGCCGCGTAGCGGTGATCCGGCGTCGCTGTCTGCAACGATCGCGACGCTAGTCTGCACAGGCCTGCGGACGAACTTCAGCGTATGCGCGTGTCGAAGCGTGATGGCGTGAGTGTCCGCAGAGGTGAAGTGGGCTGATGTGCTGCCTCTGCTACTGCTTCTCCTATTATTGCCGCCTTCTTGTGCGCCGGATGGGAGTCTTCCTCGCGCCAGCCGCGCTGCTGGGGTGATATAGTGCTGTTTGAAGACCGGGTCTTACGCGGAGACGGGGCCGTGGCTGATGCAAGGCCGGAGGACTTGCGACTGCCGAAGATGTTGCTCGGCGAACGTGGGGGATGCGGTAAGGAGCCTGTGTTCCCGGGCGGCAGACCGCTCGCTGGGAAGGTCAGTCGGAGTCCGAGCCAGAGCAAGTCGCTTGATGCCGACGACCATGTATCGAGGCGCAGATGGCTTCCGGGTCTCAGCCAAAAACCGCGACGACAGCTGCCTGGAGGTGCTGCTAGAAAAATGCGCGGCGTCAAGTAGGACGAGGATACAGCTTGCACCAGTGGCGTCGCAGGACCCGACGATACAGTGTGTGCACGAGGTGTCGTCGCGTTCCACGAGAGTTGCTGTTGCGCCTGGTGCAAAGGAAAATCCCCTGCGTCAAATGAAATAGACAAAGGCCAGGTTCAGCTCAGATGAAGTGGACTCAGCCATGATGCGAAGACATGGGAGACTCTAGCATCACACGTAGTTGGGGTTTACCAGATGCATCTGCAAGGCACGAGCAGGGAGAAAGTACAAGTCGTACTCACAGCAGTGGTGTTCACGCGGTTGCTGCTATTGATTACTGCTGTTGCTGCTTCCGGCAGTGGCTGCTGTTCGCGATGAATGGTAGAGCCTGGAGAGGACCTCTGGCAGGGATATTCGGCAGCACTGACAGCGGTGGTGAGACTGTCTGTTGCGCGAGAAGCTTGTCGCGGTCGTAATGGAGCGTGTCCGCTCTTTCCTCCTCTTCGCCACTATGTTCCGTTGCCGTCCTCCTCGCTCTCTTCCTTCTTCTTCTTGCGTACGCGTAGGAGGGGGTGTATGATAGCTGCCAGTGTGAACCGTGATGTGTGTTAGCTGCAGTGGTGATTGGCGACGATTGTGGTGTACGACGACGCGTAATGCGTGTGCCGCTTCTTCTGCTGCCGTCTGCAGTGATCGCCGACTAGCAGCATGAAGGCTGCTCCTTCGCCAAAACCCCGACCCCGATCTCGTTCCGTTCTGAGTTCTCTCGTGATCCCTGTCCGACACACCTGCTACCACTACTACTATTGCCGAGAGTGTGGCCGACGACGAAGAAGAGGTGGGGTGGAGGAGGAGGAAAGGACGGAGTGCTTGCTGCTGCTGCTTGAAGAGCATAATCTGGATGCTGACGCTGTTTGTGGGCGTGGGAAATTGCGACGCTGCGGTGGCGAAGGGAGGCGGGAAGAGTGCGCTGGTGCCGCTGATGATGCACGCGGCCGCGGCCCAAGTCGTGGAATCGATGCCCATGCCATTTTGTCGCACTTGACCTGTGCCCCTCGTGCAAATCGCCTCTGGCGGTCGTTGCTTCCAGCCCAACTCTGTGAGGTGAACCAGCATCTTGTTCTCTTTCTCGGCCCGAACACGGCCGCCGATCCTGCCAATGTCTTCTTCTTGTCTGCCCAACCACCAACGCATCGTAGACTAGCGCTAAAGGCTAGTATAGAAAGAGCTTGGTTTTGCTTCCCCATGCATCGCCAGGGACGGTGAAACGTAGCCCTCTCTCCCCCCACACGCAAAACGGGTGTCTATCTCCTTGAGCACGTTGGCCTTATTCGAGATGCCCACAGGCGTCACCCCTCCCCGTTTCTCCACAGCCTGTATCCTACAGGCTACAGCCCACTTCCCTCCAGCAGATGCTGGAGCGACGTGTGTACGCTTATGCTTATCTGATTTTGATCAAAGCCACGCCTCGACTTAGTGCTCATAGCTTGGGGGGTCGCGTTCGCGTTTGGCATCGTTTGATCGCGCCTTGTGGTATCATGTCGTATCGTAACTTGTGCGTAAACATCGTCAAGGTCCACCGTCTGAGACCAGACCGCCACCACTAAACGTGCGCTTTGGGTCGTTTCCACTCGTTCCTCGCAGTCATGAGGAACAGACAATCACGAGATGGGTGGGGTGAGGTCGTCGTCAGGCAATGCGCCGTAGTCGATTCTTGCCCAGGTGCTCGGGCGAGCATGAAAACGATGAACATAGACGCATGTCGAGAGACGGAAATCCACTGGAAGATCAACCAAGACTGCCTTCGATTCATCTCATCTCACGAAATAATATTCACGACAGAGAGGCCGCGCATATGACGAGCTTAGTTCTGCACATTGTACAACTCGAGACGCCAGCAGCCAGACGAAGTGACGAAGCATAGGTGATTTTGATCGGCGAGTGCACCACCGCAGTGCCGTCGCATTATCTGCTTCTCTGTGATGCATCGTATCTACGTCTGCTCGCATGGTCGCACATTGAAAATCTGGCGGGAGCCGTCAGTCGCGTGACTACGAGACACTGGCGATTCTTCATTGTTGTGGACTTGGGACGTTGGAAGGAGAGATCGCATTTATATTACTCGCATCAACTCACACGTCACAACATTCTTCATCAGGAACTGTGCTTGCTGTGGCCGTGCAGAGCCGCTCGGATCAGTGGCTCAGCAGGGATCCAGCCGCCACGCTGGGCAAAAACTTCTTGCAGCCCTTTTGTTTCTTCACCTTGAGGATAGGCTTGATGAGTCTGCTCTTTGGAACGTTTGCTCTCCAACAAAACTCTTCTTCGACTGCAACAATGCGACGCTTTATGGCTCCTAACCTCGCTCTACCACTACTCTAACTCGCTCGATCTTGCGCGCAAAAGCTCAAAGTCCACTGCAGAGGTCTGAGGTAGAAAGGGAAGGAGCCGGATTTCTCCGGCAATCACGATCACTGTATACGACTCTATGAAAAGAACAATGGCGGCTAATTCCCAATTGTGGGCTCTTCTGCATCACATGCGTGCGACTTCATCGCGCTGACATTATGATACGCAGCACAGGCGGTGCATAGGCCAGAGGCAATGTATGGCCTTGGCAAGTCGTAGTTCGTACAACCTGGATCACATTAGGTTGTCGAGTGGCAAATACAGACGGATCGAGAGTCAGTACTCCCGACCACTGCCCGATTTCACCAGCCGGCCCAGGCGCAAACCTGGGCGAGAGCAGAGAATGCTGACTGAGAAATCGAATTTGATCAACAAAGTAGATTTTCATTCCCACTCAGGTTCGTGTATGCTGTTCGAACGCTGTGGTATGTGGATAGAGCGGCGATTTTGGAAACTCGAGATGTTGCAGCCGTATCGCACAACCGCAGTCTCTTGCGCGAAAATGAAGAGTCCGCATCGGCTCGTGACGAGCGACGCGCTGGTAGTGATTTGATACGTCGCGTTTCGTAAACGAGGCAAAAAAGGCTATGCGAGAGGCAAGCAAGAGCCGTCGTGACGTCGTTGGTCAAGGCGCTCAAGCCCTCCTTGCAAACCCCCCCCCCCACCCCCCTGGGTCTCTGCCCTGGTATCGAAAAGAGCACGTTTGCGCGTCGTTGGTCATGAAAAGCCGTTTACATCGCACCGTGCTCATCGCCATGATTCAACACACGCACTCTATCTGGCTCCCCTAGCTGGTACATACGAGGTCAGAGGAAGCCATGTGCGGTCGAGACCTGCGACAGAGCCGCGATGACCGTGCACATTGTTAGGCTTCTACTACAAGGGCCGTCCAACCGGACAGGATGCCTCCACCACGGCAGATATTCATCGAAGGGAGGGCTCCTTTTCTCAGCGATACTGGGATCAGACATCCTGCGATGTCGGAGTGACACAGCGCTACAGGCTTCCACGGGCCACAGCCGTGGAGCTGACAAGAGCGCATGTAACTTCCCGTAGCATGTCGTTCGGAACATGGATTCTTTCACGCCTTAACTGAAACTTTCAGGCTTCCGCCCTCAGCACGCCAGCACTGTTCGAACTTCAGCATTGATCAAACGGATCTTTGCCTTTTATATGAGCGTGAATGGTTGCAGATGGTGGAGTACGGATATATCAAGTGGAATCGATGACATCCGGAGAGCAATCTTGAGCTTTGCAAGTTGCGCAGGTCCCGTTTCTGGTCTACATGGTGGCTCCAACGGGCGGCTACACGTTGCAGATACTCTCGGGCAGGACACGAATGAGCGTCGCAGCTACGCAACGCAGTGCATTCGCCTCACCCAGAAGTCAATTTGCAGTCAGTGTCAGCTACCCGCACGCGTGATTGACCACGATATCTGATGCGCGGGAACCCCATTGCCCAAGCCTGAATAAGTCTCATGAGCCATGCATCATGCCTCATACAGGTCGACACAGTCCCACATTTTGGCCTCCTCAAGAACATCAGTCTCCTCCTGTGACCTATAAGGCCATCAGCATTTCTTGCTCATCGCTACCCAGAGCATCCTTCAAGCTCCAAGGTAGGGTGACGATCATCTGAATTGAGCATTGTCGCAATCACCACGAGGATGTCGTCCCCTTCAAGATATAACCAGCTGGGATGTGCGTGTGCGTGGCCTCGTTGAATTTGTAGCAATCGGCCATACTTGTGCTTTTCCTCGCCCTCGCGTCACCCATTCTCCTGTCTCGGCCGCTCCCACTGATTCGCGAGCGCCAACTATGCGCTGAAGGCCGGACGCTCCCATTTGGACGCGGGAGTGCTTTCTGCTCATCCTCTGCTGGTGTCATTCCGGCCTGCTCCCCGCTGCTCTGCGGTACAGAACGCTTCGAGTCTCTGACAAAACATCGAAGGACAAGGCTATGCTTCCGCATGCGACGTTCCACCTATGTCCGCACGATGCCTAAAGATGAGCGGAGAAATTACCGCGACTGAGTAATGGGAGGGATGCGCAGCGTGTTGCACTGTGCACTTCTCTGTCGATGCATGGCACGTCTGGATGTTCGAAAACAGTCTGGGGAGGCGGTGCTCAATGAGGTGGTGGCCCACAACGCGAGTTTGCTTTTACAATCTCGACCCCCTAACATCCCAAGCAAGTCGCAACCACAGAAAGAGGCGAACAATGCCGTGGAGCCATGCCGAGCCTTTTGGCAACGTCCTGAGTCAAGGCAAGTCGGCTCGGGCGTCGCCCATTTTGGGAGAAGTGAGCCTGAGCATCGAGCTCAGATGTACACTCCGCATCACCTGTGATGGTAATGCATTGTGCAGTCATGTGTGTATATCGGCGCTAGCAAGCTCGCATCTGCTGTGCATGTCACAAAGCTGTGTCGAGGTTCGAGAATACATTGCATATGAGGCGAATGGAGTCTGCCGTCGACCTGTTCGCATTTTGATCTGACTCACAACTGCAACCAAACTCGACGATGAGCAAGACGAGAACCAATGTGAGATGGCTGAGAACAGCTAAGCAGTGAGAGTTTGCACTCCTACTTTGTCAGAAGCCAGCAGCCCAGCCAGCACTCAGCAGGGTGCGACATGTGTGCCACGTGGCAATTGTCGAGAGGCGAGAACAGCGAAGCCCACCACGCTAGCACCACCGGTGGTACACGAAAATCGGGGCCTCCGAGAATCTCTTACTATTTAGGCAGTTCACCGAATCGCTTCAGTCTGTAAGAGCACTAGCCCTCTCTCTTTTTCGGTTTTGTTTGATCAGTTTGTTAGACCTTCTGCGGCACTCCACCTAAGTTGACCGACTTTTCTGTGGTTTCGGGCTAGTGGGTCACGGGCAACTGAGACTTTTTTGTCTTTGTTTTGCCACGAGACACAAGGCTCCCAGGCCGTGAGACAAACCGAAAAAAAGCTTTCCACTCACGGCTCGAAGTAATGAGCGCTCTCGTCCCTCGGCGTGAAGCGCGGACGGTTCGAGCGTTCGGGGCTTGCCAGTCGAATGCCCTTTAGCAAGGCCAGAGGCAAAATGCGACAATCAAGGTGTGGTGATTGAGTTTCAGCGATTGGCACCACTCAGAAGCAAGAAGCGAACCACTTGTCCGGCTGATCCAGTACGAGGTGGGGACGACCTCTGACCGGCGGGGCTGGCATGCGATCGATCTGTTTGCGGTATGCCGCATGCATGTGCCTTCATCCAGTCCATCGCTTTGTGGATCATCCGTCCACACGCAGTACGAGGGTACTCATCAATGCTCGTCAATATGTAATGAACGCTCTGTCGAAGGAGCACCAAGAGGCTCAAGCGCTCAAGAGCCTCGATTCAAGGCAGGCCGCGAGATTCTCAGTCGTGTGTACATTTGCTGCATTGCCATCTCCGTCTCTCTGCCGTGTAAAATTTGTTACCACACACAAACGAGCCCAGTCGGCTTTTTTCGGTGGATCACCCTTTGTAGCGCTTTTTGGGGTAGGAATCAGGTTCGTGTATGTATTCCACACCCCACAATGCCCGCATCCACCGATCACGTTTGCCTTGTTGCTACTTCATCCTGCTCTTCTGCTGCAGCTCAAGCCACAGTCCCTCCGGTGGATTTAGTTGAAGCCCACTGTTCGATTAGTATTGTTTCAGACTTTAGTCCTCAGTGTTGACTCTCACGGAGAAAGGCGCACGTGCAGCTAACAGTAGGCACAGTAGCGGCCTAAACAGTCACAGGCAAAAGTTCGCTCGCCACCATCGAAAGCTTCGGTCAATCGGCTCGAGCCGAGTCGATGCATGCGCCTGATGCATCAATGCATTAACTCGACCCCGGACCTCGACTAGTGACTTGCGCTTCTCCTTTCCCGAATCCGCTAGAGGCGTACAGTGCCAGCTAAATCGCAAGCCCGGCAGCACAGGGATCGACACTACTCAACCTGATCAGAAACAGTCCACACAACGCATCGGCCGAAGGTCCCTGCTCCATCCACCGGCCCATACCCCTTCATCTCATGAGACCCAACGACAAGGGTTCATAATTTGAGGGGCGAATGGAGTGCGAGAGGTGCACGACGTGGGTGTCCGACTGATCGGTTTTCTGTGTTCTGCACACACACTCGCAAGCTCGATAGTAGTTGCCCCTCTCGATCACAATCGAAAAGCTTGGACTCGGCTCCTGGTGTAGGGAAGGAGACCCACATTGCCACAACAAGGCTTGAGAGTTGCTGCCGACGGCTCGAGTGGGTGTAGCTGGCGATAGCTGCAAGGTAGGGAACCAACTGTCGAGCGGGGACCCTTGTGGCTGCAGCCTCGCCTGCACCGCTCCATCGACTACAACCCCAACAGCGCTCCAGCAGCATTCACACTCAATACTCGAAGTACATGTGCTGCCAATAGAAGTCAGACTCCGGAGGATCGTATGGAGAGTACTTTAACAAGTAAGTACCGATGCATTGTCATGTCAAATTGGAGCCCATCTCACACATTGTCCATTCTTCACTCTTCCCATCTTCTGTTCCCTCTGATTATCAACCTGCGCCGCATTCTCCATCCATCCTGTATCACGCCACGAACAGTCTTTTTCTATTCGCCTCGACCATATCCTCGCAACCATTCTCTGCAAGTTCTGCTGCAGTCGTACAACCATTTGCGACGCCCAAACAAGACGGTCCCCTGCCGCCATCGCTAGTGCTGCGCGGTCCACGTTTGCAAACGGCCCATCTCCCGCTCAGAGCACTATTTGCGGCTTAAACCAGTGCGGTGCACGACGAAAACTGCATACGCTTTGCATGCTAGTCTCGTCGCGCATTCAGACAGCGAAGTAGAGCCTTCGACGGTGCACGTGACTGGGTCGCCCTCGGACGCCTTGCTTACCCTCAAGGGCAAGGCTGCCCAGGTCTTTCTGACCAACTCCAATTTCCAGAACCGGACGAAGGCAAGGAACAGCGACGGCCAGCAGGCCAAATAAAGACAGAGAGGAGCGAGAAGCAGCGGCCGAGTAGCCCTGCATCTTCCCAGTCGACGGCCATCAGGGAATCGAATCCTTGCCCTTGTCACGCATCTTCGCCTGGCAAAGCGCAACTGTCACAGTCATCATCACCACCCCAGATGAGCCAAACAGCTTTGGGCGGCAAGACGATTCACAACATGTCCACGTCATCGCTTTCACGGAGGGCGCTGCCACCGCCACCTCTCACGCTTGCACCGTTGCCGTCACTAGCGAAGCGAGCGCGCCGCAAAGCATCTATCAAAGGCGAAGCGTCGCCCAAACTTGAGATAGCGTTTCCGCAACAATCGACTCAGTCGCAAGTGCAAAACAAACCTTACCAGCAGGCTCAGGCTCTGGACCGTCCTCCGCCTTCGGCCAGCCTGCCTGTGCAAGCAGAGAGCGAAGACGACGAGCCTGTGCACCGCCGATCACGCGCCTCCACCTGCCACCAGTGCTGCTCGCCGTACGTTAGGTGCAACTTGACTTACGATGTGACCGACGGTCAAGAGTTTGTCCTACAAGAAGCGCTCGACAGCGCAGATGCTGAGTTCTGGTACACGGACGACGCCGCGACGACGAACTCCGGCACGAGTGTGAGTTTGAGCCATAATCTCAGCCTCGGGCATGCCGACCCCATTGCAGACGGCGCAAGAGGGGGGTACAACGCCCGCGTAGCAGGCGGACACCAGCTGCAGAGGGAGTCCAGCTACTCGACTTTTGGTCGTGTCTATGCCGACATGTCCTCCGCGGACGCCAGAAGCGACAAGTACGGCCTCCCGCCAAGTGACACGTCGGTTCCCAACTCGGCAATCGAAGAGTCCGACGCACACGAGGACTACCAGAAGCAAGCATTCAACCGCAGCGCAAAGGGCAAGAGGCGTGCTACCAATTCGTATGAGCGAGCCAAGCGGGAACATCAAGACGCGCAAAAGAACACAACGACGCGCGCGAGCACGACACCGAGCGAGGCAGAGCGTTACGCCAAACTCCACCGAATAACGACGCTGAATACGGCGACCGCGGCTGCGCATACCTCCACGGACAGTGAGGCGGATGCCTACCCGAGCGACGCAGCGGATGTCGTCGATGTCGACACAGCCTTTTCTGGCTATCCCGCTGACGAGGATATGGTCGACGACAGCGACGACAGCGACGACAGCGACGACGACGATCTGGTCGAGAACGACGAGCGGCGCGTCTCCATCACACCTGCGAGCCCCTCTTCCACTCGCACAAGCATTTCTGGCTACAAGGCAGCACGCCCGCTGCCCATTCCACCGTCACCCTCGTCTGTTCATGCCTCGCGGGCTTCACCAAGCGCAACGGCAGTTGGCTCGTCCCCTAGCACGGCATCACAGGGGACCAACCCGCGTCCGCTGACGATCCTGACCCCGATCCAGCTGTGGGAGCAAGAGCCGTTCCTCGCCTTTCGTGGATCCTTCGTGTCGTTTGAGAAGGAGTTCGACCCCAAGTTCTTCGCGGCTCCCAACGAAGGCACCGAATGCAAACCGCTCACACCGACAAGGATCTCGCGGCCTTTTGCTCAGCTACAGTCTGATTTGCTTCTCACGCATGAACAAGCTGATGTCGTAGCGAAACCAGAGATGGTGAGTACAGCCTCATCGTCTTCCAATAATCGCCATAAACTCGCATGCTCAATTCCTCTGTCGTCTTCCCCTGTCCGGCCGCAGCCGCGCCGAGGGGCCACACTCGCTCCATCCGAAGAATCAGCTCGGCAGCAGCATGCAACTGCGTCAGTCCAAGCCGCGAGCGCACCGTCCAGAACACCTGGCGCAAGCTCGAGTATCTCTCCTCCAACTACTTTCAAGCGTAACCCTGCACCAGCCCCGCGATTCTTCGTGCCGACAGAGGCGGTGCTACAGTTATCTGACTCAGAGTCGCAGATGCAGTCTCAGCATCTGCAGGCAGCGTCGGCCTCGGTAGAGAAAGACTTGCCTCCTTTGCCACCTCCAGTATCAGCCCCACGCGCGTTGCACGTCAGATCCAGTCGCTTCTTGCGTACACCTGGCTTCAGGCCGGGCTCGGCGCTTGCACCCACTCGGACCGATTTGGCAGGCCAAAGTCAGCGGAATTTGCACTTGGCGCCTCCGGCCGCTGCTGTGCGACAAGGTGACGCAGCGTCTGCGCCAGAGTCAACCAGCGTCAGCGGTGTCATTGCTGCGGCTCACAGAGTGCCTCCTCCCGCTCCGTCCACTTCTGCTGCGTCGGCCACGTCGGCTGCCGAGCTTGAAGAGCTCAAGTCCTTCCCAACGCTTCATCGCTCAGACATCAGCGGCTCTAGCGTGCAGCCACCTTCGATGAAGGGCGACTTTTTTCCGTGGAAACCGGTGGAGCCACTGTCACTTTCCCGTCAAACCAACTTTGGTGCTCTTGTTCGAGCTCGGACAAGGACATTCTCGAATGAAAAGAGCGAAGACAGTATGAAACGTGTCAAGCCACCTGCTGTCGGGAACAATTCCCAGCAAGGGCCACCGCAAGCACCACAGCAAGCAACACCGCAAGCACCATCGCAAGTAACACAGCAAGCAACACCGCAAGTACCACCGCAAGCACCACAGCAAGCATCACCGAAAGCACGACAGCACGCATATGCGCCACAGCATGCATTCCACGTCGAGTCTGCTGTTTCTCCTGCCCCTCGCCCTTCCAGACGACGTGTCGAAAAGATTCTGCCTCTGCCACTTACAGACAGGACCACCCGCCGACGATCCCGCCCCTTTCCCCTCTCGCCGGACCACATCCGAGACGAAGTGCGCAACTCGAACTCCATCTGGCGTGCACCGCAGTGGCAACCTCCGCGCGCAAAGTCTCGCATGGGGACATCGATTCGCATCGGTAGCGTTAGACAAACCGGGCGACAACTCTCAAACAGGCTCACACGTCGGAGGCAGCAGATGCTTTGCTCCATGCCAGATGATGATGATTCTGAAGTCGAGGAGGTCAATGTAGCTCTCAGTAGGATGGTGACGCGGACGCGCAAAGGGTCCATCAGCTCAATTACCGAGAGTGTCGAGAATGCTCTCGCTCCCTTCCGCAAGGCCATCGCAGATGTCGTACATGCTGCTGCTGCAAAGTCGGGCAACCCGCTCTCACGGATGCCGACTGTACGGATGGCCACAGCAGGCGAGCCGAGTAAGCCCAAGGAAGCGACTTCACCTGCCTGCTTCCCTAGCTCTCAGGCTCTCGCCGAGAGCGATGCTGAGGAAGATTGGCCAGCGCCCAGCCTCCGTGGCTCGGTCAAGCGGCATCCTCGTTATGATGATGATCTGCCTCCACTTCCTCCTGCCTCGCCGGACGCAGACGCTAGACCTCGCAAAAGTTTGTACCCATTCGAGTATCTGTCAACGTCTATCATTGCGGGCGACTCTCCTCCTCCGCTGCCTTTCAACACTCTGGCTTCTGGTTCAAAAGAAGAGCCTGTCATCACCGAAGCGGCGTCCGCTCCATCGTCACTCGACGGCCACCACCGCTCTCGAGTCAGTGTCCCCGCATCAGCGTCTTTGGATGGCCACATGAAGCCTGGGTTACTGTCGTCCTCCGGGGGGCTTCGCGGTGCCGGATTCTCTCCTAGCGCGCCAATCGTGCGCACAAAGCGCTGGCGTGAGGCCTACGAGCCTGGCCGGCTCTCGCGGAAGAGGTGTGTGTCGCTTCGCGTCAATACAGACATACGTAGTCTCACACAGAACTTACAGAACGGAGTCAAGTTTCAGTAAGCTAGGCTCTTCCCATGTACTGTACAACCATGTCCTTGGCAGCAATACAAGGAATGCACTACTTCATGATACAAGGCCCATCTCGGGGGCTGCCTCTAGAAGACCATTGTCCTCCAGCATTTCATTCGACATGGCATCAGCTCCGCCTGCCGATGTCACGAAATTAGAACCGATGCCGTCTTGGGTGGCTTCCTGCTGGCGGACCTTCCAGTCGATGTACTCCATGATGCTCGGCATCTCTTTGACGAGGATCCTTATCGGGTTCGGCTCCGCTGCAAGTCGCAAAGGGATATCAGCACGCTAATTATGAGAAACTTGCCATTAGTGCCAGCTCACTGGAGCGCTCAACGCGGCCAAGCCGTTTGCATGCCCTCTTTTGTCCTCCCCATGCGAAAAACGGATGATGCTGTGGGCAGATCACTTTGCTGTTCCGGTAATACCACCGCTTGGTGTCGACATCATCTCTTGGTGCGAGGGGAAGCGTGGACATGCCCATAATCTGAACGACTGCCTTGGTGCGTCCGCGCACAGATCGATGCTCAACCAGGTTGGTGATAGCATGGCACGCCTGGCCATACCCAACGAGGATGATGTTCTCAGTATCGCACACGTCGATTAGGTTGTCCCACGTATACAGAAGTTCCTCGTTCGTCTGCGTCGCCAATGCGCTCAAAGTGGTTGCAGCATTTGCCGTTGCTTGTGGCTGTAAACCTTTCTGCTCCGTCAATCCGATCGGGAAGCTACCGAAGAAATTGACATCGACGACAGCGTAATTCTTCTCCCTTGCCCGATCATAGAGCGCGAATGTGCTGTCAATAAGGTAGCTGGTAGCACCAACGGTCTTTTCGGTCTGGATATCTTGCTGACCGACGCGAAGGTTTCCCATGTCATGCGCAAAGAGTATGACGGCCTCCCATGACTTTTCGAACAAGTCCTTGTTGCACATGACCTGCGTCTGCGATGCCGGCAAGCGCACAAGAGATGGCCTGGGGATGCCTACCTCCGGCAAAGGCACATCGGAGTAGCCGTAAGAGTTCCAAAGATGGTGCGTTCGCCAGTGCCGGACAAGTTCCCGTAACTCAACCTTGGGCAGGTCCTCATCCATGCTGGCATCAGCTGCTTCATGCTCCCGCGGGATTGATCGCCAATACTTGCTCTGCACTTGCGCAACTTGCCGGCATGTATTCGCAGCGATCGGTCCGCATGCGGTGCCTGCAGGAAGCTCGGACGGGACTCCCCCGAGGAGGACCTTGGCAACGGCTACAGCTGAATGCGCGATCGCGTTCACTTCGTATCCCCCCTAGCAAGCATCTCGTCAGCATCACCGTCAGATACGGCGCGAACATGCCAGTTGTGAGGCATCCATGACTCACTTCTAGCGCCACGATCAGCCGCCCGTCCGCTAGTGCATTGAGCATCTGCGTCATGTGCGCATAACCGGCCGGTGAAACAAAGCATTCCCCGAGCGGATCCCCCGCTGCAGCGTCAAACCCGGCGCTGATGATAACCATATCCGGAGCATACTCGTACGCAATCGGCATGATGATGCGCTGAAAGGCGTGCAAGTAGTCACCGTCTCCCATGCCCTTGCTTGGCCATGGAACGTTGACGGAATATCCTGCGCCGGCTCCTCGTCCGACGGAGTGCATCGAACCGAACGGCCCACCAGGGTAGAAATCGCCTCCATCGTGACGATGCAGGGACATGTACAGAACCGAAGGGTCCTCGTCGAAAGCGAGCTGCGTTCCATTGCCATGATGGACATCCCAATCGAGGATGAGGATCTTTTGCACCTTGTTCGGCCCGTCCTTGTACTTGTTCTGCAGCCATCGACTGGCAACGGCAACATTGTTGTATAGGCAGAAGCCCATGCTCTGCTTCGGCTCCGCATGATGGCCCGGAGGCCGGATGACTGCAAAGCCGTTTCGGATGCGCCGTTCGGCCACGGCATCGCACATTTCAATCAAGCTTCCAGCGGAGAGGCGAGCGCAGAGCGCCGAGTGCTCGTTGAGATACAGCGAGGACTCTCTTTCGAGCGTCGGACACTGCATTGCCAGCGTCTCTCGCGAGATAACTGGAGCCAGACTGACACTTGAGCTGTTTGCTCTGCACTGGCAAACGAAATGACACAAGGCACTCACAGGCTGTCCGTTCTACTCCATTCCATATCCCTTCGTCATGTACAAGAAGCACCTCCCACTTCTCGACCTGCCTGGTCCGGATCCTGACCATCCTGCGTACCAGTCCCTCCCTTTCCATCAGCTTGAAAATGGTGGAAATTCGCTCCGGCCTTTCCGGATGGTCTCCGTCCGGATGCGAATGGAGCATCATGAGCGACGAATACACTAATCCGGACCGCCCGCCTGACAGAACTTCTTTTACTTCCACTCGTTGATGCGCCTTGGCTCCCCTTGTCGTGGCTGGCAGTTGAGGTATCCATCTCAATGGCACCGACGACGCGGTCCTACCATTCCCGGCGGGCTGGGATGCAGAGTCGGACCCAAATCCTGAGCCCAAGATGGAGTCCTGGCCGCCGGCGGAGGTTGCCGACTGCCTGGAATCTACTGGTCCATTCGGCGGGAACGGAAGCGAAGCAAGTGGTTTGTGGGGACTCTGTGTCGGATGTATCATAATAGCTGCGGGGTCGACGAAGCCTTGACCTGCAGCCGTTGCGGCATCGTTGTTATCATTCATTGACGATGCCGCATCGTCGTCCACCCTCGCAAGCCGATTCACTCCCAGTGCACTCAGAGCATTGCATATTTGCAGACTGGCCATTGGCATTGCATTCACCTTGCCCTCTACCAGCTTTTCTCGTAGACCAGCCCCTTCGGCCGTTGATGGATACAATCCCAGCTCCGGATCTGTAGTGATAGCATCACTCGGCATCAATGGTGAGGCTGGGATGTGGCCTCCATTAGAGCTCGCATTGGAGTTGTTCCCGACAATAGAAGCCGGCGGAAATGAGATCTGGTGATCACTGAGAGCAGTCGCACCACTTGGATTGATCCTGCCTCCTTGCCCGGGCGGCAGCATGGATGTCGTCGTGTCATCTCCCTGCGTCGAATGGAAAGCAGGAGCGTGTACGCCAAAAGCCTGGGCACTTAGCCGAAGCGAATCTGTGGAATCCACAGCGCTCCCCAGTACGCCCTTGCTGGAAATGTGAGTATCCGATAGACCCATTGAAGCGGAGGGCTGCTGATTATTGTCTCGGGAGCCAGGCCATGCAATGGCGCCCGGTGGTTGCCTCATGGACAGCGAAGTACTGTCGAGGCCAACAATTTCAGCTGCCTGCGTGATCGGCTCATCGCCGGGTGTGGGTTTGTGCGGCGGATTCATGATGACCTTTTGTGCCTGCACTCGCGGCTCTCCTTTTCTGCGCCGGCCAGACCGGCCTTCACGATTGGGATGGCATAATCCTAGAACGAAGGGAGGAGTGTATGCAGGTCGAAAGGCTTGCAGCAATTGCCATCCACAACGTAAGCTCCAGCAGCGCCGCTTATCCTTGCTATGTATGGAAGTAATCTCACTCAATCATCATCCCCTGCAACATTGATCAATGTAAAATAATGGTCAATGGCGCTCTCCATCCGATCGGCAGCGCGACGGCGGCGGCGGAGCCGAAACTGGCACAACAGCACGAAGAGAAAAGGCTTCCTGCAGGCTCGCGAGAAAGCCGGGGGAATCACACCAAAACATGTGATATTTTGGGTTTATTTACCTTGTATCACTTTAATCCCGGAAGTGTAGCAGCAAATGGAGCACACAAGTGTAAAACACAAACAATCCGATGGCAAGCATAGGACAGAGCCCCGTCACACGGAGAGACGGTACATTACTGGCTAACAGCGTCCAAGTCCGCGATTCACCTGCTGTCCGGGAGGATAAAGGGCCATAGTGCGTGTGCAGGTGCACAAGAGCCAAGCTCTACGGGCGCCTGATCGGGAAGCTGGTCTGCAGGACTCCTGCCGACGCTGGAGGTAACGATGGTCGAAACGAGCGTGGCAGAGTCATCGTATCCGTGAGTATATCTTTGAAACAAGGCATTCGTCAGGGGCAAAAGCATCTCCTTATCCCAGTCTGAGCTTGCTTGCTCTTCCGTGCAGCACTTCGTGGTCAACGGTCGTGTCCGCATTCCTTCGAAGATATCCAAATCCTTATGCGACGCATGTGATCAGCGTTGACACCATTGATCGGCAGCTTGTCCCCGCATCATATCCAAGAAGGCAATGGCCCCTGCTTTCGAAAGAGGGTAGCCTTGTCGAAAAAGCATCATACGAAGCAACTGCTGCGAAAGCTCGAAGCGTGTCCCAGGACATGCTCCGAGAGCCTCAGCATCGATGGTTCGGCTCCTCATCCTCATCACCTATCCGATCAACAAGAAGACAGGGATCACCACACGACCCATCGATTGAGGACGAGCTCTTCGAACCTTTGGTCCTGCGCACCACACGTCTCATCCTTAAGCGCGGCACTCTGCCCAAATGGGCGCCATCAGGGATCATCAAGAACGCCGAAAGCTGGGTGCTGGAAGAGACTGAGGTGGAAGTCGATCTGGACCTTCCGGCCGCCGTTGAAGATCTCTCCTCGAGCGCAACGAGATCAGTGCCTAACAGACAAGACATGAGACAAAAAGGGCGAGAGATGCGTGTATGGACGCGGAACTTGGACCATACGAACGTGCTGGCCGTGACAGAGGGAGTAACACTTCGGGAGGAATTGGAGGAACTACCTTTTGTCGCAGTGGCGCACACGTCCCCCTCCCCGGAACTACGGACAAAGTACAACTTTTTCGGCAGCTCATCTTCCCCTGCATCGGCGATGGAACAAAGCAGCGCATCTTTAGTCGCGTCCCGCTCTCTCCCGCTCACGCATTGCCTAACAACTGGTCACGTATCCTCCTCAGTGGGATTTTCCCTCTTGCAGCGGCGGATCGAGAAATTCGGCGTGAAGCGCTTCAAAGCGCATTCAGATACGTCGCGCGCAGGACTGTTGTGGGTTGTCGACGCCGCGGCTCGCATACGCGCCGGCGACCTCTCTGCCCTGGAAATACTCAGGGCCAGTCTGGCCGCTGCTCATGTGGACGGTGACGGAGCGCACTCTGACGCAAGGAGTATGGGTGCGGAAGATGGCACTGGAGTCGGAGATGCGAGTACCGGTTGGGCAATAGGAAGAGGGTGGAGGGAGTCTGCGGACGGCCAAGGTGATAGAACGCGACCGCGTCTCAGAGCAGCCTTCCGGCCTCCGTTCCTCGACGGATACCCTGCAACTCCGCTGCAGCGCCTGCGAAACTGGTGGAAGGGAGAACCAGGGCGCGTACAACAAGCCAAAGAAGCCGGTGCGTCCCATCTCTGTCCATAGGTGACATCGTCATGATGGAGCACTCCTCCGTCTTGAGAAGAGCGAATAACAGAAAATGACACTGATACCCGGTTTGAAAATTCGCTTGCGCAGAGGAACGGATACGGTGGGCGTACAAAGCTCGCGAGTTATTCGAGGTCAACCTGCCACCTTTGCCTTCGTCCGAGGAGGGTGTTCGCAATGTTCCGAAGCGCGAAGCAGAGCACGGCGGTGGGGACGCAGCGTCCAGGCAGACATAGGCAGCGGCCGGTTGTGCCGCGTGCCCGATGGCAACGTTCGAAGTGTATAGGTTCGCTTGCTGCGCTGCTCCGTCCCGTCCGTTTGTTGCTCAAGTGTATGTCCAAACTCGCTTGAAGGCACCACTTACCCACACATCAGCTTCTCAAAAGCTACAGCCTGTGCAAATCAGCTTCGTTCGATGTTGCGATGGTTCCGCAACTCCGAGCACGCAAAGATCACAGAGACGACGTCTAGGCTGAATCGCTGAAGATAGAATACAAATAGGATACTCGTACAACCATCTAAAATTTTGGCTGCCACAACCTCTCAAATTTTCGCGCCGTTGCCATGAACAGGCGTGTCGGACCTGGCAGCAGTGGCGGAAAAGAGCGGCCTGAGCTCCTGCGTGTACCACTCGACAACATGCTTGCCGTGCGCCGCTTTGGGGTTCCAGTTGTACTGCCCCGGCTGCTTACTGGTCAGCTTGTGGTTCAATGGGTTGCCCTCGGCGAGCGCCATGAGGTGCTCGTACACGCGTCCGTCCTTGCGGCCGAGTGCGGAGGCTGCAGGGGGATTGTGGGAGGCAAGGGGAACAGCGGGATGCATGTGCATGAGCACGAAGGGTTCCAGCAAGCCAGAAAGACGAGACCTCAGGGGAGAGGCAACAAGGGACACTCACACAGCTCCCAGTCGGTCCAGCCGAAAGCGTCGGAGAGGCCGATGACCTGTGGTAGCAGCTCCTCAACGAGACCGCGGATGGCGGTCTCGAGCGCCTTGACGGACTCTGCAGTGAGGATGGCCTGACCGGGCTTGTACGCCGCGAGGCCGGCTGCGCCCGATGTGCCCATGGGGAGCGCGAGGGGCGTGATGTTGCGCGAGAGGGACATGAGCGCGTTGAGCGCAACGAGCTTGCTGATCCACGCGACCTCGGCGGTGCCGAGCGCCTGCGCGTCGTCCGCGACCGCCTCGGCGAACCAGGTGGACACGACGACCTCGGCGTGCGAGCGTCCAACCTCGACGCACTCCCACGACAGGTCGACGAAGCGGCGCCCCGCGTCGAGCTCCGCCTGGAGGTCCCCGACGAGGCGCGCGGCGCGCAAGTTGAGCGCGCTCGCGAACACGTCTGGGCGCAACCACTCGACCGCGGCCGTCGGGGCACGGAAGCGGATCGCGTCGGCGTCATGCAGCGCACGCACAAAGGCGGTCGTCGCAGTGACCTTGGCGCTGCGGTCCTGCTTGAGCTCTCCGGCAAGCTTGAGCATGGCGCGGCCAACCTGCTGGAAGAGGACAAAGTTGTCGCCCTCGTACGTGACGCTCGGCAGCTGCTCAGGGAAGATACCGTTGAAACCGGCGTAGCTAAGAAAGCCGTGCCCGCCGAGCGCCTGGCGGCACTCCTCGATGCCGTCGACGACCTGCTTGGTACAGTAGGCCTTCAAGCTGGAGCTGGCGACGTGGACATCGGCGAGCAGCTCGATGTTGCCCTGGTCCAGCTGCGCAGCCATGTCCTCGTACAGTGCGCGCATGCGGCGGCCGGCAAGGATGTACGCGTACGAATTGGCCAGCAGCGGCAGGAGGCGCCTGTTGAGCGACGGGTAGCTCAGCACGGAGCGCTCCTGGTCGTTCTCGTCCGTGCTGGACGGATCGCGAAACTGCCTGCGGACGTGCGAGTAGCGCAAAGCGATCGTGATGGCGCGGCTGAGCATCCAGCCGCAGCGGTCGATCATCTGGCTTCGGATGAAAACCATTCCGCCGTACGACAGCTTGGCCGACGGCGGCTTGACGTATTCGCCGCCCTGCTTGACCTTGGCGTTTTTGGCGAGCATGTTGCTTCGCGGGATGCGCACGTTATCAAATCGGACCCAGCCGTTGTCAAGGCCGGCAAAGGCGCCGTACGTTTTGGGGCCAATGTCGCCTGCAACTATGCCTGGAAAGACAGAGCCGTCCTGGACGCTGCGTAGTGGGACAAAAAAGAGATGGGGACCGTGGCGCTTGTCGTGGATGATGAGCTGGCACTGGACGATGGCGTGCGTAGCGGTGAGACCGGCGCCGCCAGCCCACCACTTTGTAGATGTCAGGGTGGGCGAGTGGATGTTGAACTCGTCGGTCTCGGGTACATACGTGGCCAAGGTCTCGAGCGCCTGGACGTTTGTGCCGTGGCCAAGTTCGGTCTGGAGGTAGCAGCCAAAGATCTGGTGCTCCATGGCTGCGTTGCCCCAGCGCTGCACCTGGTCGAAGTCGCCTTGGCCCATGATGACTGGCACGAATGCGACCCAGTGGAGGGAGAGGGGAGACTGTAGGTCGAGGTTGATTGCGGCCTCGATCGCCTCTTGGGCGTCCCAGCCGTCACGGTGGGCAATCTCGAGGATACGCCGGACGGCGAGGTGTGACATGCGCATCTGCTGTTCGCGGGACCAATGTGTCCTGAGAGAGAACAGGCAAGAGGATTCAGCTGGGGAGAAGGTATGTGTGGAAATCAGATCGCACACACATCTTCAGCTTCCAGTCGGCGAACACCTCGTCGTCCTGGAGAGTCTTGACGATCTTTTGACGGCTGGCATTGTCGATCCTGCCGTCGCGGATCACCTCCTCGATGCGGGCCGGGTCGAAGGCGGTCTGGGCGCGGGCATTCGCCATGTCGATGGAAGTCTGTGCGGCGACTTTACCCATGGGTATCGGCAGCGAGACCTGGGGGACTGCGACGTTGGGGTGCGTCTTGGCTGCCAAGGGAGCGTACATTGTGCTGTCTGGGTGGTTGGAGGGCGGTGGCTGCGAGGCGGCAGGGCTGGAGGCGTTGGTGCCGCCGATGAGGGAGGTCGAGAAGACCATTTTGTATCGATACGATGGGAGCTCCAGAGAGACAGCGAGATGTTTCGCAAGTAAGGTGATCGGGAGGGGGGGCAGGAACAAGATACAGGAGCGAGAGCGGCAGTGGCGTTTGGGTTCACAGGTGTGAGAGGGAGGAAGGAAAGGAGCTTGTACGGAGCGATGTGGGCTGCGAGCAAGGGGTTCTGCGATGGACATGGTTGGTACTGCTCGTTGAAAAGCTGCCGCTGAAACAGCGAGTAATCCAATCCAGCCCCAGTCCAGTCCACACTACCACCCTTACGGTGTAGCATCTCTCCATGAAATCCGGATTGTGGGGTTGAATAGTTTTTGAATGCAGTGTCTCTCCGGCTGTGCGCTATATGCGAGACTCCCGATTGCCGGTCACGTGACCACATGATGAAAGGCAACCGAAAGGCTGGCAAGTTAACCCTAACCATCCAACCGTTCCTTGTCCTCTTCGTTCCACGCGTGACAACTCACCTCTACTAACCATCTTATTCTCCATTCAGACGAGCTTCCCCAGCTAATAGCGTCAGCTGCCATTCTCGCTGCTCACAATACCAGGTGGTGGGAGCAGACAGCTGCGCTGCGATACATGTACCATCGTTCTCACCAGAGTCATGAATGCATGGTCATCATTCACTCGAGAGCGAAGGTCACAGTTGAAGCCTGTTCATCCGTCCTCAGCCAAGTTTCAAACCTCAACATTAAAACGCAGTGCTTGCCAGTGTGTATGTGAAATTACAAATGCCAGGGAGCAGTGGCATGGAAGGCGAACAAAAATGATACAGCTGACCATCCAGAAACAGTCATCAATTAAATCCCGCGTAAATAGTCATTCCTAAAAAAACACCTGTTGCTAGCGTCGACGTTCTCGCAAGGCCGACTCAGGGCTCACTACCAGCCAGCCGTCGTAGCCGCCAGCTCCTGCCGGGCCATGTGGAACTCATACTCGGTGGCCATGATAATCTGCTCCCGTTCCTGCTCCTCTTGCTCCCATTCGCGTTCGCGCTGCTGCTGCTGCCGCCCCGGCGTCGCCTCACCGCCTCGCCCTAGCTCGTCCGCCGGGAGTGGCGGAGGTGGAGGCGGCCAATACACCGTCTGTCCAGCCGGCGTGGGCCGGGCGCTGATCAGCACCACGCGTGCAGGCTTGTTGAGCGAGGCATTGTTGATCCACACGCCCTCGGCAGCGGTCGCGCGTCTTGTGCCATCATCATCCGTGCGAGCATCATGTGCATCATCATCACTCTCTGAGCTCGGCGAAAGCAGCACAGCAGTGAACTTTTCGATCTCCTCGAGCTTGTCGCGCGCCACGAGCTTCACGTCCCCGATCGTGATGCTCTCCGGGCCGAGGTTGTACACACATGCATTGTGGTCCGCCGCGACCGGTCGGAATATGCGTCCGCCAGGCGCGATAAAAATGTCGAACAGCGAGAACGCGGGTGGTGGCTCTTCGCACGTTGCAGCGGCGCCGTCATAGTGCATCTTCTGCAATCCGCGGCAGCCGACGTCCAGCACGCGTTTCTGGCACCAGCCCTGGCCCTGCTGGTTCTCGCTAACGCCCAACACCGGCTTTAGCACCTCGATCACACTGTTGCACCGTCCAGCCGTCTCATCCGCGGCGGCACGCTGATCTTTGCTTGCGCTCCCACTCGCCGCCGAAAGCACTGACGGCAGCGATGCTGTGCGCGACCAGAACTGCTTGCAGGCGCGCGAGGACCAGAATGACGACGATGACGACGACGACGGCGAAGAAGATGAGGTCGATCCTCCGCTCTTTCCCGCGCTTGCATTTGCACTACCGGGAACACCGCCCGGCTGGCATTTGGCGCCGCCGCGCATGACGAGGCTGCACGGCGCGCTGAGCTTTGCGTAGCGCGGCACGTCGAGCCATATTCGAAGGCCGGATGTATACTGTACATCCTCCGCCGCAGTCGCTGCCGCTGCCGACGCACCGGCCGCCGAGACGGGTGGATACACGCTCGACGCTGAAGAGGGTGATGGGGAACATGCAGATGCAGAGGGCGAGGAAGATGGACCGCTGGTGCCTGTATCCTTCCCCGCGCCCATTGAGCATGACGACGAGGGGCCGCAAGGGAGAGCAGAGCGTCTAAGCAAGGCGTTGGCCAGGCTGCTGATCGGGCACGATGACGATGCCAATACTGGTGCACACCATGACGTCGCTGAGCCGGAAGTGGGAGAGCTCGTGGCACGTGCAAACGGCTTGGACATGCTGCTCGGGAAGACAGCTTTCAGTGAGTAGACCAGGCCGCGCCCCATGCTGAGACACATTGCGTCCCCCCGCTGTAGCAGTGTGCGCGTACAGCGCGCCAGCTCGTTCTCGCCGCCTTTTGGCGCTGCTTGCACAGTGGAAGGTGGCGATGGCGCAGGAAACGGTATTCGCGAATCCTGGCACTCGAGACTGCCGCTCATCAGGTACACGAGCATCATGAATCCACGTGCAGGAATGGACGAGAAGCCAGCAAAGCAACTCCCTGCTCCTGCTGACCCCGTTGAGGCGCCAATCGAGCTTAGCGAGGACGCATGCAGCTGCCCAGGCGGCGGCATCGATTTCGGCAGTTGCTGATGCAGTGGTGCAGGGGGAGTGATGGGCTTCAAGGAAGGGTTGGGGATCATGAAGTGCTCGATGCGCAAGAAAGGCGCGTGTGACAGCTTTCCTGACGCAACTGCAGATGCAGGAGCAAGGTGAGCGGGAGCTGAATTCAAGTCATGATTTGGATCCCGACTGTGACCGACAGTTGACGCAGCCTGACTCGCCAGATCCAGTCGAGCGTCGAGCGAGCAGCGCATGACGGCACCATGCTTTCCAACGGAGGTGTACCATGGGTGACCCTGTGACCCCTGTTTTCCATCGCACTTGATCGGGACGGATTTAATGCTTCGTATCGGCCTGCGTGAGCGCGGTGAGGACGATGACACGATCGACGAGGGGACAACAGGAGACCATGCTGGTGTCTGCTGCTGCTGCTCTTGCCGGGCGAGTGTATGTAGTGGCGGATCCTTCGGCACTGGTGTCGCGGCCGAAGCTGAAGACGAAGCGTAAACAGAACTAGGACACGCGCGCTTGTACGCGCCACCGGGTAGGCCGCAGCCACTTGCGGTCTTCGCGTGTTCCTCCACGTCCACGTAGCCCCAATCTTCATCGCTGCAGCTGTCGTCGTGCGACATCTGACTCTGACTCAGACTGTGGGGCTTGTGCGCCTGCTGTGGATACTGGTAGGCAAAGTGCTGCCATCCAGCGGCCGTGCCGCTTGTCAGTGTCGTGGCATCCGAGAAGGCTGACGGGGCGGGCGATGCACGACTGCTACTGCCATCGTCAGCTGTGGACTCTGATGCAGTCGATGTAGCGGATAACCGCCTCGCGCTGTGCAGACGTGGAGAGAGCAGAGTGGTCAAAGTAGCACTGTTGTCCTGCTGCCTGTCCACCGTCTCCTGGCACGTCCGTGCTCTCGCAGCTGCGTTGATTTCCGCATCCACGTCAATCACCATCTCAGAGTCCGGCGCACCCGCGCCTGCGCCTCCTGCAGTTGCCACGGACCCAGCACATGCAGACGCGATCCACTTGCGCTTGACGCCACACGCCGGGGTGTGCCCCCGCGCCTTGGCATTCGTCGCTGAGTGCGTCTGTGTGATGGTAAGAGGTTCAGGACCAGAGGTGCAGCTCGGTCCGGGATCTTGAGACGTAGATACAGAGCCATCCGGATTGAGCAAGGTTCCGATACGGAGGTGCGCGATCCCGCGCCTTAAGCCGGCGCCGTTCGACAGACGTCGGACATGCGCTGGCGCTGCAGCAAACTCGGCAGTCACTACCGGTGGCGGTGGCCGAGTCGATGAAGCGAGAGAATGTGAATGTGGAGGTGAAGACGAAGACGAAGGAGAATCATGGTCGACGACTCCTTGTGCACAAGCGCCGAAAGGAGAGTCGGGCCAACGGGCTTCTTTCAAGAACGACGGTGGCGCTTGCTCTTTTGCAGGTGCTTGCCGCATGGCCGCAACAGTGGCAGTGATGGTCTTGACTTCCATGCCGGTGAGCGAGGAGCTGATTTTTTTGTCTGGCCAACGTGCCATCAGAGGACACGCGAAAGTACAAAGGGCTGGATGCGGTAGCGCAGAACGAAGGTATTATGAAGGGACAGAGCAAGAAAGGTTAAACATCAGCTTCCTTGGCAAAGTGGAAATGTCTTTCGGAACGTCGAACGCACGTGGATGGTTAGAAGAGGAACGCGCAGATCAAGCGCCTAGGGACGGTACGACAAAGACTTGATCTCGCCCCTTGTTCTTGGTTGCAAAGCGGCGAGAGCCAGTCTACGGCAGGGAAGAGGAGGCGAGGGCGAGGGGCTGTGCAAATACGAGCTTGCTCAGCCGTCTCGTCACGTGGAAGCAATCTTCAACGTGTGCCGAATGCTGCTTGCTGAGCCTGAGATGAAGCGAGACCCCTCAGCAAGGTTTTCCGTGCTTGCCACTGCCGTTGTTTCGCACTGGCGAGCTCTATGACAAAGCCAACAGGCAAAGGCCGCAGATGCAGACGCAGATGGCAAACATGGTGGGGGCAAGCTGGGGCGATGTATGAGGGACCTCGAGCGGAGATGTGCACAATGCCAATCCAACCTCACCACGCAACTCTGGCGGCAGTTGTGGCTGCTTTGTGTCTCTTCGTCGCGTTTGGCGGAGAATACGGACAATGGCAGCAGCCTCGAGAAATAGGCGAACGCCGACAATGAGTCTTCGACCAGTGAGAGGCCGCCTGGGGTCCGACGGTGGTGGACGACGCAGAAATGCTGAGAATTTAGCGAGTCGCGCTGCTAGACACGAGTCGGCGGGGGCCGCAAGAGGTTGACGAGCGGTGGCTGCGTACGGAATGATCCCAAAGTGCGAGTGTAGTGCTATGTTTTGCTCGACGCGCCGAGCTCGAGCCAGACGTGCTGCAGTCCGCTGAGGGGGCCAGGATGTCTCGATGGTGTGCGACGAGGTGATCGTGTACGCTTGGCCCCGTTGGTGATCCACGGGGTGGCGAGGTGGTGATTTAACTGCCGCTCCTATATAAATGTATGCCCATACCGAAAGGAGACGGAGGTGTGGCTCTCGCACGGGGATAATGTGTCCCACTTTGTATGTATGCATTGCAAATTGGCTGCAAATTGCATTCAGTTGATCTTCCCAAGTGGACAAAGGCCGGTGCGCGCACTGCGAAAGTGTCCCGTGAGGAAGAGCCCCCGCCCGCCAGTCAGTGCCCGCTATGCACTGTCTCCGGCGGGAGTATTCCGGGGGTATGGTCTGAAAATTGGGGCAAACCCCACGGGACCAGACTACAACGGGGGCAAAAGTCCCTAGAAAAATGTCGTGTAAAAGCCGGGAGGAACGAAAAGAGAAGAATGTCAGACTTGGAGCCGCAAATGGCGAATTCGCTCCAGTGTCCGATCGATGACCGAGAAGAAAAACCTGTCTTTCTGCCCCGTTCAGTTGTGCCCCATACGCTCCCAGACTCCACCTTTCTTACTCAGCAGTTTGGAACCGCAAATTGCCTCGGACATAGGGCGGAACGGATGGCGCGTATGAAAACAAATGCACGCGTGGCTTTTTGGACTCGATCCGCGTGGCTCGCATCACGTGACCGCGCCACATGCCCTGATCATCGGACGTATGTGGACGTAATTGAAGCCACCCGTGTCATCGCCGTTCCCAGTCTCTCCCGTGCGCTTCTCACCAAACGCTGCTCTAGCTATGCTGTACATTCGGAAAGGAAAGGGTGTAATGCCAGGACCGAAAATGTAGTACATATTTACACAGCAAGGAGAGCCAGACGAGCGAGAATTCATGCAAGCGCCGCGACGGGTTGCACCTCGATACGAAGCGCGCGAGCTGGCCACACCACAACGACATTATGGGCGGCGCTTGCCGTGCCCGGTGATGTTGATCCCCTTTGCCGCCTTGGCCTGCTTCTTGCCCGACACTTGCGAGAGGGGTACTGCAAGTAGAAAATCATGTAACGGAAATAGCAGTCAGCAAGCGCACCTAGTGGCGGCGACTGCGCAGGAACAGACGTGGCACTCTCGGGGTGGTCTGCAATGCTCACCATATGCATAAGGGCTGACGCCGTGCTTAACAACGTCGCCCTGCGCGCGCTTCGCCTTGAACTCGGCCCCGATTTGCGTCTTGGCCTTCTTGCTCTGCACCTGCTTCTTCCGACCCTTTCTGCCGTCCGCCGACGCATCGCCGCCGCCGAGGATCTCAGCCAGCTCCTCTTCGTCGGCGCGCATGCGCTTCGTGTTCTTGTGGAACTTTACCACTCCGCCTCGGCCGATCGTGTGTCCGTCGATGCCTCTCCCCTTGGCGAGGAACGCGTTGCCCGCGTCTTCCTCTTCGTCTTCGCCGTCAACTTCCATGCCGTTGGCGCGTCCACGGCCACGCTTGCCATTGCCACTGCCAGCACCCTTGCCCTTCGTCTCGTCATCGTCATCTTCATCGTCGCGCAAGAGTAGCTTTCCCGTCTCTGCGTCCGTGCCAAAGCCAAAGTTCTCTCCGCCCTTCCTCGCGCGACCCTTTCCCTGTTGGCGCTGCTGTTGTTGTTGGCGAGTGAACACGTGGCCGGCAGCAGCGTTGCGGTCGAGCAGATCCATAGGTTCATCGTCGTCCTCCATGATGTACGTCTGCTCCTGCTGCTTGCGTTGCTCTCCGCGCTTTCCTTTCCGCCCGCCTTGCTTGCCACTGCTGGCAACGGCGGCGTCGTTTTCGCCATCATCATCGCTGGCCGACACATCGCTGTCGCTGCCGTACAGCGCGTCTTCAAACCCATCCAGACCAGTGTTCTTGGTCGCGCGTCGACCAGCCGCAGCAGCTGACGCGCCACCCAGCTCCCCATCCTCCTCCTCCTCGCTGTCGTCTGCACGCGCAGCCTTCTTGCGCCTGGCGCGTTCTTTGCGTTTGCGGATGTTTTGCACCAGCCTCTTGTTGTCCTCATCCGTGAGAGCATCGATGCGTTCGTAACCGAAGCGCCGGATGAGCCGCTCGAAGATGTGCCGCACCTTACCCTTGAAGTGTTGCTTGTTGGCCGGGCTGAAGCCGAGCATGGCGGGCACGAGCTCGCCGAGGTGCTTTTCGAGCAAGTTGTGCTCGAGGCCGACAATTACAACCTTGACGCAGCCGAGGGCGCTCTTCACGATCTCGCGGTTGGCAGAGCGCAGGAATACCAGAATCGTGGACACGATCTCGTCGAGCGTGTCGCGCGACAGCTCCTCCTTGTACTCGTACACCAACCGAGAAACGGCCGTGATCGTGGCACTAATCATGTGCGGTGAGGCACCGGCCAGGCCAGCAGCGACCATGGTGATGTACTCTTCAAGTGTCGCAGCTTTTTCCTCGCCTGTATCCTTCATGCCCTCGTCGTTCTCGTCATTATCAGGGTCATCGTCGTCATCACCATCGTCATCATCAGTTGAATTGATCAACCCGGCTTTGATAATGCCGCCAGCCTTCATCTTCTCGCCCATGAGCACCAGCAGATCGTAGCTGGACTGGCGAGCGGCCTGGTTGGCCTCCTTGGTGCCGAGAACAGCTTCGGGGATAATGGACGGCAAGAAGTGCAGCTCGCTGGAGGGGATCTTGGGCACGAGCGCCGCAAGCAGCGCGATACGATCGCGCTTCGAGCCAGCAGTCACATGCTCGGTTGCCTGACCGAGCCTGCGAAGCATGACCGCCAGGCGCGAAGCTTTCTTGCCGGCCCTGTCGCTGTCCTCGATGTACGCCGTGAGCGCCGAGGAGGCCAGCTTGGATTCGACAAGACGTGTCAGCAGCCTGTACGCCTTTTTCTGAATGCCGGGATCCTTGTTGCCGAGTAGCGACGCGCCGAGCGCAGTGTCGAACAGCTGCGCGACATCTGCCTTGGCAAGGAAGGGCACGAGCAGCACGAGAAGGTCCATCATGGTGTACGCGGGCGGAGGTGCCCTGTTGCCGCTCTCCTCCATCGCCGCCTCGCGCTCAGACTTGGGTGTCACCTGCGGGATGGCGCTCTGCAGCATGCCGAGCAGCTTGCCGTAGGTCTTTGTGACCTGCTGCTTGTCGAGCACGTCCATGTACGCCGTGATAGCGTCGGCGATATATCCGCGCGAGTCTGACGGGCTCTGCGAAAAGACGTTGAAGAAGACTGCGAGCAGGTTCTCGGCCATGCTGGCGAGGTGCGCGAGGTGCACCTTGCCGTCGGCCTGCGCCAGGCCGAACGCCGTGAGCATGTCATCAGCGGGCGCGCTCGAGCTGGCGAGCGATGTGTTGCGCTCGATGAGCAACTGCAAGCCGCGGAAGACGGACGGGCGCAGTGCCGGCTGCGAGTAGAGGACGTTGGCGAGCAGCTCGGCGAATTTCTTGTTGAACGCGCTCGCAAGATCGACGGGCAGGTCACAGTAGCCCGGGAAGAGGGCCCAGACCTGCTCGGTGAGCGCTTCGTACATCTTGGCCTCGACGCTGTGCTTCTTGACCGGAGGGCCCACAGCGTTGGTGCCGGCGGTGGCGTTGAGCTGCTCCTGTGCGTGCACCCGGCGCTCGAAGAGCTTCTCGCTAAGCGGGACCATGTGGCGGACAAAGTGCCCGAGCTCGGTGTTAGTGATGCGCCCGCGCATGAGAGGGAGCAGCCACGCGCGGCCGACCGAGTCATCATTTTCACCGAGCAGGCCGAGCGGTAGGAGGCTGAGGACGACGCCGGGGCCGCAAACCTCGACGGCCATGCCAAGCACAGCATCCGCCTGCTCGCGGTACTCGAAGCCGGCCGCAACGCGCAGAGTCGCAACAATGCGGACGAGCGGGAGGAGGAGCAGTTCGGCTGCTGTTGCCGGGCGCCGCGGCTGGGCCGCCGTCTGCGTCTGTGCAACTTGCACGCTGCTGCTGACACGGACACGGCACTTGCTGATCAGAGCGACGAGGACGTCGAGCAGCTCTGCGCGCGCGTGGGTGTAGCGCAGCGCCTTGGCGCCGAAGGCCTCTTCGAGCAGTGCCACGACATCCTTGACGGCATCGCGGCCGTTTGCAGATTTGCCTTTGCCGCCGCCGTTTGCAGCTGCAGCAGCCTCCGCGCTGGCGACGACCATGTCGTTCGGGAGGACGTATCGGATGACATCGATAAGCATGTCCCTGCCCGCATTGCGCACTTCCTTGCTCTTGCCGCCCACGTCCATCCCCAGGCTCTTCTCCATAACGTCCTTGAACATCTCGAGCGCATCAACATCGCCGCCGCCGCTAGATGCAGACCAGACGGTGGCAGTAGCGTCGCGCCGCGACAGTGCAACCAGTGCTGAGGCGAGCGCACGCAGGTACGACGGCAGAAGCTGCACATCGGCGTATGCTGCATCCTTGAGTTTCGGCGCGCGCAGTGCACGGATAGTCGAGTCGAGCAATGGAGCCGAAGCAGAGGCGCTCGCATCTGCATCTGCGTTGGCGTTGCCACGGAAGAGCGCTTGGAAGCAGTCAAAAGAGGCGACACTCAGGAACGGATTTTGCAGGCTCGGCAGCCGGAGCAGCGCAGCGAGCAGCTTCTCCACGACCGATGTAGCTGCGACGCCTTGTTTTCCCTTTGCGACGGAGGCGCCTGCCTTCCCGGATAGGGTGCCTTGCGCGCTCAAGATTGGGAGGAGCTCCTTTGCAAAGCCGCAGACCCAAATGCCGGCACCGGTGCTGATCTGCTGTTGCTGCTGCTGCTGCAGCTGCACGGCGGACTGACGCAGCGCGGCGGCGGCCTGGCTGTTGCGCGCCTTTCCGGCCTTCTTGTCGTACTCGACCTTTGCAGCATTGGCTGACGATGATGAGGACGCCGCGGCGGACGATGATGGGGCGCACGACGATTCAGAGATGGCCTCGAGCGAGGCGATGAGCCAGGTGCAGGTGGTCGATACGTACGGATGCGCGTCTCCGCTGCCGCTGCCCTTGAGCGTGGCGGTGACGAGCTCCTGCGCGCGCCTGCGGACTTTAGGGCGCACATCGAGGCAGAGCCGGAGTGTCGAGTTGTATGCCTGCAGCACACCGAGCTCCTTGCTGAGCAGGGCACGCGGCAGGCTGGCGAGCAGCGTCTGGAGGATGGCGAGCGTCGAGCGGAGCTGCGCCGCGAGGCCCTCTTGCTGAGTTGCTGCACCTGTTTGCGGAGCGGATGCAGCAGCGGCGGCTGTGAGGACGGCAGAGATGTGCGGGTTGAAGAGTGGCCTGTGGACCAGCTGCAGGAGCGTGGCGAGCTTGGAGGTGAGCACCGCTGCGGGCACGTGCGGAACGGTGAGGGAGAGGAGGTAGAGCAGAGACGGAAGGAGGGAGGATGGTGCCTGGCAGAGCAAAGAGGGGGAGTGCGTAAGCATTGCAGGAAGACGGGGATGTTGAAAAAGTGGAGGAGAGCCCTGCGCACACACCTTTGCGCCTGTTGCCTGTTCAGCCATACTGGTCATGGCGAGAAAGTATTCCGTCGGTTTGAACTCGCTGCTGTGCCTGCTCGCGCCGTCGTCATGCATGGCAGCGGCTGGTGCTTCCTCTCCGTCCTGCCGCTGCTTGTGCTCCTCCTGGCGATGCTCCCTGAGGCCGTCCTCAACCGCCTGGAGCAGCAGGGCTGGCACGCGCTGGTTCTCGAGCTTGCTGCTGACATGGTGCCGAATTTTGGCCAGGGACTCTTGCAATGCCGAGGCGGACCCTAAGGCCGTCGTCACCACGGGAGCGGACGTCATTTTTGGCTGCTCGGGGACGAGCAGGCGTTGTGTGGGTGGACAACGAGCTCCGAGCTTTCCATGGGTATTGCGCTTGTAGCAAGCAAGCATGTATGCATGCCAGCATGGAAGAGATGGTGCCATCATTTGTGCAACCGCTCGCTGTGGGTTGAAGAGAGAAATTTAAGAGATACACGGAACTCGGGGCAAGGGGGCTGGTCTCGGCCGAGAGACTGTCGCGGCTCTCGCTCCAGGCCATCGTGGCGAAGGCATATTGATTATCTAATCTGACACTGTGCTCGCCCCCCCCTCCCAACCCACGACACATCGGCCTCAGTCTAGTGTAGCAGGCGATGGCTGGCATCCGTCCCAGCCTACCTGACACCACCATGCACAATGCAATCACTGTTGCATCGTCGATCCAGTGCCAGTGCTGTAGCAACGCAGCCCATTCCGCCTCGTTTGGCTCCAGCCTCCCCCGTCTTTTCCCCCAAAAACGCTGCGGACCGTGTTGTACTCTTCCTACGCTACGTCTGTACCCTCTTCCATTGTAAATCCAGCTGCACCCAGTTTCTCATCCCTGGTTGGCGCGGTCCCTGCGCTGCTATTTCGAAATCCATTGCAGAGAGCAGCACCAGTCTTGGAAACCAACGCCTGCACATGGCTGCAGAGCTGGAGGGTAGCCAACGGTGCTCCGTGCTGTGTTGTGAAGGCACTTTGTCATCCCTTCGGCGCGCCTTGATAGCGGCGTTTTTCTCCATCGTCCGCCCCGGTTGAATCCATGCATGACCCGTCGCACGGACAAGATCCCGCGATGCCGCTGCGGCAGCTATGCGAGGGTAGCTAGCTGGAGTAGCGAGACATGGCAGAGTGGTAGGTGGACGCGTGGGATGCACAGCTGGATCCGCCCAAGGTACCAAGTGAAGAGGTGGCGGCAGAAGCTCTCGCTATATGTACATGTGGGGGCATAAATGGCTGGGAATGGGTGGCCAAAGTGCCAAAAGTGCAGAAGCCCAGGCCCACCCATGGCCAATGCAGGCATGCTGCACAAACGGGGCATGCTACCTACGGATGATCACGAGTCGCCGCCGTATTTCCCACATGAACTGCAGCCTGCACGCCTCTGGGGACGTGCGTATGAGACGTCATCTCGCCGTCCCACTGCATCCATGCGCTGCGGCCCTGTCCTAAGCCGGATGCAACCACCGCTGCCGCTGCTGCCGCCACGACGCCCACGGTTCCTGTTGGGCCCGTTGGACGACTGCTGCGCTTCGACGCTGGGCAGGCCCTTCCGGTTCTGGACGAGAGCCGTATGGACTACGACACCGGCCGAGAAGGGGTTGCCAGGGTGTGTGTGAAAGATTGTGGGGTGGGTTGGGTGCGCCACAGCACCTGTTTCCTCCCATGCCCGTCCCAATGTACCACTGGGGCCCGGCGCACGTGATTGGTTGGCGCGTCAGCAGGGGCGGAACGGTGTGTGGGCGAGGGGTGCGCGTCGCGTCGCGTCTCTCTTTCCGCCTCGAACGCGTCACAGTCACCGCGGCGGTGACAGCCACGCACACTTTGCATCGAATCACATCGTCCGTCTCCCCCCTTCACTCGACCTCGATCGACCCACTGGCCACTTGGTTTGCACCCGTTGCGCACCAACCCCCTTCCCTTCCCTACACTGCTCTACACGTCCTCCTCCCCACCAGCGTGCAACAAAGAGAAGAGGGACCCCTGACATTACACTCGGAAACGACACTCTCTTTCCTAGACTCCTGTTCATCCTCCACGTGGCGGCCGCACCCGCTTGCCCTACGCCGACTCGCAGCCATGTCCGACTCGCAGCACATCTCCTCCCCGCTCAACTTTCCTAGCAGCAGCCCCGCGAAGAGCGTCAGACGCAGCCAGCTCCGAGCAGCAGAAGCAGCGGGCCCACGAGGTGCGTCCTTGGCCATTGCACATCTACAACCCCAGTGGTAGCTAACCTCCCTCGTTTTCACCTTGCAGGCAATGGCCTCTCCTCTCCCCTCCACTTTCCGACATCCTCGGTAGGCGACACGCCGCGTGGCAGCGCTCGTGCACCGCGCACACCCGCCTCGTCCTCCGTCCTGGGCCACCGCC